TTGCATAAAACAATTGTTAAAGATATCTTATCTGTCTAGTGTGTCAGAAAATTCTTCTGCCTCCTTCTCCACTTAGGAACTTTATCAGAGGTTGGTAAGTAACTGTAACTGCGAATTTTTAACGTCTTATAAAGTTGGGAGAGAATTCAGTGTACGACTTTTATAGCAACAGGATAGCGGCTTAGAAAGTCACATTATGTGTTATGCTTTACTGCACGATTTCGATCTTTAAATCATAAGCTTGAGTAGTAATCTGATACTTAGCAAGCCTCCGACCAAATCTCTCCGATGCATCAGCGATTTGAGCGGTGCATGGTCAGTTACTATAATGATTAAAGCGTTGGCAACATAAGGATAAAAGTGCTTCAATGCGAATACAATAGCTAATGCTTCTAACTCTATAATAGCATGATTTTTCTCAAGCTTATTAAGAGAACAACTACAGTAAGCAACTGGATGTTCTGCCTTAGTTTCCGGATTAACTTGCAGTAAACATGCCTACGCCGATAATTCAAGCATCAGCATGATTAAGGTTGTCCAGCGTCGGTGGTACCAAGAGTGGTGCTCTGATTGATGCCCGTTTAAAGGCAGCGTCCAGGCAAGTCTGGACACATGGGGATCTCACGTAGATAATTATTTTGGGGCCCTAACTAAGCCACTGCTCAACCGGCAGCTCAGATAGTGCTCTAACGGCTGAGATAATCCCCTCGAAACTGGACCCCGCGATCGAATTTCGCGTGGATTCATGGCGCAAAGCGTGGATCCCGCCGCGAAACTGCCATGAATCCATACGAATACGATCGCGGGGTCCAGATTCGAGGGAAATACCTCAGCCGTTGAGCACTACCTGCGCTGCCGCTTGGGCAGTGCCTTAGTTAGGGCAAAGTACTTTATACGTAAAATCCCCATGGGTAGATCTGCCTGGACGTTGCCTTTAAGGGTATCAAATGCTTTTTGGTGCTTATCTGTCCAATTGAATGGGCTATCTTTGAGCACAAGGTTGTTAAGTGGTGTGGCAATAAAAGAGAAACGCGGTATACATCGATGAAGTACGAAGCTGCGCCAAGAAATGATTTTAATGCCTTAACATTCGTAGGTCGCGGTATTTTTACAATGCTAGCTATTTTATCGGGATTTAGACGTGTGCCTTTTTTACTGATTAAAACGCCGTACTGAACTTCTGTTTTGAAAAATGAACATTTTTGAGAAGTCTATTTCATCCCAAAATTTCTAATTCTCATCAAGACCTTCTAAATCGAGGTGTTCTGTTTCTGAATAACTAGCAATGATTATATCATCGATGTACGCGAAACAACAAGCTTTAAGTTCGCGTACAAGAGAATTAGCTACTCGCTGGAATGTCCCAGGAGCTCCTTTAAGGCCTTGGGCCATAACAGTAAGTTGGAGAAGTCCCAAAAATGATGTAAAGGCTGCTTATGCTTAAGTTCTAATGGGATCTGGAAGAAACCGCTTTTATAATCAAAAACACTGTAGGTTTCCTTTCCTCCAACTAAATCAATAATATCTTGAATGTGGAGTTCAATAGATTTCGTTCTCCGTAATGGCGTTTATTTGCCTATAGTCAACTGTAGAAAGTCATTGGTCTTTATTAGTTCCCTTTTTGACTAGTACAATGGGCGGAGCAAATTTACTAGAACTGGGCTCAATTATGCGCGTACGCAGCATTTCCTTTATTTGGCGTTTAATCTCCTCGCGTTTTTCAAGAGGGACACGATAAGGACGTTTCTGAGGAACTTTGGCGTGCGGTAAAAAGTTGATTTTGTGAGCTATAAGACCTCTAAAGTCCTAAATTTCTCGCGCTCTCCTGCAGGCGGTCAGCAGAATTTTGGGGCGTGGCCAAACCTCGTTCAGGTCCTGCAAAGCAAGATTGATACTTTTGTAACATATTATAGAACTGCTGAATTTCAGTCCCTGTAAGTAAAGAGTGATCGAACTTCATTCGGTTTTTGTAAAGGAACTGCTTGTTTATTAGGAAAAAACGGCATTTTTGCTTAGGTCTGTTTCTGGAGGTGTATAGGTACATATTTCTTCATCTCGCGTAAACTCAAACAATCGCCGAGGACAGGCGGTCCGCAAACTCGCGCTTTCCTGCAGGCGGTAAGCAGAATTTCGGGGCGTGGCCAAACCTTCAGTGAGCGGCACTTCCTTTACTGTCGCATGTTCTACCAGCGGGCATCGATCAGTGGCGTACCCAGGATTGGGGCTCGGGGGGGGGGGGGGGGGCGGCAAAAAATTTTTTCAAATGAAGGTGCGCGGCGTCAGCCACGCACTCCGAAAAAATTTTAGGGGGGCTTCTCAATGTTTTTGCGGGCCCCCAACGCCCCCGAAAAATTTTTTTATAAGGCTAACTTGAATTTTTAAAAAATTTTAAAAATTATTTTAATTGTTTACAAAAATAAACAAGTCATTTGCACATTTTTATAACTCATATAAGTAACTTTCAAAAATTTCGCGACCCGTTCTCGGGGGGGGGTGGCGCGCTCCCCCCCCCCCCCGCCCCCCTCCTCGGTACGCCACTGGCATCGATAGATAATTTTCTGCGAGCGATCGTCAAATAATTTCTTTAAGCGTGCGCTGGCCATTTTTTTGTACCTACGGGTCATGCGGTCCTTCGCAAAGGACCGTGCGGCCCTCCATAATTTTGCATATTCTCGCGGAAAGGCCACGATAACGCGGCCACCGCGCCGCAACTAATCTGTGAAAAAAGCGCATTGTTCTCCGAGTTTTCGTCCAAAAATTGCTGACATCCTTCCAAATATCTGCAAGCGGACCGCAAGAAATCAGCGAAATATTTTCCCGGTGCGCGCTTGCCCACAAATCGCATGGCCTGCCCCCGGCGATTACCTGAGAAGATGGCATATGGATTGATTGTTCGTCTCCAGGATACACCGAAGAAATTGGCGGCCACTCCATGTTTGTTCTACATAATTTGCATGCGATTAATTTGTTTTTGCGGAAATACATTGTGGCTGGAGTAGAATCAAAAATGCGTAGAATTACTTTGTTATCGTTATTTGTGCAGGAGAGGGTTTTACCTACGACTATGCCAAGAAGTAACGTCAAAAGGTTATCATCGTAGAGAAAAAATTCCCATTTACTAGGAAAATTGGTTCTCAACAATAAAAAATTCTACTGCGCACATACATATCTACACACATAGAGACATAGAGACAGACATTCAGCTTTATATATAAGATAAAAAGACTCACCAATTTGCTCGATGCGATTTATGTGGTATTACTGTCGATACGGTTGTAGGTCGGGAGGGGGGGGGGGGGGTGGAGGGGGGAGGGAGGAGGGGATGTAGAAAATCATATCCCTTTGTACGAAACATACGAAACATTTGACTACTGCTTTTATAGCTGGTTTACGTAAGTCTTACTATAAAATTTATTGGGGAAAGAGAAAGGGGAAGAACCGGCTAGTGCCGGCGGCTGGAGGTCATCGGCAGATGTTCGCTGTTTTTGACCCTCCTTCTCGCGCAGAGCTGTTGTAATAGCGGCTGGATCCCGATAGAAGGATCCTCTCTGGGACTAAAAGACCCCAAATTGCTCTGCAGGCGTTGTCAAGACAAGCTGATTTTGTTTCTCACAAGTTTATATAGTTGATTCGTTGACCGCACGGACTGGACATCAATGCGGAGCACTCGCCGCGAGATAAAAAGCTTGTCCCAGTATAAATTTGCTATTGGATAAGAAAGCCATGCTCAAGCTCAAGCTCAAGCTTGTTCAGAGAACGCGTGCAAAGCGGTTCGGGTCATTCAGTCACAATTGCGCCATTCCCTTAAGGGATAAAAATTTCATTTTAATCAAAACTCTGCGGATTCTAAAGGTTCGCAAACATACTTATTTTTTTCTTTTACATCGTCATATGTGTTGAAAAATGTACCCAGTGACTGCTCTATTACTATACAGGGTGTCCCAAAAAATGTTCAGAACGTTTGATCGTTAATATCTCTCTTCCCAAGAAGTCTTTTGCCTTGCTTCAGGTACCGTTTTGTAGAGCTGGCTTCAACTTAGATTTCCATTATAGAACGAATCACCCATCTTTCTTCATTACTGTAGGATTACGGTAGAAACTTGAAACATATGGTGTTAATGTGGAAAAAGAGCTGCCGTTTCAAAATTTTTCAAAAAAAATGTGAAAACTTGCATAATAGGGTTTTTATGGACGCTGAGTTCAATACTCAACGATTCACAAGATTACGAAGCTTTCTAAACGGTGTAACCGCCTTTTTAGGAACATTGAAAAAATGGCCGCTACCTCTTACCTGGCATAACTCTTCAATGAAGCATTATAATAAGTTGGGAACTTTACAGTTATAATCAGCAATTCTAATTAGCCTGGTGTCAAAGTTTTCAGGCTGTTTTGTTTCCTTTCTGAGGCAAAATATGGCCTTTCATGGTTCAAAACCCTCTTTGAAGTTTCTACCGTAACCCTACAGTAATGAAGAGAGATGGGTGATTCGTTCTATAATGGAAATCTAAGTTGAAGCCAGCTCTACAAAACGGTACCTGAAGCAAGGCAAAAGACTTCTTGGGAAGAGAGATATTAACGATCAAACGTTCTAAACATTTTTTGGGACACCCTGTATAATGCTTTTTATTGCGCATAGCGCGGCTAGATAATTTGCGACCGACCTTAGGGTCAAAAAAGTTCATATGTACTAATTCATTATCCCATCCCCCAGCGCCCATGGTCCTCTTGATGATTCGCGCTCTACGGGAAAATTGTGCTCGAAAGCCAGGTGAAAATTTTTTCCAGCACTTCGAAGTGTTTTCAATTTCGAGTGTTTTCAGTTGTGAATAACTATCAAAAAAATCTGTTATCTATCATTCATTATCTTAGGTTCTTTTCTAGCCTTATGTGTGTTTGCCGAAAGGAAAGGGTTTTTGAGTGTTATTGATACTGAGAAATCTGCATGCTTTCTCATTGCATCACTTCCGATCATTTTTCCGTTTTAGTATGTTTCTCAATTTAGGTAAATGCCGGCGCTAAGCGCTGCCGAGGTACTGAAAGCATGGGAGGCTAGTCCGACTATTTTGAAGCAAACACCCAAAGAGAAGTAAGTTTTTTCGTTTTTGAAATGAATTGTTTCTTACGTTTTTGCCAAAAGCTCGTTACTTTTGTTCTTAACTTAGGAGGATTGCTTTACTCCATCTATACTCTCTTTACTCAATGTCCAAATACGTTCTTTAGGATTGTACCAGTCAAAGGAAAACGAAATATATTGATCACATCTGCTCTTCCGTATGTCAATAATGTACCGCACTTGGGCAACATCATCGGCTGTGTGTTGAGCGCAGACGTTTTCGCAAGGCTAGTCAGAATCATATCTTTTCTACAGGATGATCCATGTCTACAACATTTCAGGTATTGTCGGCTGCGTGGCCACGAAACCCTTTACATCTGCGGGACGGATGAGTATGGCACCGCTACTGAGACAAAGGTATCGTTTTGATTTTGATCAGTAACATATTAGCAACGATATTTCAGGCTCTGCAAGAAGGTCTGACTCCTAAAGAAGTCTGTGACAAGTTCCATGTAATTCATAAAAGCATCTACGAGTGGTTTAACATAGAATTTGACCTTTTCGGACGAACTACTACACCTCAGCAAACAGAGTAAGTTTACGAACGCCCGTAAAAGGGCTCGGACCTGGGAGGAGTTGCAGGTGCGCTCCATCGCCATTTCGATTAGAGCACCGTTTTTCCAATTGGAGCGCACTATCTCCAAACACTTGCACGTTTCACGCCGATCTGGATGAACTTTGAGTATACGTATAGTCTTTAATATCTTTGTGGAAATTTGATGGTAAAATGTGGACAAATCATGTCAAAGGATCAAAACTGCCAATTCTTTGTTACGATAAAACCAGTTTGCGTGTATTTCATGCGTAGAAAAAATTCTGTGAAACATCAAACCATTTTTCTGCTCAACTTTGAGGCACAAACCCACAAGCCTGCCAGAAATTCGAAATCCTTAAGAATGTTTGGCTCAAAAATACATTAATTCCAAGCATGCTGGATTTTTTTGTGCATATTCGACCGACCCCACATGTGTTTGGACTCTTGTCACATGTATTTCCACGAATATATACAATATCTATGCTCTCAATGGATCTAATGATAAGTAAAATCCGCTCCAAGTTTCAACGTTCCCAAACTTCCGGATTATGGCGGCAAGCCAAGTTCTATGTTCAGCACATTGGCCAGCTCTTTGCTCAAAAAAAAAAAATTCTCAGTAGTTTCAATTCCAGTAAGTAAAGTTTCATAGTTAACTCAGTGTAGCACCAAGTTTTGAAATTTCTTTGTTTCTAGAGAATTCCTGAGGTTGACATCTGGGCAAATCAATTTTGTACATTCAAAACTATTCACCAACTGCAAAAATCCCGGTTTTTCCATTTAGCGAAACAGTTACAGTCTATAAAGGTCACCAGCATAAAATTGCCGTTTTCCACCCATTTTTTCCTCAATTTTTAATCTTAGCACCATCGACAAGCTTATCGAACAACATTAGCAACGATGATTTACGGCTATGCAGCGCTTTTGAAGCTCATAACAAAGGCAACGATTGCTATCACCTGCAAAATTGAATGACAATTCGATTCTTTTTTTGGCTCTCATTGCTTTGAATACGTCGATCTAATAAGATTGCCAGCAGATCTCAGGAAAGAATTTCATATTTTCGAGATAAGTTATGTAATTACAAGACAGTCATAGGTCGTTTCAAGAAAAAAAAGACAAAGCAACATCGTAAAGGATGTTTTCGGACCCGTAAAAAGAGTTCGCACACGAACTCTTTTTACGGGTCACACCAGTGCTAAATCCATCCCAATTTAGCGCAAGCAGCCCTAAGATACTTCTAAAAGCTGCACGAAGTGGATCCTCAAGTGGTGTGAACTCAAAGAAAAGTTAGAGCAGCGGAGATTAACCCAAAAACGGAAGTTCAAGACAGAGTTACTGGCAATGAGTTTCAAGCGTAAATGCAGGCAAAGGTTATAGAGGGTAGATGCTAACTATGGCTGGGTTCATACTGATCCGCAAGTTCCGAAACAGCTCCAGCACAACGCACAATTCGAGCGCTGTGCTGAGATGTTCCGGAACTTACGGATTAGTATGTACCCAGCCTGTAGCGTAGCTTTTTTTTCGTTGATGGACCGAAAGCTGTGTTGTTCCACAACTCTACTGAGTAGAGTAAAATAAGAACCAAAACAAAGGTCACATATAGATGAACACAAAGCAAAAGTATTTTTGAGTTAAGCATGAACGCCGAAGGGTATGATCATGTGTCCTGACAGCTTGAGAAGAGGAAAAGTACATGCAAGCAGAATGTGCTATTATTTTGCATGTGGTCCCTCTCCCCCCAGTCTTCCAACTCTTTGGAAAGTTTATCAAACGCGAAGTGTTTGGAGATAGTGCGCTCCAGTTGAAAAAACGGTGCTTTAATCGGAATGGCGTTGGAGCGCACCTGCAACTCCTCCCAGGTCCGAGCCCTTTTACGGGCGTTCTAAGTTTACACTTGTTTACCATGGTCTCCCTAGTGTCCGTATATGCATTTGGACTTTTCCTTTAATCTCTTTGAGTCAATGCCTCATTCTTACGGTTTATAAGCGGCCAGTCAGAGGTTGCTTTGCGTAAATTAACACGTCATATTATTCCTGTAACCTCCTTTCTTCGCTCAGTATCGTTTTTTTTTGCAGAATTGCCCAGGATATATTCTTGAAGCTTCACAAGAATGGCTTCACCTCTTCATTGACGATCGATCAGTTGCATTGCCAAAAATGTGATAAGTAGGTTTATCTAGTCAATAAATATATATTTTTTTCTTCATCCTTATTGCATTTGTGTTGTGTTGTGTTGCTGGATCCTATGTTGAAAAGCTCCAGTAATGCCTTCTGGGTATTAAATATACACATATAGTTTTTCCGTCAGATTTTAGACAGGTTTTGCATGAGTTTTTGACTTCTAACAAAATAGTGTTGACTTTGCAGATTCTTGGCTGATCGTTTCGTGACGGGCATCTGTCCTTTTTGTGGGTTTGATGACGCTCGTGGCGATCAGTGTGATGCCTGCGGTCGTCTTATCAATGCTGTCGAACTGAAGAGTCCTAAATGTCATATTTGCAAGGAGGAACCAAAGGTATTTTGCACCGATAATAATGGTTTTTGATCTTTTGCGTACAGAGTCTTTAGGTTCGACAGTCGACGCACATCTTCTTGCATCTAGATGCTCTCCAGGTAAGGTCTTTGTTAACTTTTACTGGTCTCTCCATTCCTTATACTACAATAAATGCTTGCTGTCAAAGTTGATCCTTGATCGTGCACCATTTAGGATGAAGTGAGGCAGTATGTCGAAAAGGAAATCGCCAAACCTGATACGCGATGGTCACCAAATGCCATAGCAATAGTAAAGGGCTGGATCAAGGTGCGTACATCCTTTTATATCTCTTTCGTTGTTGTTTTCTGTTACTCATCTCCTTTGTTTTTCACATTTCTTTAGCGCATTTTGTCGTCGGTTTAGGGTGGGCTTGAGAAGCGTTGCATCACACGAGATTTGAAGTGGGGCACTGCAGTTCCGTTAGAAGGCTATGAAAACAAAGTTTGCCACGTTCTTCCCCATCTTCTTGAGGCGATAAAGTTTTTTTCTAGGTCTTTTATGTATGGTTCGACGCCCCTATTGGTTACTTGTCCATCACTAAATGCTTACTAGGTGATAATTGGAAAAAATGGTGGAAGAATCCAGAGGAAGTCGAACTGTTCAACTTTTTGGGAAAGGTGAGTTTTTTCGAACAATCATCTCTTATACTATGTACCTAATTCAGGACAACGTTGCTTTTCATGGTGTGATGTTTCCGTGCACACAGTTGGGTGCTCGTGATAACTACACTATAGTTAATCACGTATGTGCTACTGAGTATCTCAACTATGAAGATTCTAAATTCAGGTAAACTTTGATTGTTCACACCTACTATGTTTCGTTGTTTTTTTTTCAGTAAGTCAAGAAACACTGGTGTTTTTGGTGATAGTGCGAAAGAGACGGGTATTGAAGCCGATGTGTGGAGGTTTTATCTGCTTTATATGAGACCAGAGTCACAGGATACTACGTTTAGCTGGGACGATTTTGCTTTAAAGGTTACTTTCACTCAATTCGAGTTCATTCTAATTATCTCGAGATTAGCCATATTTAGGTAAACTCAGAACTCCTTGCGAATCTGGGCAACTTCATCAACCGTGCACTCTCATTTCTTTCTAATAATTTTGGAGGTGTTGTACCTGAAATGCACCTCAACGATACGGATTTGGAGTTGCTGACAGGAATCCAGGCATGTACATAGTCAATTATCAAAAAGACGAAGGGATTTTTATGGGAATTGCTTTAGGAAGATTCTCTTGAATGGGATCATCAGATGGACTCAGTCCATCAGAAGGATGCTGTTCGAACAGTGCTTGCGATGTCTAGGCAAGGCAATCAATATATGCAATCTCAACAACCCTGGGTACTCATAAAAGGCAGCGATGAAGACAAGTGAGTGGTCACGTCCATTTTTTGATTAGCAGTGGTTTTCTCTTACATACCACCTGTTTTTTTCTAATTTTCGACCCACGTAACTAGTTTATCTGTGGTAACGGACAAAATTGAGAGTTTTGAGGTTCCGGTGCTGTGCTCAGCCGCCCGCCGAGGGGCGGGGGGGGGGGGGAGTTGGAAGCAACCCATTAAAGCTAATACATACTTTGTGCTGACACCTCCATTTTGTGTAATATGAATATGGTTCGCAGCAAAACTCAATTTTCTAAGTTGTGACACTTCATCAGCATATGATATTTGCAGGAAACGGGCTGGTACAATCATAGGTGTGGCTGCCAACATCTCGTATCATTTGGCTATAGTTTTGCACCCCATCATGCCGGAGGTATTCCACCTGTCAAATATTTACTGTTTAACTGCAAAAATCTCCATAGATCTCTGAACGGATTCGCGCACAATGCGGCGCAGAAGCGCTACCTATATTTTCTGCCTGTCCTATGTCTTACTTGAAGCCTGGACACAAGATCGGCACCGTGAGTTGGCAATGCAGTTCAGCCTTTCAGTAACATTTACCCCATATCATTATGGTCTTTTTCCAGCCGAAACCACTGTTCATGAAGATGGAGAATGCGAAAATTCAAGAATGGAAAGCGAAATTTGGAGGAACCGCAGTCGCTAACGCAGAACCGCAAAAGAAATTAAAAGGTGTGGCCACTTGCTCTTTATGCAATTTCACTGATTTTCCTTTTCCTTTCCATAAATATATCATGCTTTGCCTGCCAATCTAGTTTTGTTCTTTCTTTCTAACATTTGTCACATTTAAGTTTTATGCCTCTACAATCAATCGTTTCTTCATTCTTTCTTGGAACATTCTCGCATACTTGTTGAGCTTGAAGAAGTGCGTGAGCAAAATTATTCCCATTGCTGTGTGCTGCATAGCATTAGCAGTTTCTTTGTTAACAAAAATCACTGCCGAAAATGAGAAAAAAAACGCTCCCAGAGACCTACTCCATCCCACACAGACGTACTCCCTCACCGACGTTGTCAAGCTCAAGTTTGTGCGGTTTGGAGACTGCCAGTATGACAGTATTATCCTTATTTTTCCAGTGCAGCAAATTGTAGTGAGCAGAGTTTCGTGGCACAATGCAGCTTTCCAATCCCTTTCCTTTTTCCAGATCACTTGCACTGAATATTAAGACGTTTTTATTGCGAGCTTTCGACGGGGTCTGAGAATCAGGTAAAGAAACCATAACAGCTCAAACATCGTTTCCAAGCTCGTTAAGTATGAAAGGATCCTTCAAGGTTTTCGTATTGATCTCTATAATATGTTCTTACCAACACTGAGGCACATAAACGATCTACATCAAGTCCTCGTGCCTTACAGTGTCTCGCATTCACTTGATGCTATCATTTTGTCAACTTGGACAGCCTTACCGTGCTGTCTTTTAGGTTTTCGTTCACTGTCGGAGAAGCACGTCCACTGCCTGTCCGTGAGGGCCTGCAACAGTATATGGAACCTTATTCTTCTTTTCCTTCTTTCTATTTTTACGTTTTGCAAAGAACTTCGTTTGGGTCAAGCTTGCAGATTTTTCTTAATTGCCATTACATTTGTTTCCTATTCCAGTTGCGACTGTACTTCAATTCATTCTCTTTCCTTCTATGTGGATCAAAGCGCATTTCCGCATACACGTATCCGCATTGAATTGAAAACATCCCTGATCGACCAAATTAGTACTCCACTTTATGATCTATTCTCACAATCAGATGCTGTTTCCAAATTATTTCTGTGAAGTTTCTTTATTTATTAGCACTATCTCAGAGCGTACATGGAGTAATCTTTAGCATTGCTTTGTAATGCCTCTCGACTTTTGTCTTGGATCTTAGCTTATCGGAAACCTCAGCTTTCAATTGCAGACAAAAACAAACACGCGAAAAAAGACGCCCATCCAGAGAAGACTCTAAAAAAGCCCGAAAACGTAAAAGTGAAGATGGCTGCAGCTAACGTTGTGTTTCCGCATTTAGCAAAAAATCAACATCAGATTAAGCAGCTTTTTGAGGGTACACTCAAAAAGTTCAATCAAGCTCGTAAGTTTTTCATGAACTATTGCACGGCTTTTCTGTGAACCATGATGTGCGAGACTGTTCAGGTGATTTGTTTATGGCGCAGAAGCGTGCGGAATTAACAGCAAACGTCGTAAGATTGGAGAAGGAGATTGAGGAAGTCCAAAAGCAGTTAGTGGAAGCTGAAAAAGCTGCTGGAAGTAGGTTTTGATGCCATTTATTAGCCTAGTACTGTTACAAAGGAATTGCTTTCCACAGTTGGGTCACTCTATTCGAATTATGATTTTTTTGATTCTTTTTTGGTTTGCATCAGTCGAGCTAGCCTCTTCTGTCACTTTATCGAAATAGAATCGATCCATATCGGCACATAGAATTCTTGCAGTAAAACAAATCCCAGTTCCACGAACAACAAAATCTACTGAGAAAGCTGAAGTGAGCGAAGCTCCTCCCGTACCACCCGTAAAACAATCCAACGCCACAACACCTTCGAAGAAGGAGAAGAAATCCGGTTCAGAGAAAAAGAGCGCTTCAGATGGTGGTAAAAAGGCTGAGAGTGAGTTTATGGATAAGATCTCTTCAGCACTGAAATCACACATGATCAGCTCTTCTGTTCAGACGCAGCCGCTGACGACGGTATCGACGTAGGGCGTCTTGACCTTCGTGTAGGGCGAATAATGCATTGTGAAAAGCATCCTGATGCAGATGCATTGTACGTTGAGCAGATTGATGTTGGAGAGGCTAGTCCTCGAACTGTAGTTTCTGGCTTAGTTAGGCACGTTCCACTTGATCAGGTCAGTTTTTTAGGAAACGTGGAACCGCTAAATTATGTTGCAAACTTTGTGTTTTCTGCGAATTTCGCTTTCTCGGTCGACTTCTCGAGTTTTAGATGCAAAATCGCCTGGTTGTTGTACTTTGCAATCTGAAACCCGCTAAAATGCGAGGAGTTGAGTCTAAAGCAATGGTGATGTGTGCATCTTCTCCTGAAAAGGTGTGTTGTGATAAGCAGGTCAGAAGCAAACTAGAGTCTTATTGCAATAGGTTGAAATAATGGAAGTTGACCAATCGTCAAAACCTGGCACGCCTGTACTTTGCCCGCCATATGTACATAGACCAGACACACAGCTGAATCCGAAAAAGAAGGTCTGCAGTTTCAGTTTCATATAGCAAAGTTTTATTTACGTATCAATTCTAGATTTGGGAAACTGTAGCGGAAGATCTGAAAGTCAGCGCCGATGGCTACGCCGTTTGGAAAGACTGCCCTCTTCTTGTTGGTGGCGCAACGAAAATGACTGCACCGACATTGCGTGGTGTCGCTATCAAATAATTCTAGGTAGTAAGATAATTATCAGGCAATCGGTCGGTTGTTCACCAAATTTTGTCTGATTGCCTTAGTCTTTACATGTTGAGCTGTTAATTGTTTCAATAGTCCATGAAGATCTTATTTATGAATGGTTGTTATCTCTGGTGACAGAGTTGTTGATAATGTTGGAGGTTTGTGGGAATAAATGAAGTCTGACCCATTCATGTCGTTCAAAGAGCTGTAAAGTGCGGCCTAAATTATCTTTTTAATATTCGCGGGAAAAAAGTCGGTTATGCGCGAATTTTTTAAAGGAAGAAACACTGTAGTTGGCTACATTATATTTTAATATGCTAGATCGCTACAAAATTGGTAAGGATTGAGACAAATTTGTCCGCATTTTTTCGGCCCAGATAGTTTGTCTTCAGTTAAATCCACCCCACAGAAAGTCCTTTTTTTTACTTTAATCATTTGATTTTCATCAGGTAAGTCCGAAGCGGTTTTACTATATCGGACTGATTTTTGGACGGGTTTAGCTGGGAGGGGGAGGGGGGCATTTAAGATTCTAGGTCGATATGATTGTATTCAGAGGGTTGCTCCATTATTCTGTTCGCTATCTACTAATTTTGTCTGCACCGGGTAGACTATCGGCGATTCATAACACGAAAGACTGTGCGCCGTTGCGTCTGACCAAGATAGTTTGGGCCCGGGAGAGAAGCAGATGGTGAGAGAAACGAAAGAGCGCTTGACCAGAGAGAGCCGCGTCCGCAGTCTTTGCTTGCGATAAATCCACATATATTACTCTCATGAACTGCAGAATGAGATCAACATTGCGGAGTTAGTGCTGCTTTCTTCCGCTCTTTACATAAAACTAGCCCTAGTAAAGCTTCCTTGCACTTGAGGCAGTACTTTTCCATCAGGACCCATTTTTTGTTATAGAAGTTTTCTCAAAACCTTACTGCCTGTTTCGTTGGTTAAGGCCCAAGGCATACCTCATGCGACTTCGTCAAATCGCTACATCCGCGCGACTTGGCGATTTGCCAGATCTCTAAAGATTGACCGTGCGCGGGCTTTAAATGCATAGACTCGTAGCTTCCGTAAGTTGTAGCAAACCCATCAAGTCTGGCCCATACGAAGCGCGCTTACGACCAGTTATGAAGAGTCGCTGCAGTGTCAGATGCGCGCAGCAATTGAAATTGCGTGAGGTATGCCATAGGCCTGAAAGATACCCAACGCACTTCTGTCTTGCAAATCTAATAGGTTCGTTCCAAGACAAAATTTCACAGTGTTAATTTTCAGTCTTAAACCTCTTGAATCAAAAATTGGATCGTTACCGATTAGATAACGTTGAACTCATTTGGTATAAGCTCCTGCAAGACGAAGGCGGTCGGCTCGATGTGCAACGCGGCTGCGACACTGCTGCGTCACAGCCGCGTCACAGCCACGTCGCACATCGAACCGACCGCCTTCGTCCTGCAGGAGCATAGGTAAGTAGTAAGACAATACAAACACTTGATAAAACCTGTCAAACATGTAGGGGCTGGATAACGGGAGAGTACTCTTTAGGCTTTATCCTTTATCGTGGCAGCCACATCATCTGATGTAGATTTGCAATGAGGCAAGCGCAAAGGAATAATGCGCATCCATCGTCTGTTTTGTTCACTTATTACCGCAACTGTTTTTAACGGAGTAAGACTTACATCTTCTTTACATGTTGCAAAAGCCATTCTATGCTTTGTATACCTCTATCCAAGACGTATCCTTTGTTTCCTAGAAAGGTTCCCATGGATATCGTCGAGTGGCTGTCAGCAGGGATTGGACGTAGTAGATTGCGGAGCATGCGCTGCGTGACCAAACGCTTTTATTAGTATCATCGGCTTCCAGATTCGTGTGGAGGTGGAGTCTTGCCAACTCACCGCGTGGCGGTTTTTTCTAGCGAGAGAGTACGAAAAGCAATGCTATGACGTGGAGATTTAACAGGTTTACCTGTATTATCAGGAAAAGTCTGCAATACACCTCCACACGAATCTGGAAACCGATCATACAAATTGCTATTGTCGTGCTCTCTTGACATCTCATCCGCGCCGCGCGCTCCGCAGTTTACAGCCAGTCCCTGCGTCAACATTTGACGGTACAATCTTGGACAACCTATCGGTTCGCCTTAGGTTCGCTAGTTAAAATGTTGCGAAGAGTGAAAGGCAGCGAAATCAGCGCGCAAGTGGTAGCGATTGGAACCCCTCTGGGGCACAGACGATATACGCAGTCGCATACGTGTCGTAATCAAGCTGTTTCTTGAACATCTCCATTACTCCGTACATTGATTTGATCATCTATCACTCGATGCCTTTTCCAGAGAAATTTTTTTGTAGAACACGCAAAAGCATCAATTTGCAGATGTCGAAGAAAAAAGGATCAAAACTCTTGGGTTTGGATGATGAGCGCTTTGCGCATCTTCGGTCTGATCCAAAGTTCTCTGGCCTGAGCAACAAAGAAAAAAAGGTGAACTCGATTCAGTCACTTACAGCCTTGTCCAAGGATTGATGTGTTTGATCTGAATAAGAAAATGTTTGATCTAAATAATAAAAACGAATAAAAGTGGTTAAGGTAACCATAGGAAGGCGGTTCGCAGCCGTCATAACGGATCCACGCTTTTCATCCAAAGCACGCGTGGATAAATATGGACGACCTGTCGAAAGGACCTCTGGTAGGTTCTAAAGTAATTGGTACTTTAATTCTTTTTTTGTTTTTGTTTTCAGATGTTTTGGATCTGTATGAGTTGGAGGATAGTGGCGAAGGTGACGATGATGCAAAGGAGTTACCTGAAAAGCACGAGAAGAAAAATGAAATAGGACGCAGAAAGGTAGATGATATGAAACAGGACTCTGCTAGTAGTGTCGAGAATGAAGAAGATGAAGAAGACGTGCCTGTCAAGGTAATCGCTCAGTTACATGTTTTATTTGCACCTCAAAGAGAGCTTCATTTTTGTTTTAGCTTGATCTGGCTCGTGGTGAAGGAAATGTCGATTCTTCCTCTTCTGATGATGATTCAGATTCTGAATCAGAGTGGAATACAAACGAAAATCTGGAAATGGAAATTGATCTGGCGCATCTAGACGAGTAAGTGGCTTATCTCAGTTGACAATTGGTAGTTTTCACTGCTTTGCGGCTTTGGGGTTTTTGATATTGGCGATGTCACCATACTGACGCAGATTTCATGTATACTTTCCTTTGAAAAAAAAAGGCTGTCATGTTGTCCTGTTTGCCTCTTTTGTAAGGAGTTTACTTTCCTATTTGCAGAGATGCAGAGCAAGTAGAATGGGCTACAAGTCGAATAGCTGCTTGCAATATGGACTGGAATGTAGTACACTGCGAGGATCTTATGATGCTTGGAAAATCGTTCATGTGAGCCACTTGCACTTTTCGTTTCTTGGCGTAGGTAGATACGAAAATTTTAGTCCTCCTGGTGGTTCCATAAAACGAATCACGATCTATCTATCTGACTTTGGTAAGGAGCGATTAGCTGAGGAAGACAAACACGGTCCCCGGCTACAGCTTAGTAAACCTTTGGAAGAGTATGAAGGGGATAAAATCGACGAGTATGTGTTTTTTCTACTGGGACGAACTGAACGAGCTTTCAGTGTGAAATCGTTCCAGAGAAACGAGATTGGCAATGCGAAAATACCAAGTCGATCAGCTACGTTATTACTATGCGATCATCGAGTGTGATTGTATGGAAACAGCCGTTTCCATCTATGATCAGTGTGATGGTTACCAGTTTGAAGCCAGTGACATCAAAATGGATCTTCGATTTGTACCAGATGGCATGGAGTTTGATGTTGGTTCATTTTGGCAGCAAGAACTCGCCTTACCCGTGAACAAATCGTGATTTTAGAAGGATCGAGTAAAGGAGACCTTGACTGAGGAAGATCTCAATGTGGCGAAGTATAAGTCAAAAGAGAAGGTAATGCTAGCTTGTTTTTTCTTGCATTTGATTGTGAGCAGTTCATGTGTTTTCTATGAAGCCAAAGGGTCATGGAAACACACCTTGTAGAAGCCCTGAACGATACGTGACATATTTAGTTGAAATCGGCTGTCGCACAAACAAGCGCTCGAATAGGCTGGGACGAGACCGAGGAGCTGCGGCAAAAGAAGTTTGAGGAAGCGTTTAAGTCAGTTTACCTTCTCTAATAGATGACTCGTCGGTAGGTAAGGCTCGCATCCATACTAGAAGTCTTTAGTGGCTGAGATATCATATGTCTACAAATGGTACATTGCGGCGTGTAGGCTATGAAGGGCACAACCTTTGATTGTCTTTCTAGTCAGTCAACATGACTAGATGGAAGCACATTTTTTGAGATATAGCGGATATATTTTATCTAGCGGGCAATGGCGGTCTCAGGATTTCCGTCTGGGAAAAAGGGGGGTAGAGAATTTCTCTCAAATGAAGGTGCGTGGCGTCAGCCACGCACTCCGAAATTTTTTTTTGGGGTGCTCCTCAACTGTTGCGGGCCCATAACCTCTAAAATCTGGAAGGGCTGATTTTAATTTTAAAAATTGAACAATTATTTTAATTTTTACAAAAATAAACAAGTCACTCATACATTTTTGAAAACCTATGTAGATAAATTTCAAAAATTTCGCGATCCATTCTTCAAACTATTCGTTCTCGTATTCCGCCACTGCCAGCGGAATAAGGGAATGAATAGTTTGATCAATTATTCCACCAGTAAACATCCAGTTTTTGCATCAACAATGTTTTGCAGCAGTGACGACGAGAATGCGGGAGTTGATCTCATTGCCGATTCCGATTCAGATAATGAAGAACATGAGAAAAACCGGCAAGCATTGTTGTCACTTCTAGGTAACAAAGAAGAAGTGAATGATGTACAGGTATGGGACATGAAACTGCTTCACTCCATTTCGAAGAAGCAGATGCTCGTTTTAGGTGGATTGGGACGATAAGGATGAGGATGGCGAAGATGATGTAGATGAGCCCAATGAACAAGAGGAGGAAAGCGATGAAAACGTCCCTGATGGTTTTCATAAGACTAGCACTGTAGATGACGAGGAAGGAACAGATCTGAAGAAAATAGAGCCTAAGAAGAAACAGGTGATTCTTTCAAGCAGCTGACGGTATAATACTCACTGCACTCGATCTCTGTAGTTGTTTCGTCACCATTCAGTCTCATTTTTCGACGACCCTCCACCACTCATATATGTTTTTTCATCACCGGTTCCCTGTCGTCGCAGTATTTTCGTGATCATCTTGCTCACTTATCCCTTGTACCATCTTCCAGGCTCTAGCTCGAAGTGAAAGTTTGAAAAAATCAATATACAAATATGGAAATATTTGCAATTATTGTTACTTTCGCTCCAGCTCTCAACCTGTGAAGAGACAAAACTGATGAAGGCGATCAATCTTCCTAATCATTTCTTTCTACTAGTATTCTCACCCACCTCCCTTCAGTTCCCAGCCCCCTTCGCTCAACTGAAGAAGAACGCTACTCCGTAGCACTCGATAATAACTATGACACTTTTCACATTTCAAGCGTATGTGTAAAGATTCTTACATCCGTTCAGGGAAAAATACATTCAGACCAGTGGCGTACTAGAATTTCCTCTCAGGTGGAGGGGAGGGGGGGGGGGGGTGGGGGAAGGAGAGGGGAGGGGAGGGGGGAGGGGGAGAGACAAAAACTTCTTAGAGTGGAGGTGCGTGGCGTTAGTCACGCACTCAAAAAAATATATTTTTGTTTGGATGCTTCTTGAAATTCTTGCTGACCCATAGTTGCGAAAAAAATTTTTTTTACAAAGCTAATCTGAACTTTCAAAATTCATTGAAATTATTCTATTTATTCACAAGTATAGACAAGTCACTTGCTTAAGTAACTTTCAATAAGTTTGCGACCCATTTTGGCACTGATCCAGACGTACATGAGGACGGCACGCCAGTCTCTGATCACTCTGCATGACATCCACAAAATTACCTGCTTTCTTCGGAACGCGCTTCTTATTTCTACTGATTTACATATTAATGTTGCTTTTTTATTTAGAAAAACACCTACCAAGCCTATTTGGAAAGGCGAAAGCAGAAGAAGGCGGAAAGGAAGCAGAAGATCTTAGAACTTAAGGAAAAGGAGCGAAATGCGTTGAAAGCTGTAGAAGAACAGGCCAAAGCTAAGCAAAAGGTAAAGTACAGAACTTCAGTGTTTGAGAACAGCATCGCAGAGTATCTGCATTGTTTTAGGAACATCGAAACCTGCGTAAAGCAGCCAAACAAAAGGAAGAAGGCGGTTTGACCGAAGCAGTCGTCCATGATGACCGATTCAAAGCATTGTTCACCGATAGCGCATATGCAATTGATCAAAGTTCTAAGAACTATAAGGTATGAGGATAATGTCTGATGTATGCATATCTTTATGCTTATTTTTACAGGGTACCAAACTCGTCGAAAAACAAGTAAGCCTCAAGAGACAGGCCCGAGATATGAGCCAAAACAAGAATACCTCAACCGAAGACGACCTCATATCCAAACTCAAGAATAAGTCCACGAAGTGGAAGCGACCAAAGCACTCAACAACAAGTTGATTTCCTAACCTCAGCTAATATACAGTCAATTCAATTGTTAATAATTTTGTTATCTGTTTACTCCAATCGTTGAAGCCTGTTATTGTTGAGATGTGCATATGAAGGTTTATTCTTGAAAGACGTTTTTTTTTAGCAAAGAACATATCGTTAAGCAAGGTTAAGATGCTAATCCTCAAAATGTTCTGGTTTCTCCAATTGGGAGCATAAACATTGAGTATATAGAGTGTGATGTAATCCTTCAAAGATGCGCCATCACGAAAATACAATCCAGATTTTCTACATGGTATGGAAATAACATATGAAGCTTTTCGATAAACTGTAGCTGGTAGCTACAAACGTTGTATCAAATTGCAAAGTTTTTTGATGAAGTGTGAGAACAAATCATTTCCGGGACAGAAAATAGCACAATTCTGAGGGATCCGGCTGATTTCGCTGGTTTTTTCACAAACATGCCACATGAAGTTATAGAATTATAATCATAGCTTAAGTAAGAAATGATGTAGAAAGGTATATGGCAATAAAATGTCATATGCTAACACAGGTACAACACAAGGCAATGATCATCAAACGAAAAACATAGTATTAGGTTGGCACGAAAGTTCTGTCGTTTCATTTTCAAAAATTTGTAACTCCGCGACATTTCAACGGATTTGCTTGCCTGTAATTTTATTAGAAAGAATAAGTCTTCCGCTTTCACAAGCTGTTTTGCGGAGCTTCTGTTTCACATTGGGTGCGGAGATAAAAATGAAAACTAGACCATATAAGATTTGACCATTTTAAGTTAGGTCACCAAAAATCTGCAATGCTGCAGAAAAATCTGAAATCGTCAGTACATATGTTCTTTGGCCTACCCTTTGCATCTGTGAAAAGTTTGTGCTGTTTGGACGTCTCTGTGAGAAGTTAAAATTTTTGCGAAAATTGACAAATTAATTTTGGCGTTTTCCATAGTGAACTCGATATTCATAACTTCTCACAGACACTTGCAAACAGCACAAACTTTTCACAGATAAAAAGGGTAGGCCAAACATATGCACTGACGATTTCAGATTTTTCTGCAGCATTCCAAATTTTGGTGACCTAACAGAAAATGGTCAAAGCTTATATGGTCTTATTCCTTTTTTATCTCCGCAACCAGTGTGAAACAGAAGCTCCACAAAACAACGATTGAAGGCGGAAGACATAATCTTTCCAATAAAATTACAAGCAAGCAAATCCGTTGAAATTTTGCGGAGTTCAAATTTTTAAAAATGAAACGACAGAACTTTCGTGCCAACCTAATATTTATGATTTATTGAAACCTTTTTGCTAAATTACTGGTGATTATCTATAGACAGATAAGAGGATACCTCAAGCGCTCGTGCAGCTCTCAGCTGGCAGATCGCACATTGATCGTATGGATTGCGAGTTACTGCTAATGCTAACACGTGCACTAAGCCATGGCACTACTTCATGGACATGTAGACAAATTCATAGATATGAATAAAAAGGAAAAATTAGGTTTCTTATCTCGCATAGATGTCCCCACTCAGGGATTCGCGCCGTGTGAGCGGTCCTACTACAGGCATCAGTGCACAAACGGCCGACATAAACCTGAAGCTTCCGTGCGTGCGGCGAACAATGAAAATTTCGTCTAAGCGGCAGAATCCTACCGTGCAATCAGGCGGCAGTACAGTAATTGTCACAAGCAGTGAGCCTAAACGGTACCTGCGTGAGATACGGCGCAGAGTTTAGGGGGCCATTGTCATGATATGTCTGTATCAGCAGCAGCGATCTTCATTATCCAGGAGATCGAGGAAGGTTCATGAGTTTATGCATGGTCAGAATGTAAGTGTAGACTCCCAACATAAATCGTTGGGCCAATGCTGCACGATCCACGTTCCCGTGTGTAAAGACCAACATACTCAAAGAGAAGGACCAAGGTATCTCGTTACCCAAACAGCGAGGGAGCGGCTCACCTTCCCCGCGTAAGCGGCGAGCGATAGTACCGTACGTCCGCCAACCGCCACCCTATGATCGACCCTTGACGACCGCACAATCGCACACACCAACGAGCGTTTGTAAGGTCGTCGCTGGCCGCTCCCACGGCGCGAGCCCCTGAGCACGTTTTCCTACCCGAGGAAGATCTTCCTTCACTTCTCACAGGCTTTGATTCTGTCCATCCATCTCATCTTGGGCTTAACTCTGGGTCTTTTGCCTGGTGCCTCCACCGTCACGGCTAGCTTGAGTGTTCCTCCCTTCTGCACGCGTGCGCATACCAAACAGCCTTCTTTCCTGCATTTTCTGGACAACTGAAACTAATTTCTTTCCGGCTTTTTTATTCGGGCTCGAACGATGTCATTGCAAATATGATCTTTCAGTATAACTCCTAAGGTCCATTGTAGCAATTTTGTTTTCTTATCCGCGTAACATGGCCAGCACTCACTGTCATACAGTGCTGTTGGACGGATTACGATACAATACAGTTGGACTCAAGTTGCACTGGCATTCTTTTGCCGCAAAAAACTCCTGTTAATACTCTCCATTTCATCCATGCTGTGTTTATCCTGTCTCAGCTCTTCAGTGGCAAGAAAAGCTTTAGATGATACTCAACTACTCAATAGATAACACAATGCGCATCTCTAGCGGTGTCTCATCAGTGCTTGAAAGAAGTTCACAGAAAATACATTCATCGCCTTCGAAGATAGATAAGACCAGTGTTGATCTAACCGAAATAATTTTTTCCGGCCTGAACATGGTAACCCCTGAAAGGCAGAATTGAGTCCAACTTCTACAATAGAACGTATGCCTACAATTTCAAAGTTACGTGTATTCAGAGAATCTGAATTCTAAGATAAATATAGATTGAACAGTATATGTACCTCAATGATACATAAAATTCTTTCAAGAAATATTACCTAAAATCCGTACAATAAGTCAGACTATCAGATAAGTCCACCGATCAGATAAGTCCGCATAACTACGTATCAGATAAGTCCGCTTTCTTGACAACCTCGCGCCGCCAAGAATCCTGCGGATAGGTCCGCTTTTTTCAGATGAAAACAAGAAGGATGCGTAATTGCGCTGCCTTTTTTGGTCTCAAAATGAGTCAAAGCAACAAATCTTTATTCAGGTTCCATTCCATGTTCATCATTATCAAAAACGTGGCTGACGACGCTGGTTCTTCGTCTAACGACTAAATTCTTTTTCTTCATAAATGATTTGCACCACGACGCCAATGCCTTGAAGTACTGCCGGCCAGAATCCTGCTCTAGCTGCAATGCCTTCGCTCGAATGTCCTTGACAAGCATGCTCTGCTTGCTTCTCGCCTCTGCACCATCCATGCAAAGACAGCTTTCTCGATTTCCTCTACCTTTTGCTTCCCATAACGGTTGGCGCGTTTCCTCAGTGGCATATCCTCCAAATTCTCCTTATCGGCCTTCCATCTTCGAATCAGACGTGCAGAGACTTCGCAATGAGCAGCTGCAGCCGATGTTCCATGTTCCAAGGCATATTCTATAGCGTTAAGCTTGAAAATCGTGGCGTAGGACTTCTTTCTGGTAGCCACTGAGATCCGAGACACCTGAACATCTTGAGACATAGCATGTGAGACCATACCTTCGATACATAGAGCCATGTACTCTGGTAACCTTCACTTTGAGCGTCATGATAGAACACAACCTTCACCTGGGGAGAAGTACAGAAGTCATCCGGGGCGAAGCCCCGGAAATTATGACATAACTAATGACATAACCGTATAGGGATGAATTTAAATGAGGCAAATATAGCAGTGACATTCAAAAGAAGCTCAAAAAACCAAAGGATTGCGTTTTTATGGCCTTTTTTTGTTGAGAAGAAGGTTTTTATTTAAAAATTTTATCAAAAACTAGGGCAAAATTTCTCAGTTAATTTTTCTCTGAACTGCGGTTGAATGTTGGAAGTTCATTAAAGCCGCTAAAGTTCAATAAAAACGAAAAACTGCGCTCAAATCTTGCGCAAAGAGTCGCCATATGAATGCTGGTCTATCTCGTTATGGAGTGATTTGTAAGACCCGCGACGTTGTCAGTGCTCCTGGCCGTCTCATGAGGATCACAACGATATATAATGATGCAGGGTTTCGTTGAGACCCTGCGAAGATCTACGACCAGAGCCAAATGCCCCATCGGCTCTGGTCTGTCTCCGCTGCTCGTCTGCGTCTCCGCGCGCTGCGCGCTACCTCGCTACCTCAAATGCGGGGCGTGGGGCATTTGGCTCTGGTACCCTTTTCTTCGTTGTTCGGAGCCCAATTTCGATAATCTATATATCATATTAAAGCTCTTGATCTCCATTTTCACGCTGACAACGTCGCGGAACTTCTTTTTAGGATTTAAAAGAGAAATCCTCGAAAAACGGCGTTTTCGAAAACCTCTTGTTTTTTCTTCAGTTTAACTTTTTTCACTCGGTTTTTTTGTGCATTCGATAGGTCTTGTTTCTGTCTATGATGTAGACAACGTCGCCGAGCTTACTTCTTTGCTTATGCCGGTTTTTTTGTGAAAAATACAAAAAAGTGCGTTTTTCTTTACCTTGTTCTCTTTCTGTGCTTTTGCAGCGAATTTTTTCCAGCTTGGACGATACTTGCTCAGAATGATGAGCGGAAGAATCCAGACAACGTCGCAGCGTACGAAACGACTATGCGGGGGTGAAAATTTAAAGGACGCATCAAAAATCAGATTGGCGTCGATGTGCAACACAACTTTACAGACATGTTTAACATGTTCAATTCAGTTGTTAACAAGTTCTTCTTCTTTCTATCTCCCAACTAACGCCACAGCTAAACAGCGCTTTTTTTTGACTGGAAAAGAAGTTTGTTGTTATTGCCACCCAATTTTACCGGCAATCCTGGAGACGAAACTCTGCGTAGGAAACCATCAAGTTAAGGTTTCAGATTTGGTGATGTGCTAACCTCTGCTTTATATGAATTTTCTAAGTTCTCTAATTTAATTTGTATCTCTAAATTTTCGTCTATTTTTCTGAAACAACCTTCACTTTTTATAGGGGGCAAGAACCCAAACAACTATCACTTTCTAGCCCTTGTCTCTTGACTATCGAAGGTATGTGTGAGACTATGGTGGAATAAGGATCTGCGTGATTGCAAACTTCGCTGAGTTAGCGGTCATTGCACAATGGAATCACGAGTGCGCTGATCACCGAAAGGTTTACTCTTTTACAAAAAAAGCAGGCGGCACCAAATTTGTTTACTCTGTCTTTTGTCTTGGAAGTACAAGCTTAATGAAACAAGAATTGAGAAAAAGAACAAAGAAGCCTGATGCTTTGCTAAGGTTGAGCGTTTTTAGACTGTCACTCTTCCGTTCATTAAAGCATTTGACAAAAGCCGTATGGCGTGGGTCAACAGAGACTACGTTCAGACCATGTAAACAGCAGAGGAAGCAAAAAGTATAGGCAGTCAGGTTCAAGGGTTGTAGCCTGCACAGGTTCAAGCGAGTGTTGAGAACATTGTCGCTTTCGAAATGAATGCTACCAATGATAAGATGAGATGATTACAATGGCACAATGATGACCCATTAAGATTCTTTTCATCGGCAGAAATCGCTCAATTTCGTACAGTGTCATATCTAGGAAAAGAACTCGCCTATCCAGCGTACGCGATGACGAATCCGCAACGATACTGCCAGCAAGTAGACTGTACGACTTGTCGAATCCTTGGGCTCTTTCTTTCAGGCGATATCGCGGCCTTGTTTGAATCTACACCGGCAACTACGCGGGCGGTTGCGCGCGTCTATGCTCCTAGGTCGCGCTTGCTCATGCTCAGGACAGGCGGACTTATCTGATAGAGGATTTAGGAGGACTTATCTGCAAGACTTTTGGCGGCGCAGAGAGCGATTTTTCATCGATTTCTCGTGTTAAAACTGCAGATAAGTCCGGACTTATTGTACGGATTTTAGGGTATGCGCAATTTTTAAGAAAAAAGTGCTGTGCTATGTATTTATTCACAACAGTTCGTTACAACCAAAAACGTGATGATATTCACAAGGCAGTATTGACAGCGGAGCTCTAGTTACTTCGTATCGTTCCACTGATAGAGGTCCAAACTTTTCTTGCCAAAAATTGTTTGAGCGACTGCACTTTGGCAGGTCTACGGTGATTGTAAAAAAGAATATAATTGAATTGAATTTCTGAAAACAAGGAAATGTTCTATCACATCTTTACGATTTCACTTCATCACACATTTTTTGAGATCGCTACGTAAATACGTCTTTACTACTACTTTGCATTTGACTATCTGACCTAAACTGAAACATGCCGCCGCGCGCTCCGTTGTCGAATGCACTGTTTTGATTATTTAATTACAACAATTCGCTGTCATTTTTTTTGTTCTGCTATTCATTACCATTCAATTCCACTATTTAATTCCATCCGCGTACTTGTTTTTAGCCAAGTTACAGCATGTGGTACAACCTGCATTGAACACCTTTCAGACTGACCTGCATGCTCGCAAAATAATGCCCTTTCAAAGTATATATTTCTTTATTGACGATGAGGAACAACCTGAGGTTGCATGTACAAATTATTGAAAAAATAATACAGCATAACAAGTGCACAACTGCAAAATCGAATTTCTGCTAAAACATTGTAATTGCCGGTAGGTCATCGTCAGATTACAACATTGAGTTTACAAGAAAAACTAAGTACAATCAAAACAATCTATTCAACAGTAGTAGGTCTGAAATAAATGACAGAAAGCATGTGACGAGGAGATGGAGCCAAACATTCACAAATTCATGTAAGACTAGAATTCTCCTCCAGACAATTCCGTGGACAGGATTATGCGGATCTAACAATAATAAGATTCTTATCGGTTGATGATTATTTTACAAACTTCAGCATAAACAGGTTTACATGCACTGACCTTTCCAAGAATTCTGCAGCAGCAAATAATGTGTGAACCTAGAGAACGCAGTAAAGGCGCAACAAAAGAAATCCCAAATTTGACCGGCGCTTCTTCCTAGCTCCCTTCTATGATGGACTCGCCAACTGTAGGGAAGTAACGCTTCTCAAAGTGTACAAAGTGTACACTCTTCAGGCAACTAACGGAGATAACGCAGCTAAAAAGCAAACAAGCACATACTAGCGTGAGATCAAACTGCATTTGCCTTACACATAATCAAACTAACAGTAAGTGGGGAAATTTTTAGATACTCGTTTCCTGGATTGCTAACAATATTGCAGAACCACCGTATGACCCAAAACTCCTCTCTAACTAGCTTCGTTGGAAATTTCTTCCTTCATCTTCTCATCTATACGACTGTGATTTTCAGGGAGATCCAACTCTGGCATTTCTGACGACTTATTGGCAGGCAAGGCAGCAGTGCCGTTTCGTATAATTTTCTCAGGTTTTTGCATAGTTCCATTTTTGAGGTCCCCTGCCGACCGCTTTCGTGTCGCAGCCTTCGTAGGTTTGAAGTTCTCCAAAGGATGAATTGACTTCCACACGATTTCTAAACAGAAGATGCAAAGAAGAATAGATTATAAGTGGACATCTTCATTTGAAATATGAAGAGGTTGCTTAGGTTTGCGGCATCCTAAAAGCGGCGTATCATTTGTATAAAGTGCGGTTCATATTTATACGAACACCCAAAATTTTGTAAGTTTTCGGACTTTTTGGGAGAAACTTAAAAAGCCGTTGGTACCACGCGATAGAACACAGCCGAAAACGGTATATGATCCATAAGAATGGAAATCGATGTCAACTGTAGGAGTGTTTTTGTGCCTAATGCGAATTTTTAGCGGTTCATAATTATACGAACACCTCAAACAAAGGTCCATTTTTCATTCAAGATTGCAATCATTTGAGTCCAAATTTTTTGTAGGGTTACAGTAACAAAGTCTGACATATCTGCCATACACTGAACCCAGTGCAGTTCAAAACGATTACCGTTACTTTTTTGAGAAGGCTCCAAATGCTTTTGGAATGACTGCGCTCCAAAAACATCCGTTCTTCTGTGGTTTACGCGCTCTAAGTAGCTTCTACCAAAGCTACGAGATAGAATAAGCTCTTTCGATAGGTATTTTGTTTGACGCTTGGAAAATGTTTGCGTTTTCGTGCCGTTTTTCAACCAAGTTCCAACCTTACCAAAGAGTTGGCACGATTTCGAGCCTCAAAACTCAGCTTCTGAAGCCGTACAATGAAGTAATCATATAGTATGTAGAACTTCACAAGACTTTATATTTGGTTAGAAAAAATCAGCAGCCTTGAGCGTTTGTTTTGGTCACGCAGACGTCATTTCACCAAAAATACTGTTTTTACTATTGCAATCACACCTTTAATTGGTTTGTAGCTCCACAGCCGCAAGATCAGTTCTAAAAAAAACCCCAAAAACTTCGGCACAGAAACATCATCATGCAAACAGTGCAGCTGCTTCATATCAAATGTTTGCGCAAGAGAGAAGCTGAGTTTTGAGGCTCGAAATCGTGCTAACTCTGTGGTAAGATTGGAACTTGGTTGAAAAACGGCACGAAAACGCAAAGATTTTCCAAGCGTCAAACAAAATACCTATTAAAAGAGCTTATTCTATCTCGTAGCTTTGGCAGAAGCTACTTAGAGCGCGTAAACCACAGAAGAACGGATGTTTTTGGAGCGCAATCATTCCAAAAGCATTTAGAGCCTTCTCAAAAAAGTAACGGTAATCGTTTTGAACTGCACTGGGTTCAGTGTATGGCAGATATGTCAGACTTTGTTACTGTAACCCTACAAAAAATTTGGACTCAAATGATTGCAATCTTGAATGAAAAATGGACCTTTGTTTGAGGTGTTCGTATAATTATGAACCGCACTTTATTATGCTGCTTCAGCACAACAGCTGAGATTTTTACCACTCGCCGACGCTCGGCTTTGTCAGAGCTTGGAAGGTCAAAGACAGTAATTAACCTCTCATGTGTCAACAATAGAGTCAGATCCACATTCGAATGGCTCGGAATCAATCACGGTGGTTAAATTCACCTCGGAGGGCAGCACGAGGGCTGCAGCAAACACCTTATAACAAGTCCCCCCTCCCCGTTATCAGTTCTTTTTGACGGGTTAATCTAATTCCGTTTGAAACTGCGCGTTACCAAGGTGAGTGGCTTCAGCCATGCACTCTGAATTTTTGAGGTGCTTCCCAAAATTTTTGCGGGCTCGTAACTCCAAAAATCTAGGAGAAAGGGGCGTGGCAATGCCACGCCCTCGAAAAGCACTTGCAAAGCTAATTTGGATTTTTAAAAATTCTTAAAGATAATTTTTTGATTATCTACAAGAATACACGAGTCAATTGCACATTTTTATAACCCATGTAAGTAAATTCCAAAGATTTCGCGACTCCGCCACTGGTATCACAGTATTTTCACTGCTATGTCTACAGTACCACTCAATTCAATCTCCATTTTTAGTGGGATCGTCCGTTTTGGGACGATCTCAAAAACAATTGCAGGAGTTGACGCCGATTGCTGTGGCTAAATTTTGACTTCTTTGTAGTAATGCCCCGTTCATCTGAACAGCGCACTTAACTCCTGCGAAAAGAGTCGTCATGGGAGGAATACTGAAACGCTGGGTTTAGTTTTGGGCTGTCTCTGCAGACTACCCAGTTGTCTTTGAGGAAACCCAAGAAGTATTAGTTGAGTAATAATCAAGCGACTGTAGATTATAGTTAGCACCGAATATTCGTGTTCGAATAGTTTATTCGAAATATTCGACTATTCGAATATTCGAATAGTCGAATATTTGAGAAAGTCCATTTATTCGATTATTCGAATAGTCGAATAAATGAAAAAGACCTATATTCGAATAATTCGTTCATTAGACGATTTCGAAAAATGACTTATTCGAATATTCGTTCATTCGAGGAGTTTTGAAAAAAGGTTATTCGAATATTCGTTCATTCGAGTAGTTTTAAAAGATAGTTCTTCGAATATTCGAATATTCGAATATTGCATTCAAATATTCGAATAATATTCGAACATTTATTTGAAATTAGTCGAATATTCGATCAAGTTCGGTTATTCAAGTATTCGTTCATTCGATTTTTGGAATGAGCCAATATTCGAATATTCAAATTCGAATAAAATGAAAGACGAAATTCGAATAATATTCGTTCATTCGAAGAATTTTCAAAAATCAAATATTCGATATTCATTCGTTCGAAAAATTTTCGAAAATCAATTACTCAATATTCATTCATTCGAAAAAATTTCAAAAAATGATTATTCGATATTCGTTCATTCGGCGAAAAATTCTGTTCGTTACAACTATACTGTAGATCGGAAACCGTAGCATACCAAAATCATGATTTATATGTAAAACAACTTTGACAACAGCCAATTCATCTAAGCACTGAAAATTATTCGCTCCCCACTCTATCATTGTTCTTTCTGGTGATGCAAAGAAGCACCTACCACCATCAGTCTTCTTGTCATCGTCCAGTGTGATGTCGAGATACTTCAACACCTTGGTCATAACATCATCAACCAATCCGTGAATGGCTATGTCTGCTTTCTTTTCCTGAGACAAAACCCGATCCTATTTATGAAGCAACATTTTACGGAAGTTTCGGCAAGGATGTTCATAAAACACACGTGTTTTGTTGCTTGCAGGTTGACTGTCACCATTTTTCCACCGCTCTTTTGCGCCAATAAAGGCATGTTACCCACGGGCACGATTTGTAATGAAGTTCCCAAACAAAGCGATAAGTCAGCATTCTAGAAGTAGACATTTTCAAACAGTTCTGATACCAAGTAATCTGTCCATACTTTAGCGAAATTGTACGCAATGGTCAAATCTGGTTCCGGTAAAGAATCTTCCCAGTCTAATGTTGTATCACGAAGTCGGCCACGGCAAGCGCGGCCACTCGGAGTGCCTTCACAAGATCGACCAGTGAGTTTCAAACCAACAGTACCAGTTGCGAAATCCCGGTAGTATCGTCTAGACTGGTAAGAAATTGTACGACAAAGTGTCAACTTGATGGCAGTGTTCCGGCAAAATTTCAGCCTTCTCTCCATGAGGAACCCATATCTGTGCTCATTGCGCATGAAAAAGGCAAAAACCAGATTTTCTTGAAGCTTTTCAAGTCCGCATTTAGTGGAAAATACGTGTAAGTGGGCGGAGTCCGAAACGAGGAAGGCGGAAGACTTCCGGCGTATCTTCACTGAATGCGGACCTGAAAAGCTTAGAGAAAGGCTCACTTCCGCCCATTTTCATGCGCTGAAACGCCCAGATATGGGTTCTTCATGGCGAGCAAATTCAAAATAGGTGAAAAACTGAACAGCGAAAATTTGCCGAGACGAAAGAAATATGGATCACCTTGAGCATCTTTCACACTGTTCACAAAATACGTTCCCATGTAGTTCTGCAAGTCGATTTAAAGGAAAAGAAGATTTCGGATGCAATCCATCTACATTTTGTGAAACTACAAATCTAAACGAAGAGGTTATAAAGAGAAACAAATGCTGAAAGTGCTCTTTACTTCACAAGCCCGCGTTCTTCGAGCAACTTGAGTGCTCGATGAGTCAGAGTTGGTTGGGCTTTCGTAAAATCCACGCTTTCTGCCACTTTCCCCTCTTTTTCTATAGTCCAAACACCCTTAGGTCCTCGAAAATCTGCGATACCTGCGGAAGTGGAGATGCCTGCAGGAAAGAGTAAATCGCATCATTAGATAATTTAATCAAAATCCCTCACCTGCCCCTGTTATCACAAAAGCACACTTGCTTCGCAGGAGTAGTTGAGCTAACTCGAAGCATTTTGTTTCTAGCACTTCCGGTGGATCAATAATCTACCAATAAAAAACATCATATCTTCTGTGCAAAAACTTCAAAGAAATGATTAAGAAGTCTGGTTGCGCAACGTAATAAGAAAACTGATAACTCTGATCACCTCGGGCATTCCAACTTCGCCCTTATTCTCATATGGTGACAGGGCCTGTGCATAATTAAGTGACATACCTGTAGTGCCCCTGAAGATCAATTTAACAACATAACGAACAAAAAACATATCGGGCAAGAAACAATAGGGCGTTCAGAACACGTCGAAGATGAATATCCAAGACTAGGAAATATTTTATGCAAAAACCTGTAATCAATCACAGCAAAAGACATGCACTTCTGCTGGTGTAAATGAAGTAGATTATCGTGAATAGCATTTGATTCGCACTTCATGCATTTCCCTGTTCCCATTGTTTCAAAAGCTTGAAATGAAGTCTGCTGTGAAAATATTCTCATGACAAATGGATGGAACAAACCTGAGTGATGTATGATTTGTGCATATAATACTTAGTGAGACCAAGGACGACAGGAATTCTGCTCAACAGAGACACTGCCCGAGAGGTGCATCCACCATGATTCAAAATGGCGAAACAAAGCTTGACGAACCGTATTCTGTAAGATCGCATTAAGTGTCAAGCAGTGGCGGTCATGAAAATTATCAGCGTGACGTGAGCCAAGCTTTCTAAAAAAAACTTTATGAGATGCTTCTCAGCTTTTTTGTGGCCATGACACCAAAATTTTCGAAGAGAGACAGTAAATTCCATACGGAATGTCCTTGAAAATTCCGAAAAATTGTTCGGATTGAACAAATTTGGAAATTCGCTGGATGAGCGAACCTCAATTCTTCATTGTTCGCATGGCCATTGACCCGCAAATTTCTTGCAACTAGAGTAAGGGCCATCGCTAATGCCTGTAGTGTCAGCTCAGCTGAATGCGACTCCACAGAGGCAAACCTAAAAATCACAGATGAAATTATATTCCTTGGAAAAACGACAAAGACTTACGTATTTTCTATCTTTGCTATTGCGTTTTGCGGATCGAACATTCTCGCATCTTCGATGATCTGTACATGAGGTGACAACACGAAATCAGTGGGAATTTTTGAACACTTCGCAAAGTATAGACAGTTTTCCTTCCTAGAAATGAAGAACGTCAACAGAAACTAGATGGAGATAATTGCTAACTTCTTACTTTTCCAAAGTATATTCGAGGAAATCGCAATCCGCACGCAAGGCATAAGTTTCCTCTTCTCGATTCAATTCTTTGATGTGCCTCAGTACTTCATCACATGCTGATGTTGGTGATAAAACAACGAGCGTTTCCAGGCAAAATCGGCGCTCACGGATATCTTTCGTGTGATCCAGCAATTTTATTACTGAGACGATCAAGAAATGAATGCCTCTAAAAACAGACTTATTACGAAGCTTCTCAAAATTAGGTCTAATTGTAATTTACTGACTCTAGCATTGTTCGAGAATAACATTCGATGTAACCAAGGGATAAACGAGTGAGAAAGCTCAGTAACAGGATCCTTTGAAGTGACGGTAGGTCGGATAACGACAGACATCGATGCACTATCTGCATATGGGATGTTCCAATGAATACATAAAATTGTCAACTTACCTCCTGCCAAAATTTCGATCTCGTAGAGATTATATAAAATGCTGGTACTACCCGACTTTTTGTGATGTAACGAACCATGAATCCTGCAGAGCATCGAAAAAACTCCATGAAGAAAACGCCACTATAATTCGCACTTACCAAACAGTATCGTACTCGCACTTCGTACCAAGAAATCATCATGTTTCTGAGCGTCTACACAGTGCCAAAACGTGAATTCCACGAAGTCCGGTGGCATTTCTTGATAAATGTTTAGTCGAAGCAACAACTCATGTTAATTTTCGAATCAATCAACTTACTACACTCGGCCTTTGATGCAAATAATTTCAACGTTTTAAGCAGTCGTTGATGCACATTCGCATTCAATGTTGAGTCGGCGAGCGTAGATTGGCATGACTGAAGATCACTAGATCTCGAAATAGCAAAATGTTACAACTAATATTTATCATCTGGTGTCCACAAGGTAAAATTCATGCACGCAGAGAAGGAGGAAGGAGAAATAGACGGTAATTCTTTTCAACGTTGTTCCAGATTGAGCAAAGACTTTACAAAACTGTTCTTTTTGAGATCAGAGCCAGAAAATATGCGAGCTGACTAATTTAGCAAACTTTGTAAGAATTACACCGTATCAAGAACTCCGAACTAACCTCAAAGAAAATCCTCATCAGATCTCTAGACTTCTCACAAGTGGACCATAGGATGCGAGAGAGTGGTAAAGTACGACACTGAGCTTTTTTGTCAATCAGCTGGTTCATAGCCTAGATAGTAAGCCTTCGACGTCGTTCTTGATTAAAATGTCTGCGTAAAGCAGTGAAAAAAGTAAAGCAAAATGCGAGAAAAGTAAAAAAGGGACTCACCCAGCAATAAGTGTATTCTACCAGATAGAAAAAGTGTTTTTCTAGATGTTCATGTGAGAGAAGCCCTTCGATAACTGTGCATCCATGGTCCACCACCACCTCAAAATACAACTGCATACAAAGTTTTTTACAAATGGTCATCCTTACTCATTTGGATGAGTAATAATAGAAGAAAGCAAGACGAATAAAACCTTCAAACGGCATCTCGTCACAGCTTCGCAAATGGCAGCAACAGCGGTGTTTACATCCTCGTGAGATCTTATGAGGTCGATGAGATCCTATAAGCGAAATGTTTCAATCTGCCCGAGTGTTCTGACACTGACAGCTTACAATGATGTATCTGGCGAAAACCCTCTGGTCGTGACCAGCTTCTGCCAGATTTGCATACAAGTCAGGAAAACTTGGACACGACTTTAGGTCCTTAGATCCAGACAGCTGCAGAAATTCTTCTAAACGCTCTTTGGCTTGCTCCGGGCGTGGAAGTGGTAACAGTTCTTGCACATTAACTCCATCCGGTAAATAGCTGGCTCCCCGCTAAATTCGATTTATATCAAAAATTACTACGCTAGTTGAGGAACGAAAATGTACCTGCTGCTCATCAGCTTCGCTCTGCTGCTTCAGAATGTTAAGAATTCGCATCCACCCTGATTTGCCTCCATCACTCATTTTACAGAATGCTGCAGCTGTTGCCACTGCTTTGCGCAAACTCGCTAAGGAACTCAGGCCATTTTTCAGTATGAAATCCTCTAAAATGCTATTTTCTGTCAAAACACACTAGAGATTGAAGGTGGAATTACCAAGGTCATGATTATATTTGTCCTGCTCCGATGAGCTTTTAATACAACTGAACCATATGCGGAAGGCCTCAAGGCGGATATCGGGGAGGTGCCATTTTAGACCAGCTTGAATGACCTGCAAGGATATTGTAATATTGAGTATGTGAGATTCTTCTATCAATTGGCAAGAGATTCAAAGGATGTGGCGCAAGACCCCTCCCCTTTGTAAATTATTCTCATTTATTGCAGTCGCAGAAAACTTTTTTTGGTGAGCAAAAAGCGAGACGATTTGAAATGACAAGGTGTGGCGTTGAAAAGCTCCCGAACATAATTTAAGAAATTACAATTTCACATTGATTGAGTAACGCGCGTAGAAATGAAAATGATAAGGAAGTTTTGGTTGACTAACCGCATCATCCACATCTAGTTCTTCATGAAATCTTTGCTGGAGATCACCAGACACCTTCAGATAAGCTTCTAGCACTCTGTCAACTTTCCATGTCACTTCCTCTGACTCGTCGCAATTCCAAAGTGGATCAATGCACGAGAAGTCCTCAAAAGCATGCTTAAGCATATAATACGATAAACAAAGATCGGAGGCACAAAAACACCTACCTCGAATTCCCATATGTAAGGTGGCCATGATACGTCATCGTCAACTTTTGAAAACTCTGCACGCAACGAGTCGCGCAGGTTCTTGAAAAAATGAAAACTACTTTCGGAGACATTGATGCGACCGAACCATCGATAGACATTCCAGCGGATACACCTTAGAAATCGACAGGTGTCTTCTTATAGCTACGGCGATAAAGACGAGCACAAACTTTACGTGATGCGAAAGTCCATCCAAAAATAGTAGAGTAAGTTCAGACGATGCTGGAAGTCGCGTCACCAGCAGAGCTATTAGATCGGCTGCTGCATTGGTGATCAGCTGATTATCCATACACTGAGTCAACTGCTTACAGACTTTTCCGGTCACAAGATTCACCTTAAATACATAAACGAAAAAAATGAAAGAAATAAGGAAAACTGAAAAAAAAGATAACCCACATCATACTTGTCCATATTATCGCGTAGTAAAAGTCTCATTAGTCCATATCTGCCACGGAGGTGCAACGGGAGAGAATCGAAACAAAAGTCAAGCACCTGAAGGAGTTATAAAATGACAAGACAGATATTCTAACAGATTACCTTCTCTTCTTCCGTCATTGTCTTTGCAACAAAATGAATGGCATTCTCAAAAGACTTCGAGCCTCGTTCTAACTCAGACAAAAGTACGAATACCAGTAACAGATACCTAGACATGCTTAATAACACTATATCTCAAGGCAAACTTGACAATACCTTCTCAGCTTTTTAGCCTCTTCTGCTGTGAACAATGAAATGACATCTGCACCTTTTTTGCTCAGATACTTTGCCAGGCTTGCGAGAAATACGGCTTCGTCATCGGAATCACTAGGATTGACCATTGAAAAAACTATGAAAGAGTTAAATATAATGCAATCACCTGATTTTGTGCCTTTCAAAGAGCAACATCCAAGTTTTTATGGCTTTCACACTACGTTCTTCATTGGCTGCTTCAAGCACTGCTGTAAGCATGATCCAGTCAACCTTGATGTGGTGGATAAAAGCTTCTTTGCCATGGATATGCTCTGCATGAAGTAATAGCTTGGCAGCAGCAAGCCTTGTGTTCGACGAGAACTACAAAAAACCCCTTTTTATACCATATTTCCTTACAACCTAGGTAAGCAGTAGCAATGGCAATTAAAATGTCATATTTTAATGATGTAAAGATTGCTTAAAACGCCTACCTCGTTATTAGACAAAACATTATGAATGTCCTCCAGAACATCAGTGCCTACAGAATTCGTATTTCGAGCATTCTGAAACACCAACCTACGCTGTGGTAAAGTTTGAACGACAGCTTCAGTTTAGTGTACAATTGTAGAATACTACTATGTCCGGAAATCACAACTAGCTCAAATTTCATCTTTGTTCGGTTCAATGGATAGTGAAATGGTGACATAAACGTACTTTGATGAATGTGTTCAAAAGTGTCTGTAAGCGCGATGAAATGAGCCAATAGTACAACCAGAATTGATGCTATGTCATACCCAGAGGATAAAAAAACCACACAAGTATTCAGGCAGTATCCCTCGGTACTCCACGCCTTAGTTGAAGGCAGTGTCAGGGCAATAGGTCAATTTTCAGATTTTGGGCTTACCGGTCATCCGCTATGCTGGATATGAAAATCTAGCGCGAAAAGGGTGAAAAAGGGCTCTAACGCAGGAGGGGAAACAGCAGTTGGGCGGGGCCTTCTGCTCGGTAGAGTCACTCCCCCAGCTTCAGAAGCGATCTTCTCGCTTTCGCTAGCCGGCCTAACATTGCCACAGAGCAAGTGCGAACGCATGACGTGAAATCGGAACCGAGAAGATCGATTTGATGCTGGGAGGATAACTTCACAGTATGGAAGACCCTGGCCGCCTGCTAATTCTCCTCTTGCGTTAGAGCCATTTTTCGGCGTTTTCGCGCTCTCCAGTGTGATTCGGATTCCGCATTGCGAATAAGCTTTGATAAGCACCAATTCTCATAGCCAACTCCTTTCCCGGACAATGCCTTTGAAATTCGATAAGCGATTCAATATCAGTAATATTAAAATAAGGCCATGCAAATGAACTTACAGTGAATTTATTAAGATACTCGCGGTCGTCCTCCGAAAACACTTCACTCATAATACAGCTCCTCGTATGAAAACTGCAAGAGAAGATATCGGTATCCGTAACAGTCCAGTTGAAAAATATCGTCGAGCAAACAGACGGAAGGACCTGTATATATTAAGATGTTTGGGTTCCTTCATACTACGCCGCGCACGCCGCTGCAGCGCAATGGAAATATGCTCACGGCAGCAGAGCTCCACTTTTTTTGATGTATCTCTATATTTGCTGCACATTCGTGTCCCTCAATAGTGTTCCTTCACGTTATGCATTTCGTCTTCTCTTTTGCTTTGTTTATCCTGTCTATCCTTTGTCTATATCAATGATTGATGGAATGACTTAGGTTGTTGTGCTCCCTCTACTTTTGAGTTTCACATTTTGTATCGTAACTGACTACACATCGCGTCATCTGGTTGTATATTGGTAGTATATGGTTGTATGTTGTATCTGGTTGTATACTTGCGCTGTTAACATCTCCTTACAAACACACCACTGGATGAAAAGCATTTCTCTTCTTCATATTTCCATATTTCCATTGCGCCGCAGCGGCGTGCGCGGCGTACGCGGCGTAGTATGAAGGAACCCTTTGATCTATAATCAGTTCGCCGAGTAAATGCTACATACAAGGGCTTTCAATCTGAGTGTCACGGTCGCATGGTTCAGGTACGCGAGCCGCCTCGCTTGGGTCTCTCACGTGGTACAATACCGCATCCGCTTAGGCCTTCGCGATATCGGATGCGGTATTGTACGACGTGAGAGACCCAAGCGAGGCGGCTCGCAAAAAATTTGAACAACGTCGACCGCGACACTCAAATTGAAAGCGCCAGTACGTCCTCTAATATATTTATGCACTGCTGAAAATAAGGTCTCAGACAAGAAAAGCTTGCTCGACAAAAAGAAAGCATCTCATTTAATGATCTGAGCCTATATAACAGAGAGCTAATGAAATGAGACATGGGAGGTATCATCGTTTGGTAAAAAGGTACTAATAGCTTAAAAGCCGTGCAACAGAACGCTTATGCACACTCCTATGCAAGCACGGAAAAAAATTGATTATTGTCGCACTTTTGATGTAATCGATGGCAGTGCATTGAGTGGCTATGGATAAAAAAACACTTAAGACAAAAGCGACTGAACTGAAGAATGACCATCTCCAATAGTAAACGATTAGTCTCACTCCCGCATTTAGACGGTAAATATTATCTACTTCACGATGTAATTATGCTTTCAATGCTTTCAGTTACAAACATGTGAGCTACAAATTTGACATATGTCGACCCAGAAGGATTGGTTATGCTACGAATGTTGCGAAGGCCCTCAGATGATCTGATTCCCTGTCAAGGCTGAGGCGGTAGTCGAAATACAACTTTATATTCTATCTTCAACCAATATTTCCGTCCTTAGGGTTTGGTACAGCCCAAATTTAGCTAGTGTATGGGAGATCGACCTTGTAAAGCTAGTATCTCCACCGTTGCAAGTAATCAGCGTCAATGTAAATGAGCAAAGTACGCTAACAAGTATTGAAAAAGGTATCTATAGCCTAATATGAGGTCTTGTAGAGGGTTGCGTCATCTACAGTTTTATCATGTGGATGGCGATGTCTATAGCCATTGTTTGAACGTAGACTGCTGACACTCGTATTCGCGCAAATGTTGTTGCCACCGCAGGGGTAGTAAATTTACAGCCCAACTTTCTAAACTGTAACTATAGGGTTGGTCAAATCAGACACGGCTGGAAAGAAAAAAATCTGATTAACTATGGGATTACCAACATCGATATTTCTCTTGCTGATCAAAGAGGCATAAGCAATCTTTGACAAACAATACTGGCGGACATTATTGCGCCTATCCTTGGCGTTCCCGAGTAAAGGGCGGAGATGCAGGTGAAAAAAATGAATATCGTCTGGGGGTTTCCAAGATACTGCTGTTTCTATCGCGAGATTGTATCCCTCTCACTTCTCATTAACTTACTGATATATTGAAGACGTAACGGTAATGTGCACAGACCTTGTACTTAGGTATAGTATCGAGGACAGACAAATCGCTTGTTATCAAAACAATAAAATAGACTTCATTCTCAAGACTCAACAATCAAAAAACATCCGCGAGTCGCGAGCAGAAGTTCATCAACAACAAACAAGGGCAGCGATTTAATGATTTAGAACTTGGCAAAACCTTTCTTTGTTGATCCAGCCTTGTTCACTTTCAAGACATTAAATCGAACAGTCTTTGAAAGAGGACGGCATTCTCCGATGGTGACTATGTCTCCAGGTGCGATATCACTGCAATGAACAATTTAATGAAACCAACAAAACATTACTAATGAATGAGCATATGACTACAAACAGGTGATATCAAAGGCCAAGGAACGCCAGAATTATCTGTATTATAGCCAAAATCTGACCGATGGAGTGGATTACAAAGATGGGAATGATGCAACAATATGTATTTTCTATCTGTATCTTTCTATCTACAGATCGACGAACAAAATACAGCTTATCAGATGGAATCTGGAGACGAAATCATTCTCTACGCAGATCTATTTTTGATTCCTTCACAAAATGAACAGAGATGAAAGCTCGCATGCACCTATATCTCTACAAAGTGAACTCACTAAATTCGATTTTTTCTGACTCAGATTTAAATCGCCAGATGTTTTACAGCTACATGATTGACAATTTGTACTGTCTTCACCAATGACCAAATTGCTGCATGTCAAAAAATTGAGGACATTGCCGAGGAACAAAGAAATAAGCATGCAAAGCGTGACATGCAAAATGGCTCTTGCAGGCAGTAGATGCGCAAAATGTACCCTTTCCAGATTTCGGTGATGTTAGCTAGTAGATCCCAAGTACACTGTAGCTCAAACCCCACCGGAGTCGCGAAGAATGCGCTTCAAAACTCCATCGAACCCGCCCAATTCCATTTAGTAGGCGTGGCCGGTTTGAAGCGCATTTTTCGGTACCTAACACATGAATCGGCAGGTGGGATTGGGCTACAGTGGAGGTCTACTGCATAATATCACCAAAATCCAGGAAGGTCCAACTTGCCAATCCACTGCCTTTAATGAGTTCGTATAAGTAGAGGGAAATTGGTGTGCACAGATTGTTACTCGAATCAGATAAACATAGACTAGGGCGACAGGAACTCAGGGCATAACGCAGGTGGTTTTTCTGCTTTGCGCGTGTAACGGCAATGCGTTTCTTGACCATAAAGATATAGCCAGAATGATGACCTGTTTACTGCAAAAACAGCAGATCACATCGTAACAAGATACCACAACTGCACAGGACTTCTCATTGTATGGAAGGTCAACTGATTGACGAAGCTATGGTACAAATAGGACATCAAATAATGAAACGCAAATTGTAGAGTGATAAAAGTAGATCACATAAATTGCATTAAAAAATAACGAGGAAGACAGATACGACACTTACCGGAAAGCTGGTGAGCAATGAGCCGGAACATTCTTGTGTCGCTTTTCAAAACGACGGTACTTTTTGACGAAATGCAAGTAATCACGACGAACAACTATCGTCCTCGTCATTTTATTCTTGAGTACAACTCCGGTAAGGATATTGCCACGAATTGAGCAGTTTCCTGTCCATGGGCACTTCTTATCTATATACGTGCCTTCGCTAGCCTAAGCATTGAAATGCAATTAAATGAAGAAAAACAAAGAACTTTCTATACCTCACCTCTCTAGGTGTCTTAAATCCGAGGCCGATGTTACGAACATATCGTGGGACCTTTTTGTTACCCGCTAATATACGAGCTTTGTTGTTCAGATTAACAGTCGGTTGCTTTAAAAATGCCCTTTCTACTTGTTCAGCCATGATGGCTTCCCAGGTCCTGAAAAATTGCAAAGATCTTCAGAACTGTGCTACACTGGAGGACAGAAAATGACAATTTGTTGGAACGCAAATTGCAAACAGAATGGACTTCAAGCATTATTGGGATAAACTTAGTCATAGTTGCGTAATTTGAGTGAAACGGTCTAGAAACTAGCCTAAAACTGGAAAAAACATTATCCTAAGTTATAAATGAAGATTATGACTAAGCTAGAAATCGGGAACATGCAGACACGGACAAAAAAAACATCCCCCAAAGAACTAGAAGATTAACAATTTAATAATCCTTCGAAACGTAGCAAAAACTTTACAAAAACATTTTCGCTAGGAAACAGAAGAATTCGCATGCGGTTAAAGGTTAGCATCACGGTAGTAGACCTTTCGCTTGGGGACCACCTGCATACATGATTGGTTCTCCTTCAATGGAGAGACTTGCCAGACTGGCCATACTATTCCTGTGATTTCTGCAATTCCTGCGAATTCCTGTGATAGCTGCGAGTCCCATAACAATGTATATTGCGAAAAACAATGTATACTGAAATTCGCAAAGCGCTCCGTAATGCGGCACATCGGAGGTCGAGGAATAAGAATTGCAGGAATTACAGGAGTCGCAGGAATCACCTCCTGGAATAGTATGGCCGCTCCCGAACCGATGTTTCACGATCTTTGGAAACACTGTTCTCTTACCAGCTAGGCACTCAGATGTTCTAATTTTGCGAGCCTTTGCACAGATTCCATTCGAGTTCTTTGCACCGTGAGATCTGAGCATGATACCGCTTGCGACGAGTAGTTGGGAAGGCATTCCCCACGGAATTGTGGAGAAAGTAAGGTGAAAGCCTGGAATACCTGCGAGACTCACGAACCGATATTGGGTTAGAATGGGGCTCTATGTTTTATCGTGACAGAAGTGCGGGAGAAAAGATCTTCACCAATTGCCGTGATATAGACACGACCCGGACTTAACTCTTTGTCCCATTTTGTTTGCATTCTGTTATGTTACTCATTTCTGGCACAAAGAGGCTGCCACATGGCTGACTCTTTGTGCTCATCGGCCAGCCTCCGGCCGATGTCCCCTCACTCTTCATATTGTCGTGTGCCGGAGATACCGGCTTAATTTTGTTGCCGAATAAATCCATCTAATCCCTTTAGTGTTGTCAGGGGCACGAAAAGGGCATAGGAATCCCACTGAACCACCACACCAACGTTTACTGGGGAGGAACGGGATGTCCTGCAAGAGACATCGCATTCCGACGCTAATTCGTCTTAGATACTTAGATACTAAGACGGCCCGTAGTCACGTGGGATGCGGCCTCAGCACAAAAGTTTCCATCGATCCCTTTCCCTTTCTTCAGACATCAACGATCTTCTTGGTTGACGTCGGTGGCTGCGTCCACGAGGTTCAGGTGCGAAAATCGTATCCAGGACTTCTCAGTTGGTCCATCCATTCCACGAACATGAACATCTCGTCATCGCGAGGAATCCTCAGATGTTCTTAGTGTCCATACGTCGTCTGTTCTTCTCATGATGTGACCGCCCATCAGTGTTTCGCTTTCGCAACGTGTTCCGCTGGGTCACGAAGACGAGACATTCTTCTCAAATCCGTGCTGCGAAGTTCGGCTAGATGTTGCTTGCGTCGGATCATCTCCAGAAGACTGCGCTCGAGCGCTCTGTGGTGGTCCGCAAAGCTTTCGAGATGGCTACAGTGTCTGCGCAAGTCTCAGCTGCGTAACAGAGCACCGGGAGAATGAGTTGAATAGGTAGGCACGAAGCTCCGGGTCCATCAGTTAGTCGGTGGCTTCCTTTAGAGGCCCCAAGGCGATCCAGGCTGCTTTTTTTCTCCTGTTAAGTTCGTCTCTCAAGTCTTCTCCATGTTCATCGAACGTCCGAAATACGCGTAAGAATACGTCTCCAAAATAGGGGTGCCTTCCAATTCCATTTCTGCATCTTCGCAAAGGGCGTTCCTCATGAACTGATTCTTCGATTTATTCGCACTCTATTCTTATTCTCTACTTCGTTTACAGTCTGCCCCAATCCCAACCAGGCCAAAATTGGCATGGCGGGAGACCGCGTCGCTAGGGTTTCGCGGTCACGCCCACGGGCTGCTTCTCTGCCCTCTCTTCAATCCTTTTGCTCTCTCCGACAGCGCGCACATGCAGCGCAGACCGCTAGTGCTGCGAGCGCGCAAACTTACACCGACGGTTCAGCCTGATCCCGATTGGAGGAGACTGTAGTTCCTTCAGCATCGTCTCTGCTTCACTGATACTGCTCGAGAAGAGAACGATGTCGTCTGCAAAACGAGGGTTGGATAGGAATCTTCCATCAATTCGTATGCCTCTCTCATCCCAGTACAGTGATTTCATCATCCACTGCAAGGCCGCGGTGAACAGCTCCGGCGAAATAGTGTCGCCTTGTCAAACCCCTTCCCAAATGGAATGGTCAGAGGCGATGGAATAGCTGTATCGTTGTTGTACAGTCTTTGTAGCAGGCGGCTAGTGTCCTCACGTAAGCTAGGTCCACTCCTTGATCGACTACCCAGACAGGAGGGTGTTGGTTTTGACGCTGTCAAGGGCTTTCTCGTAGTCGATGAAGGTTAGGACGAGAGGCATTCGGTACTCCCGGCAGAATTCTATGACCCTCAAAACCATAGTTGCGATAGGGGGAGTGGTGGATCTTACCCCCTTCACTTTGAGGCTAAACTCCCGATGACCCCCTTCACCTGGGCTGAGATTGGTATTGTACTCTGAAAATATGATAAAAATCGTTATTAAAAGGTTTTGCAAGCTAAGTACCTCAAACAACAAGTACACTCATAAATTTACAAAAGAAACGGTACTTATGCTTATTTATATTATTTATTTATCCTCGTAGCATTTTGGAGAGCAGAAAGTGAGGACACAAAATCAGAATTTCTGAAGCACATAAAATCCCTCATATCTCGCGGCACAGAAGACCTAGAAAAAAATCTACGGTCTAGGTCGATTCTCCATGATCTCAGCTTTCGAATGGTATACAGCATGTTAGGGCTTCTTTGCTTCCCGGCTCTAAAAATCATTTGCTCCGGTAACCGATAAAAGCCAATACATTGGTGGAGCTGGGTTGGAGCAAGCTAATAGTAAATGTCTCCACCCCGTTTTTGAAAACTGGTTAGTTTTTTCGCCCAGCAACCTATATACCATTCGAAAGCTCGGAGAAGGGGATTTGACCTAGACCGTCGACTTCTTTCTAGCTCCCCTCTACCGAGAGATACACCGCATTTTATCTCAAAACATGGTCATTTTCAACAGCAGATTTCTGCCAAATGAAGACCTAATCACTGCTGATTATCTATCTATGTTAAAGAGCAAGTCTTCGTTAGCAAACGTAGACCGTCGACTTTCTCGTAGCATTCATTTGGAGAGCAGAAAGTGAGGACACAAAATCAGTTAATTTTTGAAGCACATAAAATCCCTTATATCTCGCGGCACAGAAGACCTAGAAAAAAGTCGACGGTCTACATCGATTCTCCATGTTCTCAGCTTTCGAATGGTATACAGCATGTTAGGGCTTCTTTGCTTCCCGGCTCTAAAAATCATTTGCTTCGGTGACCCATAATAGCCAACACGTTATATAGGTCGTCCCGAAAGTTTTTGCGCACGATTTTCAAATTTCATAACTTCTGATTTTTCCAACCGATTTGACTGCTTTTACTTTTATGTGAAAGGGTAAGTCATAGTCTTTACGATGGCATCTCAGCTGCTTAGTAATGGTCATCTGTTGCATAGATAGAAGCTCGACACCAAAATCACTCAAAATTTGAATTTTTGTGTAGGGTCATAAAAAATCAGAAACTTGCAACAAAAATCGGAGCAGTCGGTATTGTAGGTTCTTTCACTAGCTCTTTCTAAAAGTGCAAAGTTTGCTCCGATTGAGCGTCTCCATGAAAAGTTATGTTTTCCGAGCAAGCAATACAAAAAGGCGAATTTGATTTATTTTGGCATTTTTCAGGGAAATCATAACTTTTCATGGAGACGCTCAATCGGCGCAAACTTTGCACTGTTAGAAAGAGCAGTGAAAGAACCTACAGTACTGACTGCTCCGATTTTTGTTGCAAGTCTCCGATTGCTTATGACCCTACACAGAAAATTAAAATTTTTACCATTTTTCTTCTATCGCTCCTATCTATGCAACAGATGACCATTAGTAAGCATCTGGGATGTCATTATAAAGAGCATGACTTACCCTTTCACATAAAAATGAAAGAAGTCAAATTGGTTGGAAAAATCAGAAGTTATGAATTTTGAAATTCATGCGCAAAAACTTTCTGGACGACCTAATAAGAGCGAGGTTGAGCAAGTTAATAGTAAAAAATGTGCTGTGGATTGACATCGTTATCAGCATTAACGGGAACGTGAGCGAACGCGTCTATTTGAGCGTGCTTATCGTTGTTATATGTTAATGTTTTTTTGGTAAAAAATGCGCTTTTGATTGACAGTTATGCCATCATTATTAGCACACACTCAAACAACTATGGGAGATTAGTGAATTTCCACACCTTCACACAAAAACCCGCCCATTTCTGGAATCTATACTCTGTAAACTTAGTGCTGAAGAAGGTCACTTTCGTGAAAACGCTCTAGACTCACCTTACCTAATTTGTAGAGAATGGTTGTTCAATGAATCAAAAACTCTAAGACATTCAGAAGAATAACATGTTATTAAAATATCCCTCAATGTTTTGGAAAGGTTGGCAGTTTGAAGAGGAAACGGCAGGCAGAATACTTTACAAAATCGCAGATGACTCGCATGTGTTCCATTTCAACAGCGAGGCAGAAGGAGAGCCTTAAGCCGACGAAAATGTTGTATTGATACGGAGTTGACAATTGAGCGAAACTCTCTGATTTCCTGCATAAGGAATCCAAGCAGATTGTCTAGTTTCAATGAGGAAATGTCCAGGAAGTCCATTGCTGATCTTCAGGTTGCTGAAGAATTCAAGGCTGCTGAATTCACAAACATGGATATGAACAAAGGCTGCGTTCATACTGATTCCCATGTTCTGGAACTGTTCCCGCACAGTTCTCGCACTGTGCTGAAACTGTGCGGGAACTGTGCGGGAACTGTGCGGGAACAGTTCCAGAACTGTGCTGCATGCGCTGCAGCCGCCCCGCACCGTTTTGAACGGCGGGAGTTGGAGAATTTTGACCGTTTTCAACGATTTTTCTTCCAGATTTCGCTCATTTTAACCTTAATCCTCCACTCCGCTTCCCTTTTTGATCAGCAGCACTGCGAACTCGAAGCAGGGTTGAAGAATGAGCGCTTTTCTGCGCCGTGTATTCGGAAAGATGGGCTATCGTGCGATTGTTCATTCTGTCTTCTTGTTTTTTGCTCAAAACTACTTCATTTGTTCCAGGAAGCGGCTGCCCAGTTTCCATAGCCATCTGCTACAAATTAGGGAGTAGGAGAAATCCTGAAATTGCATGAGTTGGGACTTGTCTCTTGTTCTTCATGATTTTGGGCGTTCTTAGCCTTGTTCGTTTTTCCATGTCGTTGCTTCTCCGTTCTTTCTTCTACCCCCGCTTCTCCTAGTGATGAGAAAAGCTGTGAATTTGAAGCAGGGTTGAGGATTGAACGCTGTTCTGCTCCATGTATCCGGGAATATGGGCCTTCGTGCGCTCGTCCATTCTCTCATCGCTATTTTTGTTCAGACCTATTCATGTGTACTAACAAGTCGCTGCAAGCAGTGGTATCAACGCAGAGTACTAATAGACAAGTCTCTAGAACACATGAAGTAGGTCTGAACAAAAATAGCGATGAGAGAATGGACGAGCGCACGAAGGCCCATATTCCCGGATACATGGAGCAGAACAGCGTTCAATCCTCAACCCTGCTTCAAATTCACAGCTTTTCTCATCACTAGGAGAAGCGGGGTAGAAGAAAGAACGGAGAAGCAACGACATGGAAAAACGAACAAGGCTAAGAACGCCCAAAATCATGAAGAACAAGAGACAAGTCCCAACTCATGCAATTTCAGGATTTCTCCTACTCCCTAATTTGTAGCAGATGGCTATGGAAACTGGGCAGCCGCTTCCTGGAACAAATGAAGTAGTTTTGAGCAAAAAACAAGAAGACAGAATGAACAATCGCACGATAGCCCATCTTTCCGAATACACGGCGCAGAAAAGCGCTCATTCTTCAACCCTGCTTCGAGTTCGCAGTGCTGCTGATCAAAAAGGGAAGCGGAGTGGAGGATTAAGGTTAAAATGAGCGAAATCTGGAAGAAAAATCGTTGAAAACGGTCAAAATTCTCCAACTCCCGCCGTTCAAAACGGTGCGGGGCGGCTGCAGCGCATGCAGCACAGTTCTGGAACTGTTCCCGCACAGTTCCCGCACAGTTCCCGCACAGTTTCAGCACAGTGCGAGAACTGTGCGGGAACAGTTCCAGAACATGGGAATCAGTATGAACGCAGCCAAAAGGAAGATGTCAGTACAAAGCATAGTTACTGCACTTAGATCCCGGCTGGAGTGCGAATCCAACTCTGTCCTTTATGCTTTTGGAAGTTATTCGCCTTGTAACATTATGACCTATGATATTGAAAAAAAACCAACGCGCAGCATAGTACCTCTTTTTTTTCGGCTATTCCGCAGATGCTGTCAAAGAAGAAGTTGAGCAGCTTTCTAATCAGCTAACAGGACGTATGCCAGAGGAGGTGAAGCCAGAGTTCGACAAGGCCTAAAAAAAGTATGCACTGTTTCCTTTCCGTGTTGCGAAAGCATATGCGATCTGGCTCTTTTCCCATTACTTACCGCAAAAATCTGATGGACTTACTAGCAAAGCTAGTTTCCATTCCGACTAGCACGGCAGAGGTGGAGAAAGAAATTTTCTATCTACTCTATTATCAGAACACAACGCAGAAGTCGTACAACGATAGAGCATCTAAGCAAATACTTAAGCTTTGTCAACCTTCTACTAAACACATTGTTATCCAAAAACTTCATTTAAAGGATTGGTATATAAGTGGTCCAAACAGGCTGTTACCGTATGACTTTTTGAAATATCATAAAAGATGGTATGAAGAAACTGGTCACCTACCTGCTGACTTCCTGGTGCTACCAGAGGGCCAGGAAAAAAATCACAAAAGCGCTTAAAAGAAGAAGAAAGTTTCAAATCCATTTTCGACTCAGAACGCTTTTGCACGCAATTCTACTTCTACTCCGATGACCTTTTGGAGGAAGAAGAAGATTTTTCAGGCAGCGAACTTGTTGTCTCTGACGTTAGCGATAGTGATATTGTTGATGATGATGTGCAGGAAATGAAGTTGTTCCTAACTTGTACATCTTTTGGGATAAACCTTATTGCTTTCGTTTTTTGTTGATGCAGTGAAACAGGAGCACAGATCTTCATAATCAAATTTTTAAATTTTTTAAATTTCTTTTAAAAATTTTTAAATTTTTTTTCAATTTGTGCCTAAATAAGGTACAAATTAAAGCTCTTCATACCACGCTTTTTTACCTTTTCTCTCTTCCTCCCCCTCCCCCTAGACTCACATACCCCCTCCATCCTGGAAGGTCGGGAACAGCCGAGACCCCCTTCACCTGGGGAGAGCCCGGCTCCCCCTATCGCACCTATGCTCAAAACCGTCTGGATGTGGTCCATGCAACTGAATCCCTTGCGAAATCCAACTTGTTCTTGAAGCTGAGCTTCATTTAATGTCCTAGATATGCGAGCGAGGATAATCTTCGTGAAAAGTTTGTAGAGCACACTCAACAGGCACATTGGACGGTAGTTGCGAAGATCCTCCCGTTTGCCTTTCTTGAAGGGAAGGACGGTTCTTGACGTTCTCCACTGGTTGGGAATCTTCTCCTTTTGGAGGTAAGATGTTAAATGCGACGCTAAAACCTCGTGCAGACGGTGTCCTCCGGCTCGCAGAAGTTCGACGGAAAGATGATCTGGTCCTGGAGCCGTGGACGTCTTTATGGTCTTTTCGTAGTTCAAAGCCTCTTTATAAATGGTCGGCTCCTAGATTCGTGTGAAAACGACCAAGATGCATGCCTCAGTACTAGGAATCACCCAAATAATCGGAAAAGATTCCTTGTTCACCTTCACACCTCTCTTGTCCGGGTGAGAGAACTTAGGAACCCAAGCCTAATTAGCTCGACTCGGGAAGTGTCTGCAGGATACAGTCACGCACGCTCTCTCCGATTGCTCCCTAGGACATGGTGACAATCTAAGCCATGCCCCCCTGAGAGCCTGTTTTGGAACCTAGCCAAGGAATGCTGAAAATCATAATCGAATTCCAGCTGGCTCTAAGCCAAAAACCTTCAAAGTGATCGTACGAAGGTGAAATTAGGCTCAAACGAGAGAGAAAAACCGTGCCATTATCATAAAATAGTTACTGATTGAAACTAATCAAACACAACATCCTTTTGGTTCAAACTATATTTGGGTGTTAAATTACGGAGAAATCATTCAACAAACCGTCAAGTTTTTCAAAAAAAATTTGTTTGAGTGCTTAATGCGGGCAAAAGACTAGAATATCATTCGAGAAATGACAGTTCAAAAATTCTCAAAATTGTTAATTATTTAAGTGCTGAGATTTAGGCGAAAGACTAGAAAATCAATCACGAAACGACAGTTTATGAAATTCCTAAAAATAAAAGTCTGTATGTGTGCGGAAGTTTGAGCAGAAGACTAGAAAATCATTCAAGAAATGACAGTTCAAGAACAGAAATAACATTTCTTTTGAGTGTTAAATTCCGAGCAAAACACATCAAGAAATGCCATTCAGTAGTTAAAACTACCAGAATTGGCTGGAAATAAAGATACAAAAATTTTACGAGCCGCACTCATCAAAAAATGATGTTGCTGTGCTCCACTAAGTGTGGCTTTGCCTCTCTCGTCCTTTCGTTTGATTTTTTCCGATAACGTTTGAGGGTGAATCAAAATGTGTGCGATTTTATCGACTTTTTTTGACGCTTTCCGTACAAAAATGCAGATTTGGCGATCTTCAAACTACTAGTTGGCAAACACGGCTCCGCCCGGCCCTGTCAATAATATATTTGTAATCAGCATGCTCACCTACCCCCCTGTGCCAACTCCCAGCCCCGTAGCTCGAACTTTTTGAAAAATCAATAAAATCGGTATCAATCGATGACGAAAGGTAGCCTATGACACCCGCCGGGACCCGAAGTGTATGTGTGCCAAGTTTGGTCCGGATCGGTTCAGAAATGGAATTTTCTATTCGGAACATACGTACATACACAGACAGACAGACAGACAAACAGACATTCAGCTTTATATACATATAAGATTTAGAGTGTAATAAGCCGCTGGCATGCCGGCAGGATGTGCTGACTCTAAATTAAATTTGATGATCATTTGTGTTCATCGCACACAAATGATGGTTCACGTGAATTTCTTACACATCCGTTCGTATTTTACATCCTGAAAATAGAATTTTAATTCATATTGTTTTCTCCGTGACGAATCGAGACATTTTCCTGCAATAATCAATAATTATATCTGTATGTAATAATACACTTGAAGTAAACAATTGTTTAAACTCAGCCATTTCCTGATTAATTTTGTCTCGGCGCTGTTGATCTTTCCTGCGCAGTACTTTCGATGCTTGTGCGTCCTAAAAAAAATCAAATGGTAAAACATTGCATGAATTTAGAATTCCGTTACCTCTTTTACATTGTAAAGCGTTCCAAATGAGACCGAGTTGATAGAATGCAAACATTTAAGTAACTCCTCAAACGGTGGACTGATTCGCCTAGACAGCATCCCTCGGAGTTTGCTGAAAAAATACATAATTGAATTTGACATGAATTTTGATAGAAACTACGTGCAATGCCTCAGCCGCATTTGTTGTTCTAAAATCCTCCATATCCCATTTGTACCAGATGCCTTTAAATGGACCATCAAAATATACGGACTTTAAAGATTTCAAAAAATCTTGACATGGCACATACGCCATATGTCCCTCACTTACCGGTGGATATAGAAGGGCTGTGACTCTATCAAAAAGTATCTCTGGCAAAAATACCACCCCTTTTAAAATTTCCCACCACTTTCTGACTTCTGGAATTGCTTTTGGCCCCCTTGCAAACTTCCTAACTCCCAAATTCACAGCCATTCTATTCTAAGATTGCGCAAGATGGAATGCGCATCCTTGAACTCTTGCATGGGGAACGTCTCGCGCGTTGCTCGAATCGCTACCTTTGAATAAAATTATAGAAAATCGAGATATTTCAGAGAGCGCTAATGAACCTTCTCGAATCTAATGATTCTATCGCTGTATCCCCCTAAAATTTCGCGAAGGCTCTCGAAAATCGTTTTGTACGTCCCCGGATTCTTGTGCCTTGTTATGGCGTACAAAATTGGCAGTTAAAAATAAGGTATAATTCCGGAATTTTAGTCATTTTTTTGAATAAAAATCACTTCTATTCCTCCTTGAATGGCTGCATGAATGACGTATAACTGGCCCTTATCAATCCTGTTTGGGATTGTCACGGAATTCAATTTATGAATACCATCACCGATCAAGGCGTACAATCCATTACCTGCGTCATCTGAGATAATTATTCGAACAATTTTGATCTAGAAAAAACTTTGTAAGCTAATTTCAATAAGCTGTTTAGAAAAATACACATGCAGGTCCTCTGTTTGTATTTGCATAAAAACATCTCCTCCAGGAATGTGGCGGAGATTTTCCGGGACGTCATTCATCTCTACGGTCCTTTTCATAGCGGTCGCAGCCCTAGAATAATTCAGAAAATATTCAAAACTAGTTGACTTACCCGGCTCCGCCCGGCCCTGTCATTATTATATTCATAATCAGCATGCTCGACCCCCCTGTGCCAACTCCCAGCCCCGTAGCTCAAATTTTGCAAAAAATTGACAAAATCGATATCGATCGATGACGAAAAGTAGCCTTGTGACACCCGCCGGGGTCCGAAGTGTATGTGTGCCAAGTTTGGTCCAGATCGGTTCAGAAATGGAATTTTCTATTCGGAACATACGTACAGACAGACAGACATACAGACAGACAGACATACAGACATACAAACAGACATTCAGCTTTATATATAAGATTACTTGAAGATGGCTTACTTGGCAAATGTTTTCCTTTTATGCTCATAGCTATCCCCATGAAATTTACCTAACACTTTTCTCCTATCGTCGATTGCTAAGATCATAAGATTCCATGAGATGATGCCTGAAAAATAAACTTACTTTTCCATAATTCATTCAGAATATTTTGAGCTGTTTCCGAAAAATGACGGTATGGGGTTGTTTTATAGGCATGTTTGTCTTTACGTAGCGCCTGACATGCCTATAAAAAGGTTTATTGTGAAATGTGAAGTTTTGCATGAAATATAAAATAACCTGATAACCATGGCGATTTGCTTTATCGCCATAGCGGTTGATGGGCAAGCAACTATGAGAAACCATGCATGGATCTTCATTGAAAATATCATTTTTGCCTAAAGTTGTATTTTTCCATCCAAATTCGTTATTTAAAATTCCTCAATTCAAACTGAAGTGCAAGCGAGAATATTTCGTTACCCTGGTGGATGTGTAGGTTCCGTTCTCCTTGCATCCACGACAGCGATAGACAGTGCCATTCTTTGTCACCTTGTGGTGTTGAAAGAAATAGCAATTTTGAGACTCGGGAATCTCATACACGAGGACAAAATTCGATCCTTTTTTGCTTACTTGTTTTTCGCCTTTGTAAATTGGCTGAGGTTGCGAGTTTTCTCCATTTACGGAGATTTGCATTGATATTTGCTGGTGCCTGTAAATTGTTATAAAAAAATCTTCTTGGCCGTCGATTATTTCAAGCTTACCTCAACATTGCAACGTGTCCGTTTGGAGGGTTGGAGTGATATCGGAATCTTGAGTATGTAACGTTTCCGTTTGGGTAGCATTTGGATTGATTTCAGTGTTAAAAGGAGGCTGTGATGCCGCTGGCATGTTATCAGGTATAATATCAGAATCTTGAGTATGTAACGTCTCCCTTTGAATGATATTCGGATTGGTTTCAGGACAGAGAGAAATCCGCGTTGCTGTTGGGACAGTATTCGATATCTAACAATAAGTATTTTGAGTATGTAACGTCTCTGTTTGTGTAGCATTTGAATTGATTTCAGGATAAAAAGTAATTGGTAGTGGTTTCGGGTGAATAGCATTCGGTAAAATATCAGAATAGTACTGCTCGCTCAAGCAGCGGACGAAGTGTACAACGGCTGAAATGTATAAATTTATTTTTAATTTCAGTTGATCTTATCAAATCACCTGAGGCTCCCAATTTAGTACAGGAACAGAATTGGGGTCTGCCGATGAATGAAATTGTTGCAGCAGATGCTGCATGTGGGAATAAAAATTATCGTCATAAGACATGAGAAGTAGAGATATCGGTAGTAACTATAAATGGTTTTCATCCTTTACGCTACTATTTATAAGGAAATTTCGCCTCAACTGTTATTGCAACCTTTCCTTGCCGTAGGTTTAGGTCATTGCTTACAGCATATTAGCAGGATGTTCTTCGCACATCAGAATTGTCTGTCGTTGACGGACTACGAAATATCAATAGTGAAGTTTTTGAACTGTCATTCCTTGATTTTCTAGTATTTTGCCCAAACTTCAGCACACAAATAAACTTTTATTTTTGAGAATTTTATAAACTGTCGTTTCGTGATTGATTTTCTAGTCTTTCGCCTAAATCTCAGCACTTAAATAATTAACAATTTTGAGAATTTTTTGAACTATCATTTCTCGAATGATATTCTAGTCTTTTGCCCGCATTTAGCACTCAAATAATTTTTTTTTGAAAAACTTGACGGTTTGTTGAATGATTTCTCCGTAATTTAACACTTAAATAAAGTTTTGAACCAAAAGAATGTTGCGTTCAATTAGTTTCAATCAGCAGATATTCTATGATAATGGCACGGTTACTCTCTTTCGTTTGAGCCTAATTTCACCTTCGTACGATCATTTGAAGGTTTTTGGCTTAGAGCCAGCTGGAATTCAATTATGATTTTCAGCATTCCTTGGCTAGGTTCCAAAACAGGCTCTCAGGGGGGCGTGGCTTAGATTGTCACCATGTCCTAGGGAGCAATCGGAGAGAGCGAGCGTGACTGTATCCTGCAGACACTTCCCGAGTCGAGCTAATTAGGCTCGGGTTCCTAAGTTCCGTTCCTCCTCTTGTCCCTGAGGAGTAGTAACAACCACGACGGTAAACTTTAATTATGGCATCGGCACTCAATTGGTGAACTTGAGTGCAACCGGAATGGGAGCGATGAAGTAGGTTTATTGTGAATGTCGGTGATGAAGTCAAAAATGTGGTAATTGATCTGAAGTACGGGCATTAATCATTGAAATATCGCTATTAATGGAAATCATCTTGAGTAATACCATTTTCACGGTGGGGTGATCCTAGTAGATGCAAGCTGAAGAGTGGGAGCATGGACTGCTTGCTGGAAACCGTAGCTCTTTCCGTAGTACCCGAAAACAAAATAAAAAGATCAAAAACTCTTTGCGTCTCTAAACTCTTCATATTCAGTTCTGCAAGACGGTTAAGGTGGGAAGGGATGGTGTCTTTCGTCGTGCCTTCCAACTCTTAAAGTATAGCAAACGTCTAAATGTTTGTTAAACTTTATTTTTTGGGATCTCTTTTTGAATGTGGATTCCATATCTGTGAACAGTATTTTAACTGAGGCAAGACAAAAGTTTATACAGCCTCCTAAATATGAAAGAATTTTGAGAAATAATCTGGGTATGCCATCGAAAGTTTTGTCAGTGGAGGCTTTAATGGCTTTAGTACCCTGTAAACATTTGAAGAATCGAATTATAAGAGTAGTGAATTTTTTTCTGCATTAGATTCTGATCTAGCGCGGATGAAAAACATCAGTTTGACTTTTAATTTCAGCAGTTTTGTTATCGCGATTTTAGCACCTCTATACAGATCTTAAGCTAAAAGGCGGGGTTCTAAAAGTACTTCCCTCAGGAGTTTGGAAATTTTTAGAACCATAAAGAGCATACCAGGCATACCTCTTGATTATAACGTTCACTAAGGGCCGCATGCACTAACCTCCCCGCTGGGGAGGGGATTGCAGCTTAAAACAAAGTTTCATATTCTAAAGCTCCAGATATCTGGATTTCACGTTGTGTACCTATCCGTAAGTATTCCTACTACCCTTCGCTATGAACATGTTGAACAGGAGCGAGAAGCTGTACAAACCGCATTTTCCAGCTTTTGTATGATCCCTGTTAATCCCCGGCGCTTTTCTTCAAAGTCATTTTTCTCTCTCCGAAGTTAACGAAAACCTTCCAAAGTTGTACTGAACATCTAACACAACAGTGCTAAGCATGTTGCTGATGAGAACAAATGAGTTTTCAAAAAGTCGAATTTTTCGGTAAACCTCAAATTTCGACCTGTGGATCATCGATAATTTCATGACTTCAAAACATCATTTGTTCTTATCAGCAACATGCTTAGCACTGTCGGATTAGACAATCTGCACGACTTTGGAGGTTTTTCGTTAACTTCGGAGAAAGAAAAATGACTTTAAAGAAAAGCGCCGGGGATCATCAGGGATCATACAAAAGGCTGGAAAATGCGGTTTGTACAGCTTCTCGCTCCTGTTCAACATGTTCATAGTGAAGGGTAGTAGGGATACTTACGGATAGGTACACAACGTGAAATCCAGGTATCTGGAGTTTCGAAATATAAAGCTTTCTTTTAAGCTGCGATCCGCTCCCCGCGGAGATGTTAGTGCATGCGGCCCTAAATGTTCTTCAACCAGGGCCCGGCACGAGGTGGGCAGACGGGGTTTTCCAAAACGAATTCCCCTTTGACCCCAATAGTCTTTACGAATACCCCCTTGAGCCCAGAAATGACGCTTTGTGCTTGTGGAACGAGAGAGCGCCGGCCACACTTCGCCTAAAAGCGCTCAAAAGCGCCCAAAATGCTCAAATTTCTCTAATTACTCCTCACCTGTATCAAGATAGAAAACAGGGAGAAGAATAAGCAAGGAAAATGATGAAGGAATGAAAAATATCAAAGGAACGCAGTCATAGGACTGAGAGACGCCGTTCCCGCGCGTATCGATTGACTGGGGCGCGCTTTCCATCTTAGAAAGCTAGGCTGCTGTTGCGATTTTGGGCTCTAACAAAGACAAGAGGAGGAGTTTCGGAACCAAAATCTCACCATATAGTAAACTTTAGGTGAACAACAGATTTATGTAAAAATTTTGAAAAAATTATGTGAATTGAAAGTTTTGCCCACCTCAGGTGGGCATTAGGTGGGCAATTGCCCACCTAATTTGGAAAAAGGTTAAGCACGCTCTTCATTCACATAAGTTTTTCATAATTTTTTTATACATTGTTCCTTAATCCTACTGCGCGTATACACACCAAGTATCGCGCGATTTCGTTTTCTCTGCGCTGCAAACGAGCCATTTTCCCATTTTCTTGATAGTGGGAAATTTTCAGAAAAAAGCTTGCCACAACCTTCATTCATATAATTTTCAATGAAACTTCTAAGATAAGCCCTGCAGGCCCGTGTTCATGAAACTACCAAGTTTCATACTGTATGGTCATTTGAGCGCTGCAAATGAGCCATTTGAACTCACATTTTCATTTACCAGTTTTGCGAAATTTTTGGGAAAAAATGTTTATTACACCTCCCATTCACATAAGTTTTTCATAACATTTCATGCTTTGTTTCTACTAGCCTCTCTTTGTTCGTTTACGTAATTTGGTGCCATATCATTACGCCTGCATTGAGAACTGATCATGTAATCATGCTGTTCAACGGCATCGCTCATGCGACGTCGCGCACGCGGCAATTAGCGGCAACGCGGCGTAGTGCGCGCAGTCTGCTGTGCGTTGAGATTTATGAAAACTATTTTCCGATGAATTAGATGTACAGGGCTTTTCAACCTGAGAGTCGCAAGTTTCGCTTGCGCGGCTCCTCCAACGCGGCCGCCTCGCTCAGGCCGCGCGCGGCGTTTGCTGCGTATGCCCGGATTTCGCCAAGCTTCAGTCGACGCGCAGCCAGCGCCACGAACGCTGCGCGGACCTAAGCGTGGCGTCCTAGCGGGGCGGATGGGACACTCAGGTTGTAAAGCCCTGTATAAGGTAAGCATGATTCGACCTTCTTTTGCTTGCACTTGGAATCTTCTCCCGGGGCTCCGCCCCGGATCCCGCAAAAACGATATCCCCTTTGCTTTTTGGCCCCAAAACGATTTCCAGCTTGTCATTTGCCCACCTCGTGCCGGGTCTTCAACACCTTGATACCAGAATGCAAACGGCTCAACGTCCACTATAGGCTGGTCTAAATGAAGTGCGACGGTTGGTTTAGCTTGAAGATCTATTTAATTGTATCTAACAGCTATGTAATCGCAAGTCTCACTAGATACTTCGATGGCCCGTCTTCACGTGACATGCGGATCCCGGAACAAAAGTTTTCAGTTGTTGCTCCTCGCTTCAGACATCCGAGATCTTCTTGGTTGTGTGTGTGGGGGGGGGGGGGAGCTGCATGAGTTTCAGTGCAATAATCGTATCAAGCCGGTTTGTCAGCTGGTCCATTTGTTCCACGAATACGTCTGATCGTTGATGGTCTTTCTTGGGGACGTTTGGCTTCGCGAGGAATCCACTCAGGTGTTCTTATTGTTAGTACCTATCCGTTGTCTGTTCTCCTCTTGATGTGACCGGCCCATCGATGACTCGCTTTCGCAATCTATCCCGCTGTTCTTCCTTCTTGAAGAAGGATTTCTATGGAAAAGTTACGCGGCGAAGAGAAGGTCAACGAGACATTGCCGCTTTCGTTCCGGAGCTCATATGCAAACTTTCCGATGTTTTATGCCTCTTCTAATGGCATCCCGATCTTTGCATTGAAGTCGCCCACATCAAACTAGTACAAGGACTTCTCATTGTAGACAACCTCTTCCACATCTCATTAAAAGTATAGGGTATTTGAAAAATCGTGACGATGGCGCGACTGTGCGCGACACGCACGCCACTCCCGGAAATCGCATTTTCTTGGTTTATCTTTAGTCGAATGGTTTTTTGCTTATGTATGATGATATTTAAACACTGGAAGTGGCTGAGCTAAAGTTTGAGGTGATGCCTTCTTGTGTGAGCGTTTTATGCTCCTGTGGGCGCAAAGTCCGTAGTCAAATCCGTCGTCACGATTTTATAAATGAAACATATCTAGTTTTGAATTTTCAGCTGCTGACGTTGGCGAGTAGCCGTTGATGATGCTGATGGTCTTCTAAGTGGAGGTCGTAGGCGTATGGCTATCGAGGTAGTAGGATCTTCCGATTCAACAAGGTGGACGATAGATGGGCGAACGACAAAGTCAACACCTCCAACTCGTCATAGAACTCTCACAAGGAATGATGAGGGTCCCATCACTCACCTGTCGCTCCTTCTTCTTAAATTTCGTTTCCCGCAGAGCTATGACGTGGTACTTGATGTGCTCTGCAGCGTCGAGAAGAGCGTGGAGGTAGCGTTTGTGGAGACTGTCCTGGCGTTACAGGTGCAGAGCATGAAGCAGTCTCCATGGCGTGTCGTCCAGGCGGATTTATCGTTTTTGTCCAAAAGGTGCCTCCTGAGGACCATGACATCGTTTTTGTTACCACCAGGCACCGTGGGCGTCTGACGTACGTCCAGGGTCTTTTCTCTCCTATTTTCTGATCGAGTGTGAGAACATCTTCCTACAGGAACAGACTTACTAGGCCTTGCTCTTGACTTCCACAGGCCGATCGCTGATGGCGGGTAGTGGGGACCGCCTACCAAGCAGAAAGCCAGACGGCGGTGGATCTGGCCCTGCCGGCAGGAAACGTTGAACTCCTTCACAGCTTGAGAGACCCTAGCAGAGTATATACTCGCCTGTATACTGCAGTTCGACACCCAAGACCCCCTCCCCCCGCCACGTTGAGACTTCCGACCATTGGGGAGAGAAGCTTTCTATTACGTGTATAATCAAGGACGGTAATATTCACAAAACAAAACTTTAATCTATGCATCACTCAGTCCCTGTATAGGGTAGGTATTCCCAACAAAATATTTGTTCAAAGAATTTTTTGTAGTAAATCTATAATAGTAATCGCAAAGCGGATTTTTGTAAAAGGGAAGCAAACTTGAAGGGGTGGTACTCTGGAGCCAAAGAGAACGAAATCTGCCTTGGTTTTCTGGACCAGGCACCAGCTTACAGCGAAAAGACGATTTTGCAGTGGTCCATATTATTCTAAAATTTCGGACAATTATGTTTGGCTCTCGAGATGGTCCATTCTTGAACCCTGAATTTTCTGTTTTGTCGAACTGGAAGCAAAAGTCTGCTCCTCCAAATCCGCACTGCTGTATTTGCGACAAGAGGAGTGCTGAGAGGCTGGAACGACATTTCGCCAGTAACCATGCACGTGGAAAATTTTCGAAAGGGAACAATGATGGTGCCAGCTAAAGGCATATATCTTGATATCAATCAATCTTATGCAGATTCTCGTCTGTCAGATGAAAGCAGATGTTCGCAACGCTGTTCCATGCAAAGTGTGAATTTATCTTTGCGTCACACTCCATGTGGACTACCCTGTGCGTTTCTGATCTCTCTCCTTAATTCATTCTCATTCCATTATCGCTGAATTTTATCAAAGTTGACTTTGTGACTCATTGACACATTAGTGATGTGGAGGCGGCCTAAAGTTTTTTCGGTGGAAGTGGCTTACTCTACCGGTATAGTTCTAAGGCCCGAAACCGGTTGAGTGTAAATTTCTTTTTAATTTAATCTTTCAGAACTCAAATATAGATGTAAGAGACTTGTCTGAGTTCATTTACTCTCTTTCTCCTCTTTGAGGCTTTCTTAGTGGATTGAGCCACGCTCTCCGTCCTTCCGCCCAGATTAGTGGGAGTTCCAAGTTCTCCCCGAAAAGATAACTGAAAACTAGTATGAATTTCGGATCTTCAAGAATACAAAAATCATTTTTGGTTTAATTATCTACAAGTAAAGGTCACACAATTTGCGAATGTCATTAAATCAACAACTCTTACTTCAAACCTTACTTATGGAAAAAATAATTCCAAGTTTAGCGGGTACACTTCTCACTATCGAATCGTGCAAAAACACGCTTTTCTTCGAAGCTTTTGTACACATAACCTGTGTAGCATACCTGGTTAAACTCTGTGTTCCTTTTTTTATGTAAAAAAGAAGTTCATGAAAATTTATATCACATTTATAATACATAATTTGTCGCAGTTAATCAGCTAGTGTGCATCACATATCACTTCAATTCTATTTTACAAACAAAAAAATCATCTTAAACAAACAAAAGATCACAATGGCCATTTATACAGATCAAGAGGAAACGATTTGATCCGGTGGAGCCTTGAATGAAATTTGAGAATAGAGCTAGCATCCACTGCATATCACCACTATCGTTCGCATACAGGCTTCGTGAATATCATAGAATTTCAATGGCTATAAACTTTCAACAGCGCTGTACGTGGACAAAAGATGCAAAAGGATGATATTAACCGGAACAGCAACAAAATGCAATAGTTACACGAGAATTGATAAGTTGAGAGCAGGTTTGTGTGTGAATAACGCGTCATGTGTCAATGGGATATACAGCTGCGCAACTAACAAAGAGGAATGAAAGTTTTTTGAATGACTGAGTGCTGTGCGCTTACGAGGAGCAATTCTGACGAAACGAGCTGAACGAGAGAAAGCAAACTATTAACCATTTAATGCATTTTTTAAATATACAAACGAATTAAACACTAGAGCAAATATAATCTGTGCATAAAGGACTCTTCGGATACTATGCAATAGGTGCCGATGATAGGCTTTGAGATCTGTGACAGCACTGACGTTAAACAATGTAAGAAAACGCACACGAATTAGAATAGAAGCAATAATTTCAGATTCTTATCTGGCCACGTGAAGGGTAGTGAGTTGATGAAATCAGAGTAGAGTGATGAGTAGCAGTTTCGAAGCTGGAGGGAGAGAACACATGAAATTCCAAACGAACACAAACAAAAGCGGTAATGTGGGAGGAAGGGACGAGATTATGTGGACAGAGGCGCGAATCAATGTGTTACCACAAGTAAGTGAATGAGCGCAGATTTCCCAGCGGTGACTATTACATTTCGGTTTCTGACTGTCAAAAGCAATTTCTCTAAGTTCTATGACTTCAATTATGTAGTTATAGGCTATCTCAATTGCAGTGTCGAGCGCACCAGCGGCGCGGGTCCCGCGCGACTGTCTCGCTTAAGCTTAAGCCGCGTTCGCAAATATGTTCTCTGAACATTCCTCCAGCCTTACTAACGACTGAAGTGCAATTCTGAGCCCTTACACGCAGGCGTAGGAAATTGATCAGATGAACGCGGGCAGCGTCCAAGCGAGACGTCCGCACTGAACCCGCGCTAGTGGAACCCGACACTGCACCTGAGACAGCTCGCACTAAACACACGCGAGTTTATTTATCTACTATATTACTTTATTAGATTAATAAATAGCCTAGCAGAATTATCCTAACAGTTGTAATGCAAACAAAATCATCTATACCCGAAAAACCTATGTAGTTAGTCACCGCCGCAGAACAGGCTTTATAACTACTAAGTTCTTGGTTTCTTCTTCAAGAGGCTGCACACAGAGAAATTCGAGGCCAAGTATACGACAGGCTTTGGGGCACAAGAAAATGAGATGAGAAAAGGCAACATTGAGAGTTTTTAGTCTCTTACGACCTTTAACACTAGATGAGACTACAATGAGCTACAGCACCATGAGTTCACGAGAATCTAGATATAACCAATAAGAAACAGATGTGCAGGACTCAGATGCGCCGCAAAGAGTACTAATATGACGGAGTATTAAGTTACAGGATATCACAACATCAGGCACCGGATAAGACGAGAATGTACGATAGGGTGTAGCGCAACTTCTCGAAATTGTCTACAGTGTAGCAGCATAACCGAATATTTGCATGGGCACATCAGGAGATCATTGAGCGCACTTTACCAGTCACACACTTGTAGGCTGAGTGTAATCACGGCGCTGGGTGAGTTGACCAAGGTAGCAGTGAGTTGTTTGGTTGGTGCATGTCGGTCATGTTGGCCAGTCCGCGGAGAGCCTCATCCGTGGCCGATCGTATGCGTTCCGCTTCCGTATCAGAGTCATCTAAGTTAACGAGGATTTTGAAATTGATATATATACAAACGAAAATATGAAAACCTACCAGAAAATTCGACAGAAAGAGGGTTTGCGTTGACCGGTGCTGTGACAGCTTTTGGTGGTTTCACCAGTCCATCCGCCGAAGTTGGCCGCGAGTGACGATGGTGATGGTGATGATGATGAGATTTGTGCGCAGCTTGAGGTGGCTCTTCTTTAGACGGCGCGATAACCAAAGCAGGAGAATCTCCTATCCGTATCCGCAGTCTTGGAATTTTTAGTGGCTCCTATAGAATGATCCCAGCATCAGGTAAATTTTTAGTGTTATCAATCACAAGAAATAAAAAAATCAAAAAAAAATTTGGAAAGTATGCACTCATACCGGTGCATGCACTGCAGCTTTCGATGACGACGGTTGTTGTTCAGGAAGCTCTTTGGTAAGATGCACATCTGACTCCTCTGTTGATGGCGGATGTTTACCCGGAGTTGTACAGCGTGAGTCGCTTCCACCTAGCCCAAACTTCACTTTCAAGCGCTTTCCATTTTTTGTTACAGCAACAAGCTCCTGAACAGAATAGATTAGACAATCATAAGTAACTCAACTGCAGTGTCTTACCTGAGGAGAAGAAATAAGTTTATTCTTTGTTTTATGTTTTTTACTGCCCTTTGTATGGTGTTTCACCTTAATCCGGTCGTGGACATCTTTATGCAACTTGTCTCGTTCTTTTTTCTTTTTCTTGTGCTTTCTTTGTTTTCTTTCACCATCCTTATCACTATTCTCGTTATTCTCGATATACGCCTTTGCTCCATCAAACTTCAGTTTCAAACGAATAGGTGGAGGTTTAACGCTATTCACCACCTGTAATGTCAAGATTTGTTATGTTTTCCACGAGATACCAGTAAACCAACACTCACCGCAGTCTTATCATTCTCTTCAACACAATTTTTAATTTCTCTACTGTTCTCAGACTTTTCGGCTAGCCCGGATTCCGAAGAAGTTTCACGCTTTGTAACAGCTGGTTTGAGAGGGGACACAGGAGTGGGTCTGGGTACCTACAAGATCGTAGAATGTTGACTGCAAACCTTTCGGCTATAGGACATAAGCAGATGATAGGAATGCACGGCAAATGTTTGATACAGAATTCGCTTTACGAAATGTGGCTGCTAAGAATAAAAGGTGGCATCACGAAGCTTGTTACATACAAGTGAGATGTAATTTCTTTTGAGCAAAACATTACCTGCGGTTTGAACCTAAAACGTTCTGCCGGTTTTTCTTCCTCAGTTTTCACAGCTGGCTTCACGTTTTCCTGCTTGACTATTGGCGATGCAGTTCGTTCAGGAGCATCGAGCACCTTCTAAAATACCAAAAGTCCAGGAAAAAGATTAATAAAACTGAGGTCATCTCTATAAACAAACGTACCTCTTTCTTCTGAGGTAAAGGCGGTGGTACTGGCAGGGAAGACCGCTGCGGAGTTGACTTCTGCGGCGGAGGTGGAATAGCTACACGTTTTGGCGCAGGCGCCGAAGCTCCAGATGCTTGCGATGTCGTGGAAGCGGCAGAAGTGATGGAAGGCGCGGCCGAAGAAGGAACGGAAACCGATGTTGGAACTTTCGGTTGCAGGATGTTGGTAGGAGGTGGTGCTTGAGGCATCACATCATCAACGCCAAGTTCCGGTGACGCCGAGCCATCAGATTCGTAGTCATCCACAGAATAACGAGCAAGCAGCGATGAGGCAGCGATACTTGTATGCGCTGGTGGTGATCGCATTTCCACCGGCACGCCTTGCCTAGCTCTGCTCAGTAACTCCTTCTTAGCTGGCAATCTTCCAGGGGTAGTGGTGTTTTGCAAGACTTCCGACCTTTGAGGACTACTTAACGACGTTTTAGATGGGACCGAGACTTGAGCAGGTTCCTCCTTCACAGACACATTTTCTACAGAGGGCTTCCTAGAAAAATTTGATTTTGAAGTTGTAAAAGAAAGAAAGAAACGAGCAAAAACTACTGACACTTCCGGAGCACTTTTGGACGGAATGGATCTTCGCGGTGTTGTCGATGCTGACCTAGGTGAAGGCTGAGTTTTCTTCGATGCTGCTGTCACCAAAGGACTCGACGGAGGGGCTTTGCGCGCCACCGCTGGCAGCGGAGGAGGAAGCGGGCGAACGGGCTCAGACTTGATACTCTCCGATCTCTCGGGTGGTCTGCAAGAATATGATCTTTTGATCGTAGGCAATGTATGTTAGAGGTGGAAAAATTGAATGCTTTTTAGGCACTATGGCAATAACAAAATTATATCGCAAGATTCGTTGTTTAAGCTAAGAAATCAGTTTTTTCTCTTTTTTATGATCTAAGTTAACTTTCTTAGAAGGTCTAACTTCCAAAGACAACTTTGTTTCTGCTTCAAGAACACTAGATGCCGGAGAACGAGTAATCGAACAACTACTAATCCGAGACGCAAAATAAGACAAAATAAGTATTTTTACGAGCAACATTTCAACCAACAAGACTGAGTTTCAATGATGAATAACATAAACACATATCACTTCTCTCTGTTTTTATTTTCAATTTCGGTTTGCTATTATAGCATTCACAGCTATACTAGTGGATGGTAGAGGAAAAAAGAAAGGGGAAAAAGAGTACGCAAGGTGAAGAACTGAGAAAAAATTCTGAGAAGCGATGCAGCAAAAAAGGTGTTGCGTAGAAAAACGTTCTTCACTGGAAACCAAATGAGGTTGCGAAACACCGAACCAGGTATGGCAGCAACATAATAAGGCATGCAAAACTATTCTATGCCCGATCAAACCCCATCTGTGGAAGTTTGCGACAGATGAGACTATGTAAAGCACATCGATTAAAAAACAAAAATAAAAACCACAGATAATTATCGACTCACGTAGGTGCGGTTTCCGATGTTGTTCGCGATTTCGGTGTGTTTCGTGTTCTTGCTGGTTCCTGTACAAAGGCCGGAGAAGAATGCTGAGTTGATGATATAGATGTCTTGCGCCCTCTGACTCTGGGTGAGTATGTGATGCTGGTGGGTGATTTGCATGGAGATGAGGACCTTGAGCGAAAAATAAAATAAAATAAAAAGTCAATAAACATTGATTAACACTCACCGTAAACTACTAGCAGGAGATTTGAAGGGAGATGGTGACTTATAAGGTGATACGGGCAACTGAACTTCGTCGAACGGATGGTACTCGTACTGCTGCATCACTGACTTCGAGCATGACGGTTTTAGCGACGAAGGAGGTGGTTTTGGCTTCTCTATCTTGTCCCTATCTGTATCTCTCAAAGCGGCCACGATAGCACTATCCCGAACAAAGGCTTCTGAACAAGTTATCATGATTATAATCTGACACGGGAATATGTCACAGGCGATGACAATATAGGCAGTTGAACAAGCAAAATTAGCTAGATTTGTTTTTCGATGAACTTGCAAACTTCAAGTAAGACAGAATGCATTTTCAGATCCAAGGCCCAAAAAACTATCGAAGAAAAAACTAACCTAGACCCCCTTGCTTCACGTACTCCTTCTCTTCTTCCAGTTTACGTTTTTCATACTCGCCATCCAAATATAGCAACAAATTTTCCTCTTCTTTCTCAGAAGTACGCTAAAATATTTATGGAGCTATCTAAGGATAATCCAACCAGCATATATCCTCTCCCATTGCACTCACCAGAGCTTCTTTGTAAAACACATTTCGTAAGCGTTTCTCGAGGCGATTTCGTTGTTCATTGGAGTTAATTTGTGCTCGTAAGTAATTAGAATCAACTGTAAGCAAAGCTAAGACGCATCAAAGAAATTATTCTTGAACAACATACACTGCTCTAGATGTTCATCATTAATATTCGGTTCTCCATAAGCATGATAGGGCAGCAACCGTTGCAAAACGTCACGGAGGTCAGTGAATGGCGTTTCCGTATCCGGATTGGCCAAAGTGCCGTGAAGATCATCAAAGTAGGTCCGCAACCTAGATTTGTGGCTTCGTCTGAGTAACTTTTGAGCTATTAGGTTGTCAAGAAAATAATGTCGTTTTTCATAGCAAAGCCATAGGACAAATCCAAAAAACATTGTGAGGGGTACCAATCGATAGAGCAAAGGAAACTCTACAAGATGATATCCGAACGTTGGCAGAACTTGTTGTTTACGAAAAGATCAGAGCCAAAACATACGAGCAACTCGTAGTGCCAAAAATTGGATTTTCGCCCTAAAAAATTCTACGGACCTCTCACTTGCTCCTGCTTGTAAAGAACACATGCACTTATCCATAGGTACACTTGCTATATTTTTCCATGCTTAGGAACCAAGAAAAAATTGAAAAATTGAAAATGGCAAACTCCGCCCCCAGTAGCACTGGGCCCCTCCCACATATGTCTTCGTATACTACAAACCTTTGTAAATTTAACCATTAAATTTCTGCTGTGGATATGCTTTACTTCTCAAGTAATATCAATTTTACACGAAAAAACCCGAAAAAAAACGACATTATTTTCTTGACAACCTAATACTACGAACTAAGATCATCAAATAAAAAAGAATGATATCAGGGGATCGAAAAACCTCTTGATCCAGATAGTTTAGAAGAGCATTTCTGCCACCAAAATCAACTACACCAGTCAAAACTAGCGTTTACTAATGATGCACTATTACATACCGACTCAGCCTGGCAGCTCTTTTCTCTTCAATTCGCTTAGCCGTCTGTGCAGGTGTTGGTCTTTGCGCAACGACCACCTTGAATATTATTGGATAATGTATATCTCTGTATAGTTTCAACTATCAGACGCTTGTTTACCATTTGCGGTGCCTGCTGTACAGGAGCGGGAGTCAAAACGATTTGAGCAGGTAATGGAGAGTTCTGCACGATTTGTGTTCGAACTTGCGCCCCGGCAGCCGATTGACTTCCTGCGTTGACTACCATTTGTGGAGCAGCCACCTGCTGCACAATAACTTGCTGCGCTCCGGATACGTGTCGCAACTGCAAATTGAACATTTATGAAATTACCCAAAGCGGTTTTCTAGAACTGTAGAGTTGTTCATTCACCTGATGCTGCTGTCGAACGACTTCACCCACAGTAGGTTGATTCGTCGCGTACTGAGCTTGTGAAGCCTGTGGAACATTCTGAACGTATACGGTGCCCGGTGGAAGTTGTTGAGTTTGGAAAACGGCGGTCGAAGCATTTTGGGTCTAAAACAGAGGCAACCATAGCAAACTGGCGCAAACCTATCTCAACTCAAGACTTACCCTATAAACTCGCTGCTGAGGTTGACGAAGTACAGTTCCGGCCTCTTGCTGATGCACAACTTGAGCTTGGTTATTATTTCCAGTTGAGAACTCTTGGAACCTAAAACGCGAGTATCGAAATACTATAATCTGCTCAAACGCAATGCTTATGATATAAGCCATCAAATAATAATTGGTGAAGACACTCACTGAGCAGTACTTGTGCTTGGATATTGGTTATGGCTGGCAAGGTACATCTGTGGCTGATATTGTGGAGATTCTGGGGTATTTTCAAAGTGCTGCTGACGTGAGGAATGACCGTGGCTACCTCGAGATCGAGCTGTTGGCCTTGGTTTAGAGGGCGGAGCAGCAGCTGCGGCTACTTGCTTTACTTGACTCAAAACCGTTTCGCCAACGCTGGAAAGAATACCTTGAGTTGAAAATAACATCACCACAAAGGAAAGTTAGGCACTCATTTTCAATGACCATATGCGATGGTACAGCACGAGAAAATATTCTAAGCTGACGCAATGACTACAGTATGCATTTTGGAGTCAGCGCTTCCATTTCCATAGGAGATGATCAGATCTACTCCAAACGAAATCGTTTACGCGAGTGTCGCTGGGTCCTGCGCGGCCGCATAGCTTGGGTCCTGTGGGGCGTCCGCGATGTACTCTTAGAGCATCTTCTCATGCCTACGGGGCTGGAGACTGTTGGAAGTGGGAAAACACACAAAGCATACGTCTGCAGACGCGGCGCAGGATTCAAGCGAGGGGACCGTGAAGGACTAAAGCTACACGAGCCGGCGACAAGTCATCAAAACAGGGAATAAATAATTTCTCACAAATTTAGGCTGCTTTATAAGTACTGCCGACGCCCCCCCCCCCCACACACACACACACCTGACGCTTTCGAAATAAACGAAGCAAAGGAGGATCTGCAAAAATGAAAATTCCTAGATGTTTTTAATTTTCCAGATTTGATCGAGGCGAATACATGCTTTTATCTTCCGGCCCTCCAAGTCATTATGTCTATCTCGCCATGATTCTAAACCTGAACTTTACTCAGCACAAAGCCAGAACAGAGCGCATAAAAGCATCCTTTCCATAGTTAGTGCTCACCCGATTGATACATCATAATTATTGTTTTATTTTGTTTGTTTGCAATAACTGTCAGAGCAAGGTCAAGGCATCTGCGCTCTCTCGTTCTTTCATATGCTTACCACGCTATGATCAATTACAATGATGCGGCGGTGCGCATCATCTCAATCAAAGAAAACTGGCAAAAGTGCATTTAAGTTGCTGATGTCACCGCGGTTCCGCTCAAATTGCTACACGAAAGACTCCAAAAACAATGGAAGATGAGACGTGAAATAAAGTTGTAAAAGTAAAAAATAAAAACTTTGTAGAGGATAAAAAAACAAGCTCGCAAAGAACTTGGTAAAACTGACTGTGCCTTCGAAAACTTACTTCTGTGAGCTCAAAGCTTCCAGTAAAATGCTAGCTCTCTGCGCCTGCAGTTCGCTAAGCCGTTGTGAATTATTGATACCCAACTTGTCCTGTTGTTCTTGGAGTTGAGCCATTTCCGCTCCAATTTCGGTAATCTTCAATACGACATAATCATGAGGATTCGAAGAATTATTGACAATGAAACCTACCCGCGTCAATGCACTCATACTGAATCGCACTTCAGTTTGATTAGAATTGTTGTTTGATGAGTCCATCTTATTAGACTTATTCGAAACGCCAGAATGAGAGTTGACTGAAAAGGTGTTTTTTGAGCAAAAGCTTCATACAACCAGGCCAGGAAAAGAATGAGAGTAATTTGCATGCAAGTAGACCTCTCGATGACTTCACAGTCGTTAGAAGGGACTGCTGCTTCTGCGCGAAAAAATAAAGCGTTTCTGTACTAATAAAATAGGAACTATAAGTGTTTTTCTGTGACAAAAAAATCCAGGATCAGTTAGGATATTAGGAATATCGTTCGTTGAACTATCTTGCAAATCACATTTGAGAAAATCGTAGGGATAGCAGCCAGATTTACGCAGAAAAGGAATTCGGCAGGACTGAGATGATCACTATATCTTGCACTGATACGAGTCATGTCAAAACTTAAGTTTGCAAACCATAGTAAGAGTCTGGTTCTACCACCTCAACTTGATTGCATAAATTAGGGCTTAGGAGACAAATAGAAATGAAAAAACATAATGGACAGTAAACTTAATTCTCTTACCAGACGCACGCTTTCTCCCATTATTATGCGTTTTCGGCTGAATCGGTCGCTGACGAGGATGTGAGTTCTATAACGTATCGATAGATATTGAGTCGAAAAATTATTTCTATGTCAAAGCCTTACCGAATGTTGCTGGTGTTGTTGATTTTGTGGCGTCGGCGTTTGTCTAGCAGAAGGAGCGTTGAGTATCTGCTGTACCACTGATCCGGAAGTATTATTACTTCCGCTGGCAGTCGATGCATGTTGAGCATGTGGAGTGGACACATTGGACAGCACTTGCGGAGGTGTGGCATCAACGGTCTGAATAGGCATTATCAGTATCACATGGCATAGTTGCGAAAAACAAATGAAAGCGGCAAAAATATGAGCATCGAATGGTACCGAAGCCGCCAAAAAGGAAGGACAGTTCTTACAAGGGAAAGATACCAACACAGGCTGGAGAGTGAAGTCGAAACTGTAATCACTACAGACGTCTCCATACGCTGACTTCTGATATGTTTTCCTTTTTTTGCGAAGCAACCTCCAAAAGTAATTATGAGCGTTTGAATGTCCGAACTTATCAAGCACTGAGTGGCTTAAAATTAGCGGAAAGCTGTGAAAAAACACCTATGCAAAATTTCACCGGTTTTGTTCGCTTCCTGAGATAATATACTTGATACAAATTAGATTACCCACTCTTTGTGAACTCGCAAATTTTAGGCCACCTGAAGCTTGATAAATTTGAATTGGAATGCTAATAATTTCTTTCGGAAAATTGTTCCGCAAAAAAGAAAAAAGATTTTGAACCACCATGCAAAGATGCGTCTAGTGATATACATATCAGCTTCAACCTTATTTATGTTGGTATCTTCCTTTATTCGTTCTCTTCAACAACAAGTTTGGTGAATGTCTAAGGAAGTGTCACAAGTAAGTACGCAAAGGTTGTGAAAGCTCCTCAGAACAATTCTGTTTGGAAGGTGACAAAAAGATCATAAACTACACCAACAGAAACAAAGAGCCCTGGTTGCCCTAAGCGGACAAAAAAAGTTGGAACATGGAAAATGCTGGATACAGTAAGATGTGCACTAAACAGATGCTATGGAGTAGAGAGGAACAATGCTGTAACGATAAAACACGGACTAAATTATCTCAAAAGGATATAGAAACCTTGCCGCTACTCTGAATGAAGATTCTGACTAGATTTTTCTGTACAAGATCAGACGGTTTTTGGACTATAATCGAGTCAGTAGACTCACAATCTATTCTTGATCCCAGATGTTTAACCTAACCAAAACCTCTAGCGACTCCATTAACTTTCAGATATAAGACCACTTTAACACTTATCAAATTGTCCACTAAACTGAATAATTTTTTTGTTAATTGTCCGCCAAAATGGATGATTTTGATCACTACTTACAAATGATGATGCAAGACTTCAGAGAATTAGTAGGGTAGAACACAACAAAACTCGTCACTACACCAGAAGGCATCGGAAATACATTTGCGAGTGACTATGAATATGGCTTAAATAAACAGTGGATAAGAGGCTTCAAAAAATATGCGTGCAGACGAGAATCACTTTGAATCTTTCGAACATAATTCGGATTGGATACACTTGATAGTTCCAATGTAACGCTATATCAAGAGCATAACAGGACAGGGCTGAGCTATTCAAACAGCTCATACATGAACAATAAAATAAGAAAAGTGGAATCGAAGAAGCAGATCATGACTCGAACGTACCTGATAATATCCTTGTTGCGGCTGTATTATCTGCTGTTCAATGGACTGATAATGACCATTCACAACCATAGAAGGCTGCTCAAATGAATTATAGGACTCCTCCTGAAGCAGCACATTCAAATGCTAATGATTAGGAAAAAAAGGGATAAGCATGCTTACCACACTCGTAGTTGACATTTCGTAGGACACGTTCTGCAAAGGAGCCATCGACTGATATGAAGACGATACTGGAGACAACCTAGGCGGTTCACTGCCGCCTTGGAACTAAAAAAAATAGTAAATAAGATTTGAATAGCGACAGAAAACAGCAAAACAATTTGACAAGTTCTACTAGAAATTAGCCACTGACCCCGTATTCTCGAATTGGAACCGAAAGCGAGTTGTCGTTGGGAAATGAAAAGTCCATGAGGTCTTGTGGGGAAACTGCGATGGGCGAGGGTTCTCGCAATGGCACCTTCAAGTAAAAGCATTTAATATATGGTTAACCGTTATGTCCACATTGGATAAAAAAATCAAAAAAGAATCAATTGAAAATTAAGGGTTTTTAAGTTCTTTGGAAACAATGCGAGACAAATATTACCTGTAACGTAGTGTCGGCGCCAAAAGGACTTGTGCACTTGAACGCATCGTCCAACACGAAACCCTGCTCCATCCCAGGCCATTCATCTTCCCTAAAAAATCTGCACGAAATTGAAAGAAACAGCAAGCACCTCCCAAAAATGTATGACAATTATTCAACAAAAGAGATACATGCAAATACACCACTCGTTTTCTTTGGTCATGACGTAGGACCAATCAGTCACAGCTTAATTTGAACTCGAGCACTTCAAAAATTCAGCAAATTAGACAGTTAATCTTAGAGGAAAAAAGTGCAAAATCTTACGCGCTTGATTGACTGCTATGAAAAACAAAAGAAACAGGCAGTTAGCACAAGACTAGCAGAAAAATTAGCAGAATATACCTTTCATAAAATGACCACTCAATGTAAGAAGAGTCAAGAGAAAATTACAGGTAATTCGAAATGTTGCCAAAAGTCGAAACTTCAAAAAGCACATGCAATTTAGTAAGTAATTTGTCCAAAAAAATGAAATACGATAACGAAGTAGCTCACTGATGCAGAAGCATATGCAATACTGGACAAATTTTTGACATTGGAATTTGGTGGCATTTACAACTTGTTGCCTTTATTGAACGAGAAAATAAAAGCTATGCGAGTCCTGCTAGTTTCAGTCTACCGCTCATTTATGCGGTGTAAAGTACTTGCACTACAAAGCACTGATACGACAACGTGGGAACACAAACAAACTGCAACAAAAAACCGCAACGAAGAAACAAACAATAAAAGGTCTAAACAAAAGCAAACTCACTCTGGGAAGCTCATTATTGCTTGTTGTATTCGAGCCTATGTCATTGTTGACTAGAACAGAGCGATAACGTGCGATTGAACGGAAGTTCGTGGGTGTGCTGGCTATGACAAAGTCCTGCAAAACGTTCGAACGTAAGCGTACGCAACGTGTATCGCGTGCTGTTCTACTGATCTCCACGCAACCGCCTCAATAATTAGTAGGGGTACGGGCTAAACACACGCAAATAAACGAATTGATTTCTCCGAGTTAACTATTAGCACGCACCATCCGCTCAACCGTCGCAGCGCGTTCGCCGCGCGTCGCGTGCTCGGCTTGGCTTCCGGCCAAGAGCCACGCATGCGAATCTAACCGTACGGTAGCCAGGGTTCGGATCCGCCCCTTTTGTGACGTCTGCGGGTCCACCCCGGACACTGAGGGGAGGAGGCCCCGAATCGGCAGACCCGCCCATGCGGCTCATTCACACCGTGCTCTTCGCGCCAGCTGACTGCATTCTCTTTTTGACCTATCTTTCCACCTAAATCCCATTTAATAGCTATTTTTACCCTAGTGCTATCTATAGTATGCTCGCTTTTATGCTAGAACATCAACCAAAAATTGTGTAGATGGATTTTATGCAGTATCAGATATTTTCCTCTCGCATAACTGGTTTATACATGATTCCTTTCCGCTCTATACGATAAAAAGTGCGCTTTTGTAAAAAAAGAATTTATAGAGACTGTTAAGTTGGGAGTTTTTACAAACCGAGTCATTAATCTCGATTAACCTATGTAACTTACTGTAGTCGATTCGTCATTGGAAAAAAATTATCTGAGAGACTTGGACATATTTGGACCGAGTTTTTTCCTCATAAGTTCATAATATTTTACATATCGATAGGTTTTTTGCAACGCTCGTAGCGCGATCGAATGCAAACTGCACCAAAATGAGAAAGAGTGAATCTGGTCAATCAAGCAGCAAAGTTGGCTGTCGGGAGAATGTGAAAATTGCCTTGTTCAATTCTCTCTCGTTCGAAAATGCAAGTGGTTTTATTTTATACATATATCTATTCTGTTATTTTTATATGAGCGATTTTCTGGCAATGCCTTTTTATGACTTCAGGCAGCAACCAATAGTGATAAATTTCATCATTTTTATCAGCCTTAGCAAATTGAATCTTTGCAGGGAACGGAACCAAAAACATATTGTGAAGCACGGTGATAAAATGACCCGAAAATTTCAAAAAATGATTGAAAATGCTGAAGCACAGCTGTCAATAGTGGCGCTATAGAAAAATTTCAACCTTTACGAGTTTTTTTTTAGCTTTTTTCAAAATTTAAATGGTGTTATCGATTATTCCTTCTTTCCCCTATATTCTGCCCCAGCCGCCATAAATGCATATAACATCATTTGTCAGCGCTATCACAGAAAGCTTGCAAATTATCTTTTGGAATGTATGGTTTATTGTTTCGTGTATCGAATGCATGAGTATTACCATCAAATAATCCTTTTTTAATAACATGGGCTGTTAATTGAAAATGACAATAATTTCTCTCTAAACGAATGGTTCCACACGGAAAAAAACAGCGTAATTTGATGGGGCCTGGTAAACACACTTTCGATCGATAATAGACCTATCATTCAAGCGAATCCAAGCAGGTCCTAAACATTGTGTTACAGAAAAATGCAATATTATTAGTGGGGAGGTGTGGCAAATCGATAACGTGGTGCGTCCGTCACGTGAAGTAAGATAATATTTGGATACTGTGAACTGGGAATGGAAATGGCGTTGACTATGGGGCGAAACTGATGTTTTCACAGCTTCCGTCAAACCTAGCTATACCAACAGACTTTTTTGATCATCCCCTTTTCAATTTTCGTTACAGTCATTGCCAATCTTTTTGGGGGAATTGACGAAAGATGGAATCGCATTCTATTTTAAAGGAATAAGACTGGTAGTAGTAGATCTTTTAGTTTAGTGATGGCAAATAGTATCGAATTAAGACAGGTCGAGGTCTATCGAAACACTTGGAACACAGAATGGTAGAGCCGCCGAAACGCGTTATCGATCGATGACATTGCTCGGAAACCGATCCACACGGCCACTTACGCTGCTGCTGAACATCTCTCGATGTTTCCAGATAATGATGGTGCGCTTGCGAGAATTGCAAGATAAAAAGTACGCATAACTGCGTTTAGTTCCTCATCTCCACAATTCTAGCGTAGCAGTGCTTATAATCACCAGGCACGGCGCTAAAGTAGTTCGCCGTGGTGCCTGGCTGAGAGACTGACTTTGGAAAACCTCACATCATACTTAGCGCACAGTGACCTCATATAATCAAGTGCATAAAGTAACCTTGCACTTTTCATGCGTGTAATATAATGAGATCAACAATATAACCTCAGACAACTGGGTGGAACTTCCGCAGATTTGAGGTTCCGCTGGGCTACCTGCGGAAGTTCCTTACCCTGCTGCGGAAGTTCTCAAGTGAGATGCTGCTGAAGTTCCGAAGAATGCGAACCCCAACAGCGAATGAGAACACCTCAGCGAGATTCCAACCTTGCTGTATAGACTGTGGGATTCATTCACTATCCTCTGCCGACAATGCACTCTAGTCGTTGGTGAGGCAACATCGTGAAAGACAACACACGAAAATCTGCGGAAGTACTGGCAGAGCGAAGTGCTGCGGAATTGCTGGCATTTTTCTGAGCTTTGTAGAAAGTCCTGCGGAAGTTCCCGCATTGAAACTGTCCGACGTGAAGATCCTGCGAAAGCCCCATTTTCAGCGTCCCCACTTCTATGGTAGTAAACAAAGTCCTGCGGAAGCGCTGCAAATTTTTGCGCTGCGGATGCGATGAATTTTCTGAGATATATTGCAGCGGATTTGATGGATGATGTTGTATGGGGGGCTCTGCGTGATCGCGCGAGAGTCGGTGAGTTTGCGGCCATTAGATGCGCATTCGCATTAAGCTTTCTCTCTTATCTTTCTCCTTTCAAACGCTTTTTTCTTATCAGATGTTAGCTTCCAATTATGAGAAATTGAAAAGTACGGTATTGTTCTACTGGTTTGAGCCCTTGGAATCCCGCGCCTGTAATGGCGGCAAACCCATCGACTCTCGCGATTATGAAACCCCTGTAGCTCCGGTGTAGGCAACATCTGCGCGTGAAAAATAGCCATGGAGGGGGAATCTTGTAGACAAGCTCTCAGTGGCATTTTTTCACACACAGTGTTGCTAGCAACGCAGCGACACTATATCAAACCGTCAAATCAGATTACTGCAATCAAACAGATCCATCTCCAATCCGTGAGGTTTGCAGCCATTCCGTCGCGTACGCCCAATTCGCGGAAGTTAGGCTGAAGCCGGGTTGTTCTTCATGCGCTTTCTACTTGTTGTGAAATTTTCGGAACACCTTAAAATTAGTGCGATGAAATTAACTCATCACGTACGAACGGCGGTGAGGGTCTAGTAAAAAAAGACCTCCTCAGGCGAAACAACATCTAGCTCTTCCGTCCTTGCTCTACTCTCCCAATCTTTACTTGATGAAAATCTGCACACACTTCGCGACATCAAAAATGTTAAAGGATAGGTATGTATAAGATATTTTCTTGTAGATGCAGCGAACGTCCTCGCGTTACCGACAACCTTTGCGCGCAAAGAAGTTTGAATCTGTGGCTAATTATCTGCACGCAGGTCGCAAGCACGCGCAAATGTTGTTGTCACCGCAGGGGCACTAAATCAACCATTCAGTCTGCTAGACTGAATGGTTGATTTAGTGCCCCTCATATAGCTTTGCATCTGAATGTTCCCATATGTCCGGAATTAGAGATCCGCTTAGAGAGGTTAAAGTCATAATTTGCGTCACACTTCGATTTTTGCCTCAGTCGGCTATTTACATGGCAACTCAGCTTTATTGGATCTTATCACTGCCTTTGAAAAAGAAAACTTGTTCGCAATGGGAAAAGGACAACCACTATCGATTTGACGGGCAGCAGCAGGCTGAATGTTTGTGTATTCTTTGCATGCTTATACAAGGGAAACTGAACTTGTGCATGAGAATGAATTTGGTGAATTATGGGATTGTCAAACTCAACAAGGTGCTCAAGTTATTGTATTTTTGATACTCAGGCCGCTTTATATAAAACGACATTTTGCGAAAAAAACGGGTTTTGTGCCGGCCCGAAATAGTTCCCACAATAAAGCTTACAATAAAGCTCCATGAATGAGGTCCTTTTGAATGGTCAACTCATGCATCTGCATTCTTCAGCTTTAAATTGTAGCGGACAATTAACAATTCAGGACTATTCTTGCCGAAAAATACCAAAGTAATATTGGGTACGCAGTCAGTCGTTTGGCAAAACTGCTTGATTTTATCTTCTGATCTAGCTCACTAGACGTAGTTCCTGTATACGTTAATAGAAAAATTTCATACTGGCTTAGGGGGTTGCCCAAATTGATTTCAACACGCTATGAAAACAGCAATAAATAAAGCGTCACCGTCAACCATAGTCCCCATATTTTGCTTAGTTTTGAATTCTACAACAAATGCGGGAATGGAATTGAAAAAGAATTTGAATTGCAAAGCATCGGCTGCACTTTATCCTTCACTAGACTAGAATTCGTTTTCAGGGATATCCTCCCTTCCACAGTTGCTGCTACCCTTGGTCTGCGTCTCAGAGGCTGCACGTCAGGAGGTACGCCGTGCGCGGCCACCGCTCCGCCGCGACGCCGCGTCCAAATCTTGGGGCTAATTGAGGTGTTCATTCCCCCACCCCAAATCTCCTCCACTGTCGGAGTTCCCGGCGGCAAAAACAGCGGGGCAGGGGTGGAGGCAGACAGATGTACTCGATGCCAAAGAATACTGCGCCAGAAGTGTTGCTGTTGCATTGGCTGAAGTGCGCTGCGGCTTCGCTTTGCGAAAAATTCGCGGCGATCGTACCTCCTGACCGTTTCCCCGTCCCAGACCTGCTATGTGTAGCTAACATGATGGCAACATCGGCATCAACATGTTTGCAACATGCAGCAACATGTTGGCGCTGGCTAGTAGCCAAGAAGTTCTCCGACGTGTTGCTGCATGTCGCAAACATGTTGTTGCGACGTCAACATGTTAGCTACACGTGGCAGGTTTGAGACGCAGGCTAAAGGCAGCAGCAACTGTGGTGAGGACGATACGTCATACTTCACCAAAAAAAGCTCGAAAGCGCCAGAAAGAGCCGAAACATCTCCTTTCGCGCGCAAATTTAGCGCCAGGGCACGTGTGTTGATTTTGCCACCCGCGTTTTTCGTCGTCTACACATCAAAAAAAAATGTATTCTATCGAAAGTTTTAAGCCGGTGAAACAGAGTTCAATGTAACATAGGAACTCTGTATTCTAGCTTTGCATGCAATCTAACCATTGTGTCTTTTATCGTTCGTGATCAAACTTTTCTTGCTCGTAGGAATTGATGCTAAGGGCTCATCAGCATGGCTGCGTATTTCTGATTATGCTAAAAATAGAATCAAGTGTCTGCACCTTCAACATCTGTTCGTTAGATAATTAGTTTCTCAACGCAACGTTGTTATCAACGGTGTTCTCTCTCTGGCGCTTTTGGCTTTTTCGAGCTTTTGGGCGCTTTTAAGCATTTTTTGACGGAATATGACGATCTTTCAGCTGGGTGTTCGGTTTTGAAGAGTGTGCATTTTCTGCCACTAGATCTTGATCCTCCAAAGCAGAGTTCACGAGATTTCATCGCAGCGATTCTTATAACAAAACAAACAAACAGTTACGAGTTTCTTGCATGCCTATCATCTTGCATTTCAGTTTTGATAATTCTCCAACACGAACAATTGTGGCTAACTATCACAACGGAAAGGACTCGTAACTCTTCGTCTTAGGAGAATCGCGGCGATGAAATCGCGTGAATTCTGCGCGAGGTCTAAAACCCTGCATCATGTGCATCCATTCATCTCGCATTTGTTGAAAAGTATGTTCATAACCTTTTCGAAAATTTTATTGGTCTCGTTTTGTAGTCATCAATCGTTGAATGCTAACTATCGAACTCGCTTTGTTCACTAAATCGATAAGCTTTTCAGGGAGCAGTTTCATGCCTACTCTCCCAGTACACTGTCGATCTTTACCCTGTAATGGTGAAGTCTGTTCAAATAGTCTTTCTTCATATAATTTTCAACAAAATTGTCCCTTTGCAGACAGCATGTGCTAGTCGCGTAACATGAAGTATTCTCTTTATCTTGCGAGGAAATATGCAGCTGAAGGTTGGTGGGATCGGGCGATTCGTCATTACCTTACCGTGCTCTTCACCTATCCGGTAAGCTTTCGTTTTTTTGTGTTTTATCGAATTAGAGTCATTTCTGCATTCAGAACACCGAACAGCGTGAAGTAGAGTTTTCTGAGGAGTTTCGAACCGTCCTTGAAAGCTGGATGTGCTATTCGCGTAATGCCGACTCTTGTCTTAGCGCTTTGTTTGCTCCAATTCTGAATTTATTCCCAAAATGTGTTCCTATAATCACACTTCTTTCTGAACATGTTGCTGGAAATGTTGTATTCTCCGCTGGTAAGTGACTTTCTTCATTCATCCCGATTTTTGGAATAAGACTTACGCGTTATAGATGAAGGCGAATCCGGAGTGACCTCATATGACAGCCTCAAAGCAGCCATAAATGCCGAATGTGACCCATTAATGGCTGCAGTGTTCCGAGTTTCATCTGCAAACATCCGCAGCTGCATTTTTGATCAGTGGCATATGCTGATGATCAATGATAAGGTAGTCATTGCTGTAGGTATGACTTCCCCTGTGTGTAATTCATTTCATTTGAAGGAGAGAAATGAGAAATTTTTGGATGCCCTGAGGAATACGATCCTGCCAACCGACTATGTGCTCGATATTGGGACAGGGACCGGATTGATGAGTGTATTCGCTGCTAGGTTTGTCGGTAGTTATTTTTCTAATTTCCGTTGTAAACATATATAACTACTTTCAACTTTGAGTATACCCTTTAGGGCACCATCGGGTTCACTTGATCCATTTTATTCATTTCGCAATTTGGTCAAATCAGTGAACTGACCAGTAGCCAAGCGGATGTCTACTTGATCCATTGGCACGCGCCGTACATGATCCGCTTAATTTACTTGATCGCTTGACCCGTTTCGTCATTGGTAAGTTCAGTGAACAGACCAATAGTGAAGTGGATCAAGTGGACAACCGCTTTGCTGGTGGTCAGTTTACTGAATTGACCAGTGACGAAGCGGATTAGAAGCTGGTAAAAATCTTACCCTGTAGTCAAATTTTCGTTCTGATTTTGACTTATTGGCGGAATTTTTTGGGGCTCCTGCGCGCTATGCTCAAGCATGATCAAAATCTTGATGCAAATTTCAGTTGCGGCGCCTCGAAAATCTGCGCTATTGAATCTAACGTCTCGTTGTGCAGTTTGGCAAAGAGAGTTCTGAGTTTGAATGGAGTTGATGGTGCGAAGGTCATACGCGATTACTCGTTCAACTACCGTCCAGAAGATGGAGATCTGGTCAGTTCATTTATCAGTTTTCGTGGTAGAAGTCTGGTTTTGTAATCTCGTCCAACATCGATGCATGTTGATGTATGTTTTGCAATTAGCTATGCAATCACTAGTATCCTTTACAGTACCCCCCAATATCAACTATTCTTCTGATTATTTGATATTATTGTTGTCTGATTAGGTTCGTAGTGGCAAATTTCCTCACTTTGCGACCATTTTGTCCGCAATAGCAGATTTCAAAGATTTTCTGCTTCCCAGATTTGTTGATTGTGTACATGTTCATATGCTTATTATATTATATAATTCTTTCTTCAATCATATTTAGATGGCCCAGTTTTCAGGCAGATATAGTTGTGTCCGAAATTCTTGATTGTTGTGCTTTTGGCGAGGGAGTAATCCCCACATTCCTTGATGCTCATCTAAGGCTAGCCACAAACATGGCACGATTCATCCCGGCAAATGTAAGTCTTTCATTATTTTCGAGGTCTAGCCTGAACCAGAGATCTAGGTCACTTTATATGCAACTTTGATCGAGTCGCCAACAATCTACCTCAGTCATGCTTTCACGTCACCATCGGGCAAAGAGTATCGGTCGGAGTATGTGAGAACCTCTGATGCACGTGAGATTTTCACTTGTCGCTCTAGCTGCTTGAAACAAATTGTTGTCATCATTCCAGCGCAATCTGAGCCTTACTGGTGCACTAGGATCAGTGATTTGCCAGATCTCAAGAAACTTTCTTCTGCTCAACAAGTCATTACTGTAGACTTTGGCAATGTGAATCAACTTCACGACTGCATCAATGGAGTTTCGGGAGGGTTGAAGGTATCTACACTCTGCTTTGCCTAGTAATTTGGTAAATAGGTATCACATGTTTTGGGTGATGTTGTTAGTATTACTAAAACTCCTCGAAAGACGATTAGGTAACTTATTTAGACCATCCGCACCGTATTGGTAAGGAAACTTTTTTCATTTCACTTTATTGTCTCTTTTTTGATCCGTTTTGTGCAGTCACTCCTAATGAATTTTTCTAGATTTCGATCAGTTCGTCAGGTACCCTGCATGCCCTCGCAGTGCATTTCAGGTTTGTCCATATTTGAGATTACGATTACAGAAATAGTATCATTTTGTGATTTTGACGTCTGAAATCCATTCTTCTTTACTTTTCGTCTGTATGAGCTTTTGAAACCATTTAGCTTCAAACATCTTTACTGTTGCACTTTTTTGGCTCTGAACAAGAAACAACAACATTCATTTGTGCCCCACTTTTTGAAGCGCGCTTCTGAAATGTTGTGTTTTGGGTTTTTGAACTGCCCAAAGAAGTTTGGCTCAAAGCAAGATGTTGCTGTTGCTCTGCAAAGCCATATGAAGCGGAAGTGAACACTTTTTGTGCCATTTTCTGTTCTATCTACAACCCTTTTTTCAGAGCGCTTATCTGGGCGAACGAATACATCGATACGTCAGACAATACATGCTGGGAACAGGGAATCTTTCCTCTTCCATTTCCGTTGCGGGTACTTTTGATACCTTTTCTCACCATTCACAAGACCTTTTTAAATTTATTCAAAGTTTCAAACTAAAACACGCTATTCAGGTGCATGAAGGTGACTCGGTTATTGCAAAGTGGACTTTGAAAGGCACGCGATTTGATATGGTAGTCGAAAATTTCACGAATTCTGAGGTAAAAATTGACTCAGAAGCGGTGTTGATCCCGTTGCTCGACGGAACATCTGAACTGCCTTCAGGATTTTCTTCATCGAGAGCTTAATACACGATGTGAGCAGGACTATCGAACAATGAACAATGACATGCTTCTCTATGCCATCACTCGCCTATTACCCTCTGTTAGCAGATACTCATGGAATCTGGACATCAATCTCAGCGATGAGGAGGTTAATGTCGTGAGGTTAGTGGTTAGCATATTCATTCAGTTCCGATTTGACCGGTAGATCTCTAGGAATTTACCACATTTCTTGATTGATCCGAAGGACATAGAAGAATCAGGCGAGATAGATGAAGCTAACTGTAAGTGTTAATGAAGCATTTGAAAACAGTAGTGTCACATGCTATCACATGCTTCATTTTCTGAGGGATCGTTCAGACCGCGCCAGAATCCGTCCAATCCCGCCCGAATACGTCCAAATCCGCCCAAACCCGCCCAAATACGTCCGAATCCGTCCGAACCCGCCTGAACGCTGGAACTGCCAAAGTGCAGCGGATATGCGGCAAATTGGCATATTGGAGCAGGCGTGGAATAATGCTCGCGTAGTGCATTATCTCAGTCACACGTAGCTCGACGTTACATACCGATCTTCTTTTGCAAACTACTCCGATATTAGAAGGATCAATCGCACGCGTGCTCCAATATGCCAATTTGCATGCAACCTGCTGCGCTTTGGCAGTTTAGGCGGGTTCGGACGTATTTGGGCGGGTTTGGGCGTTTGGAAATATTCGGGCGGATTCGGACGTATTCGGGCGAGTTTGGGCGGGTTCCGGCGCGGTCTGAACGATCCCTGAGAAAAGGTCGATTGAAAATAAGAAAAAAACAAATGAATTTGAAATTTTATCTATTTTCAAATAAAATAACAACGCAGTTTGTGTCTAGACAATCTTGCTTTAAAAAGTACTACTGACAGATGTCAAACCTTGTAGTTTTGAACCAGACTTTCCTAATTTGAGTAGGAAGCATAAAGTTGTCATACAATATTTCGTCCATTTTCAGGTGATCTTTGCATAATTGTTTGGCCTATAAGGGCAGATGGATCTGTAAGCGAGGTGTTTTTGAACTCGCTGCGATCCCTCCGATGCAGTAGTGATGTACCACCGTCGCTGAAATATTGTGGATTTCTCACAGGTGCTTGATTTTCTTTTCTTTTGGTTCGAGCCTTTACATTAGAAGCACCTGCATAGAATTGCCAATTTGCTATGCATTTTTTCATTGCGTTGATGCTTGATAATTATCAACAACGGATTGATGTAGACCGTCTCTCTGCACATGGAGTTCTCGTTTCGTCCGCTCGTCTATCAAAACTGACTAGAGTGCAGTCCAACGCATTCTGTGGTGCAGACCTTTCTCCTATCAGGACATACAATCTTTTGGAATACAGGGATATTGATATTTGTAGGTTCAATTTTCAAATTTCTATGTTCGCTCTCTAGATCTACTGATTGCAGCTACCTTTGAACATCACGTCTGTTCCAACGAGTTCGCATTCTTACACCTGGGGGAAGAAGATACAGAACTAATGTCGAAGAAGTTTGAGGTCAGACCTGATTAGAGCTTCCAAAATACAAAATATTAGGTTTTTTTTCAAATGCAACATTTAGGTTCGATGTACTAGTGCTGGACTCATCGAAGGTGTACTGTATTGGTGGCAATTAGGTAACTACTCTACTCGTCAAGATCGTGGAGCTTTCTTCATTTTCAAGGAACCGATTCCCGCGAATGTTGGCACCACGGTAAGTCGACGGACCATTTTGCTTTATATCCAAGTTTTCGCCATTCTGTAGCACAGTCATAGCTTGCAGTCATTTTTGCGTATCAATTTTAGCTGAGCATCACTTGTGATATCTACTGCGGGTCCATACTTCTGTCTGCAGAAGCTGTGTGAACGAAGTAAAATACAAGGTGTTTTTTTTTGGAGCTGCCTGACAATTCAAGCAGTTATCTACTCAGTCATATATCTTGTTGGATTTTTTTGTTGGTGGTATTTTGTACACTAATTTTTTTTTGCTCTTGCGATATCAGTCTGTGAGTATATGAATAGAGTTGAACGGTGAATGTGCCTTAATGTTGACGTTGTTCGTTTACCAATTTTCTGTACTTGTTCAGTTTTTCACTCGCATATATTTGACTGCGCTAATCAACATGACAGAAATCGACGCAAGACCTTTTGTTATGGAGAGTCTAGATTTTGTGATGCGCAGTTTGAATTCATCATCTTTTTATCTTCATACTGAGAATCATGAGTCTAGCTCCTGTCATTGCGGTTGATGATACTGGTCTCAAACGTTGTTCTTTCATACTGGTTGAAGAGTGTATGTTAGTTGAACCTCAGACATATTTGAAGTCCTTTATAGTATAAACAATTTCTAGTTTTTCCTTTTCATAATGTACAATTAAGGTATATGGAATGATCACAAATGAAGCTCCGATACAAAATGAAATCAAAGAATGAAGTGAGAAAGGATGCCCGCTTATATGAGAACACTATCTGTGCGACGATAGGTCGCACAATTTGAATATTTTCCGATAATAGGTCATGCTCTCGCATTTCCTGGATCAAAAAATCTATACTCTACTAAAAAGGCTTATGGAGATAGCTTTCAAGTGAATGAAGCGCATCGTCCACTCTTCAATGAAATGTTATCCATGGCCATCGCTCTATCTTCATCTGACATGTTGAAGAAAAGGAGGAATATCTGAAATTTTTGAAATGAAGTACTGGCAATAGCAGTTTGCTTTATTAGCAGAGAAAGGTTTAGGTTTTATTGGTTTAAAGGTTAGCGGACGAGAAGAGAGAGAGTGGGGGGGGGAGGGGAGGGGAAGTTGATTGGTTTTGATGGTCTGAAGGTTTTTCGATAGGATTAAATTAACGTCACTGTATCAAAATTTCTTCAGCTTTGAAACTGTTTTTGGAGCGCAGCTGCCGTTAAAGGCAGCGTACACCCAAAATTTGAGTTACCGAATTTCCTAGATCTTTCTACACCGTGTATATACTGGGCCCAGAAGAAGACCAACTGCGTTGGTCCGGTCTCCCAATGTTGCTTCTGAGCGGAGAAAACCCCCCTCAATTTTCTTTCACGCCGCCCCTTTTCTTTCGCTCCGCCTCCTCCGGGCGAATCCATAACAGCGTAAGCTGCAATTGCAGTTGCAGTCGCTGTTGCAACATCTGTTGCATTTGTTTGGGTGTACGCTGCCTTTAAGGATTTGAGCCCTCCAAACGTGTGGAAGATAATCAAAATCTTTTCACCAACCCCTTCCCCCTCTGAAAAAAAAACTCTGGGATTCTTTTGATGTGAATATATATATATATTTTTCAAAGTCGAAAGTTGTTCAGGCGTAACCTGTCTGAAATACTTACCCGGTCGGCTCGCTTCACCTTTATCTTAGCCCTGACTCGATTCCAAGATTTCGGTGTGACTTTTTGTGTTTGACACCTAAACAATTTTGCACGGTGATTTCGAATTAACCAAAAAATTACTTCTTTTTACAATAACTCACTTTTGCAGCGTGTCTACGCAAATTCGCACATCTATGCCTTCTGTAGGGTAGACGTCTACTGACAGAGTAATGGGTCCCTCAAATGGTCCATGCCGGTACAATCCAGAATGCGATTCGCTGGCGACGCGTGAGAGTCCATAGCGGTTCTCTGTAAAGAGAAGTTGTGTCTCAGAAATAAATCTCAAGGCAGCCCAGAGTTGTCCGTGCCGGCACTGTTCCAATGTCGTGCAGGAACTGTGCCGATGGAGATCAATCGATCAATGTGCACAACGCTCCACGTGGTTCCGGCACGGCGTTGGCACAGCAACGGACGCAATCCAAAGATAATTTTGAGGTGAAACAAAACTCTGAAACGTACTTTGGTCGCGCTTCGACGCAATGCTAACGTTGCCAAATCGTTGGTCTATCATTCGCATATCAGTCCATCTAAGACATAGTATATACGCCCAATCAGTAATGATGATTTTTGGTACCGTACCCGCATTCTGTATCCTTCTCGAAATCGCACACTGACATTGAACAAGGTAAACATCGGCACACCACATGGTCATTTTCAGCTTGACAACGTCCAGAACTGCAAATCATAGTTACAGAGTAAATGAGAATTTCCTAAAAAACCAAAAAACTGTAAATGAACATACCGACCATCGTAGTGAAAAATATCGCAAATATTCTGATCTTTTCCATTTTTTAATTCTAATTTCAGAGGAAAAAATGCGTGCTTATGCGTATTGTGATATATGGTAATATTTAATCGTCAAAAAAGTAATGGCGCTTTTAATTGCTTACTATGGCATTGCAACCATGCAAACCTCAAAAATCATGAGGGGTATTTTAGAAAAAAAGCAAAGCAAGCTCCACAATCATGCTTGCGCAAAAAGTTTGATTCACGTGAATTTTGAAATCAAAATTAAAAACTTGCTCAAAAAATCGAAATCACCGTTCAAAAACTATCTACGATCTCCCATTTGCATAAATCTATGCTATACCACACATTCGTACATACAGTTGCTGTACTTTTTCCTCGACTAAAAAGTGAGAAAATGAAAATTTTCTTGTTTTTCTCAAAAACATATAAAGCCTTTCTAGCCTTTCTTTATATACATGAAATTCTATTCTACACGCTTTTGTATTATATTATAGGCGTTACGCTTTGTCTATTATTGGGAGTGTTAACAAACTTTAGCACGAAACCCATAAAAGGGAAGGCAAACTTGTTATTTCCAAGTAATTGTAAATTCAAAAACTTACATCATTCACAAGGGTTTCCACTATAAATTACTCATGTAAGAACTGCCCAGCATTGCTTTGCAAAAAATACGAAGATTTTTGTGTTCTCATTTTTTAGCCATCGAAAAATATACAGCAACTGTATAGCATATGAATGCCTAGTGCCGATGGTACAAATGCGTGCAAGTGGGTCCGTAGGTAATTTTGGAAAGAGCTCCGATCTTTCAATTTTTTGGACATTCACAACTTTTTTAATTTATTTTTCTTTAAATTTTTTTCAATTTAATTTTTTTAATTCGATTCACATTTCACGTGGATCAAACGTTTCACAAAAGCATGAACGTCAGCTTGTAGAGCTTACTTTTCTCTATCTGTCGCGGATTCGCGACTTCCTTCAAAGGAGGCCGCCCCCGCGCTGCGAAGGGGTCCTGAAACGCCGTCCTCGCGCTGTCCCGCCTCTCACCTCTCTTACCTGCGCAGCTTTCGCATAAGTCACGTACTCAGTCTTCGCAGCTGCCGTCACAGTGAGCGGTCGGGTTTCCAATTCGTCTCAACTATCGATCGATCCAGCGCTACCCCAACTCTCGCGTGCTTCCATCTACGCCACAGAGGACTGGCTCCCACGCTACGAGGTAACCCCGAGCGCGATCGCACCTGGCACACGCCGGCGACACCGCCTCGGGGGGTTTCCGTTATTGCCGGCCCCTAGGTAACATCTGGCTGGTTGTTGCTCATCCTGTATGTTTGAGTGTAGGGATTTTATTGCGGATAAATGGTGGGCACTTTACAGGTGTGATATGTGTTGGAGCGGTGACCACGGCTCGGCTGTGGCTCCGGAATATCGGGTTGTCATTTCAGGTGTATTTCGTAATCTTGCCTAGTAGGTAACATCTGTAGGAAGGCTGGCACGATGCTAGCTAAGTGCCACGATTATGAGTGCACGCCCCAGCTGTCGGTGGCTGGAAGCACAGGTCGATCCCAGGTGACGAGTCGCTACTAAGCAGGCTGGTGGCAAGGGCCCCTAAGAGCGTAAGGAGTACCCACGTGGCAGGCACAACGAGCGTCTCACAGGTAGCCACCACACATCGTATGGTTCACTTATTCACGGTGCGGACCCCTGGCTCCCCTCGCCGATGCAGGAGAGCAATTATACCACTGACGTTGGGAGCTGGGGGCCCAATCCGCGACATGGTGCATCGGACCGGAGTTGAGCATAGGGATAGCAAACCTATGTTCAGCTTCTGTGATCGAGCCTCACCTGTGTAGTCCACGTGTGCACGCCTTTGCACATTAGAGTCCCTAGTTAGCAGTGCAAATTCATCCCATTTTTCCATTTCACATGTTTGCGCAGTGTACACATGCTGGTTGTGCCTTGTGGCTCTTTAGAGAACTCATCTTTCGTTTCATCAGCCAGCTCCGACGCGACTAGGTTGACGCGAGTACGCGACTACCCACAGTTCCACTTAGCTGAGAGTGGGGTGATCCCGCAGACCTGGTGGCAGCAGCCATCTGCGCCCTGCCCACTGTCCGGAACTGTCTGGTGCCTTCTGGTGGCCAGGTTTCTCTGCAGCCATTGAGATGGTTCGGCTCTGTCTGCCCTGAAACACGCCATCAGGCCGACGAACGAGCCCTGTATGTTATGTCTGATGAGAGTCTCGCCCCTAAATTCATTTCTTTCCCACATGCTCGCATTGCGCACTCATTCCTCTTTCTCGTTTTGCAATTTGTGGCTAGGCTTAGCGGGTGACGGTTCCTTGCGATCGATACTGCTTTCGTCATCGGCACTCATCCCCATATAACCATCCCGGAGTTTCAGTTGTTGCTTGTTGTTCATCGTTTCACGCATTTCGCTCGTGTATTGTGTTCACCATTTTTGTGTGACTACATCCGCAAGTAGTCACGCCCTCGCCAAGCATACTCATGTAGCACAATTTCAGAATTTGGGTTTGGCAGTTACTACCTCCTGCAAGCTTTCGAGTCAGTGCGCTATCGATCGATATGAACACCGTCGAATCCTACATCCCCAAGGTCGTCAAAGCCATCGAGGACCTGGAGACGATTAGGAAACAGGTAAGTTCCGATTTGCTTACCCCGTACGTGTCTGACGCCCCAGTTGCCGAGCAACTCCATCAGCTCCAGCACCGTCAGGCAGCCACACAGCTCTCCATAGTGAGTCTGAGATCCGCACTTTCGCTTCTGCGTGATCGTCGTGACGTACTCCTGTACCACATTACTACCTCCAGTTCGCCGACAGATCAGCAGGCGTACAGCAGGTTCGAGGAAGAGCACAGCGTGGATCAACATCTGGCAGACGCTGAAGCACTCCTCCGCACCTTGCAGAGTACGCAGGAAGCGGATAGTGAACGCTCTGAGTCTCTTCGTATCCATCGACTCGCTAATTCCATCAGTGAGGATGCTGTTACGGGGACGACAGGAACAGTGACGACGCCCCAGCGACAAGATCGCACAGACGCCCCACAGCTTCAAGCTGTAGATACCCAGTTGGACGTTGCACAGCAGTTGGAACATCTTCAGCTTACATCCGCGCAAACTGCCCCATCGTCGCACAACGTACCGATCCATCTGGAGAAGTTAACGTTGCCGCATTTCGATGGAGATGTCACCAAGTTCCAGCAGTTTTGGTGCACGTTTGAGCTAGCTGTTCACAACGACCCCAACATCGACCTCAATATGAAATATCTCTACCTCATGAATCTGCTTAGGGGAGAAGCCCAAGTGGTGTTGCAGGACCTTGAACCAGGACGGAACAACTACCATCAGTTGGTGCAAGCATTGAAGAAGCGATACGACTGCCCGAGGAGGACCAGAGCGCTGTTCCATCAGCAGCTCCGAGATCTTCAGCCCGCAACCGGATCAGCTTCGGATATGCGAAACACTTGGTTCCGGATTCAGGGTATCCTTCATGCCCTTACGCGTTTCGAGGATCTGAATCGTGCTCTTTATATCATCGATCTCGTACGCACTAAGTTCCCCCTGTCAATCCAGGAGCGGCTTAACAACGTCGAGTTCGAGAAACGAGCCGATTTTGATCTTCGACAAGTCATGTCTCACCTCGATGACCTTATTCAGTCAAAGGAGAGGTTTGAGCAGACTTGCTCCCGCAGTCGTACGTACGTTCTCAATAGAGATATTTCCCCAGGACGTCCATTAACGTCTACATCCCCCAGATCATTGCATCCCCCAGATGATCCCGCATGTTGCTTTTGTGATTCCCTTTCGCACTCTTCTCGCAGTTGCGACGAGCGTATGCCAGTTGGTGTGCGTCTTAAGATCGCACATCTTCTGCGACTATGCTTGAAGTGTCTTCGAGAAGGACATTCCCAAGGCGATTGCGACTATCCATCTTGCAAGGAGTGTGGAGGTCAACACCATCGACTTCTCTGTAGGCTCGCGGAAGAGGAGGATTGTACCCGAGAACGTCAGTCGTCTAGCTCATCTAGTTCGTCTGATTCGTCATCGGAGAGGCAGCCAGCTGCGGAAGGAGACGATCAACCTGGAGAATCCTCGGATTTTGAAGATCCAGCACGGGATAGCAGAAGATCCCGAGACTATTCTCGTGATCATCACTATCATCCGCGCGAACATAGAGGATATCGCAGCAGACTGGATGCTACCCCACGATCGGATATACAATCCCCATCTCGACCCGTACGTTCCGTACCAGTCAGAGAATCCCCACATGTTTCTCCTTCGCCCACGCGTCGTAGAACACCATCGCCACAGATTCCATCTCCTACGGGAACGTCCAGACGTCGACGCCACCGAAGACGCTATAGGGATCCGAAGTGGGTGCGTAGAATTGCCCGTACCCCAAGCAACCCACCCCATTGATACCTCGCAGGCCTACTGCCGTTCCGCAGCAGCTTCGTTCTGCCCACAGACATCCACTCACACTTTGCGTTATCACATTTATATTATATCTGTTTACTTTCAGCAGCCTCCTTCTCTCTCGTGGTCACGGACGTTCGAAGCTGTATTTAGGCCGGCCAGTTACATCTTGTTGCTTCGTCGCCCCTCATCCCGAGGATTGGTCCCCATGGTCCACTCTTGAACTGAGCTAGCAAGTTCGAGGAAGGAGAATGGAGCATAAGAGCGAGCTCCCGCAGGTAAGTTTGAAAGTTTACACCCCAATTTACGATTCTTTTTTTACTTCTTTATTTCTTTTTTATTTCCTTTATTTCCTTTGGGTAAGAGCCTTAAGCTCGCCCTTCGTCGTTGTTGTTAACCTTGATTCAGGATCGGCAGCAATGATCCCCATTATACGTTGACACATGTGACTATAGCCGCAACTCACGACTTTTGGGGTCACGGTGGGAGACCGTGTTAACTTTTTGGTTTTTGGGATTTCCCCTTCTTTTGCAACTTTGACTTGGCCCTGGGTTCTTGTGTATAGTGAGGAAAATCTCCCCCTCACAAAAATTTATTCCCCTGGCGTGAAAAAATGCGCCCGTAGGCAAAATTAAAACTTTTTGGTCTTCATCGCCACTTCAACGTCATCCATGTCGAGCCGCTGTCAACGTCAACGTCAAGCCGAACATCTACGTCAACGCCGAGTTCCATGGTCCGTTCAAGCTGTCGATGCCGCAAGTGTCGAGATCGAGATCGCCGTCAATCGTCGCCTCAACCTTCGTTCAACGCAACTGTCGACTACGCAACCGCCGAAGACCCGCCAGTATCCAGAGTAGAGCCCCCGACGACTCTTCACGCTTACCCCCGAGAACAACTGGCTGTTACCACGACAGGTAGTAGGGTCCCGCGTTCCACCTAGGGATACTTGACTCGTAGGTTGTATGTATGTTTAACTCGTAGGGTCGTAGGTAACATGGCAGAACGGAAGCTACCTCGGACCCTTTCTTTTCTGTTGCCCGGAGTGTCGCGGATTCGCGACTTCCTTCAAAGGAGGCCGCCCCCGCGCTGCGAAGGGGTCCTGAAACGCCGTCCTCGCGCTGTCCCGCCTCTCACCTCTCTTACCTGCGCAGCTTTCGCATAAGTCACGTACTCAGTCTTCGCAGCTGCCGTCACAGTGAGCGGTCGGGTTTCCAATTCGTCTCAACTATCGATCGATCCAGCGCTACCCCAACTCTCGCGTGCTTCCATCTACGCCACAGAGGACTGGCTCCCACGCTACGAGGTAACCCCGAGCGCGATCGCACCTGGCACACGCCGGCGACACCGCCTCGGGGGGTTTCCGTTATTGCCGGCCCCTAGGTAACATCTGGCTGGTTGTTGCTCATCCTGTATGTTTGAGTGTAGGGATTTTATTGCGGATAAATGGTGGGCACTTTACAGGTGTGATATGTGTTGGAGCGGTGACCACGGCTCGGCTGTGGCTTCGGAATATCGGGTTGTCATTTCAGGTGTATTTCGTAATCTTGCCTAGTAGGTAACATCTGTAGGAAGGCTGGCACGATGCTAGCTAAGTGCCACGATTATGAGTGCACGCCCCAGCTGTCGGTGGCTGGAAGCACAGGTCGATCCCAGGTGACGAGTCGCTACTAAGCAGGCTGGTGGCAAGGGCCCCTAAGAGCGTAAGGAGTACCCACGTGGCAGGCACAACGAGCGTCTCACAGGTAGCCACCACACATCGTATGGTTCACTTATTCACGGTGCGGACCCCTGGCTCCCCTCGCCGATGCAGGAGAGCAATTATACCACTGACGTTGGGAGCTGGGGGCCCAATCCGCGACACTATCAAAGAGTACCCCTTACGCAGTGATTTACCTGAATGCAGTTTATTCCAAGCAAATAAAAAACCACCGTTATATTCTTGTCAGCCTAGTAGGGAGAAATTCCTTCGGAAGCAAAAATTCCCTGTTTCAGAGGTTCAATATCTTGCGTTTTTAGTTGACTTTTTGATATCCCATGTTCGGCTTTGAATGAATCTTGGCATGGTGATGAATCCTTATGTGCATTTGTTAAGCCTTGACCAAGATTGTTACAACTCTTTTATTAGGCTTACGTTTCGGCTGATTCGCCTTCTTCAAAGTCTAAAAAGTGAGCAGTAAATGAAATCTACCCTCCAGTTGTCTTATCGTCACAGGAAAAGGGAAAGTTGTGAATGCCTGTAGACAGCTCACCTTAAACCTGTCGAGTGAGGACTGCAGACCACCACTGACATGCGTTGAGTGACTAATGAGCTACGGCACCCGGGTATGAGGGTGTTGGTCAAACCCGCATAACTCCAGGAACGGCGCGAGTTCGTTTGTGATGGCGATGCATTCCTCTTTCCTATTCATTTTTGGATTCCTAGCGGAAATCCAGCAGGCTTCTAATGTTTTGCGCGCCGCCACTTCTGATTCTCGTGACAGAATTGATATAGAGATACCGAATTCTGCGTTTTGATGGCGCTGCTTACGGTGCGTGCCTAGGGGCGTGGATAATCTCGATCTACGCATCCCGTCCATGTGTTCTTTGAAGAGAAAAAAAGAGTTGTAACAATCTTGATCAAGGCTTAACAACTGCACATAAAGTTAACTTTTTGTTTCGTCTGGACGGCACCACGGAAAATCATAATTGTGACTGGCTGATAGCGTCTACTATAATGCTGTTTCACTGCTTTGGAATTATTCCATTTTTACTTATCTTGGCTGACTTTCTCGTGTAATGTACTCTCATAAATAGTAACTTAAGGCGAATCTTCCCCACAAAAATCTTTAAGACCTTACCTGTTCATATCTTGGCTAATGCATTTTCGATCGCATAACTCATCGCCATTTTCCTTAGCGCAAGGTTCATCCGACAGACGTGCTTCTCCTCCAACTAGCTGCATTTCTTGCCATTTTTCCTTCCTTGGCTCCGGCAATGCTCGTTTGAATGGCTTCTCAGTAGAATTTTGTAGCTTTGCTCCAAGTCGGCCTCCATCCACCTTGTGCACTGGCGAACGTCTTACTTGGCATAGACAACGTTTTTGAAATGGAAACTCGTGTTGTCGAACGCATCGAGCGGTGGCACTGTAATGTGAAATCGATATATTGATTGATTCTACAGTAAAAATTAAGTGGATACCTTTCAGCGCCATCATTTAGGCATTTTTCACGACACTGCAATAATCCAACTCGTCCGATGCACATGCGATCGCGAGGAATGGAAGGATTGGAAGAGTGATGTACGATGGTTGTGCAATCCCCTTGAATAAATAATAAAACATGGTTGTTGTCGTTTTCATTGACCTTATAGCGTTGTGTAATTGCACTACTTATTGAGCTTGTGTTGACAGCGCGGCGCGTACCCTTTGATTCAAAAGGATTGGAGGCTGGAAGGCGACCGCTCGCACCCACAACGCAAGCGTGCGCGCGAGAGACGCAGTCTGCGTCTCTCGCGCGCATGCTTTCTGGTCATTCTCCAGCCTCCATTAGGCCTAGAATCTCCGCCTCGTAGCCGCCATTCCCATTGAATCAAAGGGTAGAGGCCGTTTTTTCTCGATTTTTTGCGAGTTTTTTGGGGTGCTTCGTTTTTTTCTGTTTCTTCATTCATCACGATGTGTTTCTTCTCCACAGAGTCCAAAAATGGTGCAATTACACGAGTGGTCAGCTATGACAATGCACTTTATTTCGCACTAACTGGAAGTTTCTTATGGTTAGATTCGTAGATGCAGATTTCAGCGTAAACTTGTGTAAACGCAGTCCCAAACGAAGGCAGATGTGCTCATATGAGGCAAGGCACGCGAACTGGCGCGCAACGATTGTCCTTGTGCCACGTCATCTTTTTTCTATCGATAATAAGTGCGCGACTGCCGCACCGCGATCGCTTCGTAGTGGCAAGTATCCTCCTTTTTGGTATTGCCTTTACATGAATGTTTCTTCATCTTATATATAAAGTTGAATGTCTGTATGTCTGTATGTCTGTATGTCTGTCTGTCTGTACGTATGTGCGGAATAGAAATTTTTATTTCTGGACCGATTTGGACCAAACTTGGCACACATATACTTCGGGGCAGGGAGCGTGTCATAGGCTACTTTTCGTACGCTCCCTGCCCCGAGTGTATGTGTGCAAAGTTTGGTCCCGGGCGGAGCCGGGTTTGCCATCTAGTAAAAAATAATTTCCTTACTTTCTGCGTGATCAACGTTCCCATTTTCAAAATTTTTAAAATTTTTTGAAATAAAGAGCTGGTGAGATGGAAGCCGTAAAAGCAAAAATATTTTTAGATATAGTTTGTGAAATAATTGTTCGGTATGATATAGCGGGTAGGTGAACGAACTCCGCCACGTTGGGTCACGCGAGCAACTGGTCCTTATGCAATAACGTTGCATGTTGTTCCTGGACCAGTAGTCCGCGGAGAAGGCCCGGGGCTGATGTAGTTTGTTCTTCTTCCCTGATATAATACCAGGGCCCGCCATCGTTCGGAAGGAGGCCGCATTCCGTTTTCGGGGCGAAAAAGGTGGATGACGTTTTTGTGGGTCCAAAAAACATGAAACTAGATTTTTTTAGTCTTTCCAATTTTGGATTAAAAGAGACATCGTAAAATTTTGCAAAAGTCGTGTTCGTTTTCAAAAAGCCTAGAACGGGCTCGTGCCGGGCCTTGTATAGTACTCAAAAATGGTCGAGTGTAATTGCACAAGTCAGTTATCAAACTGTTTGATGTGATACTGCACATAATGCTCTTACAAGAATAGATGAAAAGCGTTTCAAAAAACTCCCCCACTAACCCCTCCCTACCACTGCCAGTTTTTTGACAGATGGAGTTCAAGGAAGCGCTTTGATCAAATTTACCAGATTGGAATATAATCAGTCACTTTTAAACTCTTGTTTGATCGATTTCAAGCTTTCTGCACTAACTTTTTTTCCAATCACTGGTTTAACCCACTGACGACGACGCCTTTTTGCATGGTGGCGCTATGGGACGACGCGATTTTGCACAAAACTTTCGGCGTGGGAAGGTTTTGTGGTTATTTACGAAATGCGGGGTTGTTTTGTAGACAACTACAAACATTTTTTGAAAGACGGAGCCGGCAGGTCTCAAGGTGCAAAAAATTGGAAAAAACATTAATTTATGGAAGAAATGCCAAACCTACAAAGGACATGACTTTGCAACAAGTGTGGGCCACCGGTGGTCCACATCGTCGTCAACGGGTCGAGAAACAAAAAAGAACCAGACTTGCGCGATAATTAGTCTTTATCATGCCTAATTTTTTGCACTTCACTGACCTTCCTTGCAAAACCGCTTCTTCAAATTTTCCGTATCCCTCATAACTTGGCTAATTTCCGCAACTCGTCGTTCAGATACGAACTTTTTGGGCGAGTTTGCTGGTTGGGATTTGCGCCGTGAGGACGGTGCCTGAATTATTTGCAGCAATTAAGAACATATTCAGCTTAATTGGTCTCGAGAAGAAAAATTGATTACCTTCTCATTTACCTGCGGCGTAATACGCGCTGGCGTGAGACATGGAGTGAATTTCACAGAAAGATCGTCTAGCAAGACGACATCACCTTCGGTAACATTGGTGAATTTCAAAAAAATCTGAAAATGAATTCGTCTAGTTTGTGACTGTTTTCCATCAGAAAAAAGTGTAAGTTTGAATTTCCGTTACAATTGGATTAGCATACCACTCCTTCTTTCTCGATGTAAAAAACTGTCTTCTTTTGTAATAAAGCATTTTTTACCTGGAAATTTGATGTATGTGGAATGACTTCATTAACCCATTTTCCATTTGAGGTTTGCAAAGGAGCACACATAATAGTGTCCTCTTCTCTGGAATGCCATAATTTATTCAATTTGTTTAACGAGCCTATTAGATACAACACTGCTCGTTCTTTAGAAAAAGAACACGAAGTCGCCCGATTTATGTGACATCACCGTAGCGGGTCAGATCTCGCTTCAGAGTGACCCAACTACACCGTTCGATTCGCACATCTTCTGATTTATGGAAGTGTCTGTTTGGTCACAATGGGAGGTCATCCACGAATCGTTTCAGATTTTTGCTTACAGTAGGTTGCCCAGTGAGTGCAAGAATAGGCCACTAGTAACCGACCTTAAGCAAAAATCTGCGACGATTGTGGAATCTTGCCTCTTACTGTCTCCAAGCAGCCACATCTTATATAGGAAGATGAGCCGAGCCGAGCTGAGTCGAATGATGCCCTTGGATTAAGAATTCGTCCACTCTGAAGTGAGATATCGCCACGCTACGGTGATGTCACATGAATCGGGCGATTGTGCGTCGTTTCTCCAAAAAATACGAGCGGTATTGTATACCCCACCCGTTTGCATAGAGACACATACTATATTAATGAAAAAAATGCGAACGTACTTGAAGCACAATTCTGCACCAATCCATGGTCCTCTCCATATTCTTGTCGTCACATTCACAGAATCAACAGAGCAAAGAGCTAAAACAAGGACAGTCAAAAAAGACCTTTTATTGCAGAGTCAGGTTCTACCTGGGCATGTTTCAATCTGAAGCACTGCTGACTTTCCTTTAGCTACTCCAACTAAGTAGCGGTTCGCTGCAAAAAAATGAACGTTAAAAAAGAAGATTGCGTTAAATAGCATACATTCGACTCAACTGGCTTGGCTTTGGAAAGGCGGGGCTTCGTGACCTAATTAAGGCTGGGTAATGATCAGAGAGTACTCGCGCGAGAGAGACTCAGGTGCGTTGCGGCGCGAGCAGCCTTAATTAGATCACAAAGCCCCGCCTTCCCGGAGCCAAGCCATTTGAATCAAAGGTCACATCAAAGTGTATGGAAATAAACAATAACTTAGAGAAATCAGTTTTGAGGCTTACTTGGCGCTTCTCCGGCGGCGAATGGCATTTCCTTGCTAGGTTCTGCATAGTACCAATCACCAATACGCTGCCATGAGCAATTTTGGGGTCTAAACTCATCTCGACACGAGAGCGATTTTACGGAATGCTGAAAATGTGAAGCATAAACATTACCTTTTTAAAGTTCACTTTGTAGTTGGTATAGTTGACGCACGGAATCGCCCGGGCTGAACGCCCTCGAGCGCGTCTATGCGGGCTAAAGCATTGGCGCACATGAGTTAACATAGCGCCCGTACTCGGCAGCCGTGTTGCAGGCACGCTCGCGTGCGCTCAGTCTACAGCGACCCGGGCGATTTCGTGCACTCGACTTTAAAAGTGTGAATGTTGATTTTTATCATTACACCTACACTGTCATCGCGTTTGGCTTCAAACTCGTAGGGGTTTATGATCTATAGTTGTTTTCCAAATAAAATAGATTCTTATAATTGTTTACTTCATTTCTATTACTATTTATGTAATGAATTTTCATTTGTTTTCTCCTTTCTCCTGGACATTTTTTCATTGCAAAAAAAAAGAGAAGTAGTGGTACAATCCAGTTTTTTTTTAATTTGGGTTTCAATTTTGATGGAGGGGGATGGCAAATTTGTTCTATCTTACTTGTAATCGCTTCCATCCCTAAAAGACTATGAAATTTTTGATTTTTGGTCATTGAGAAAAGCAAATAATCTCAGTAAAAATGTGGGATTAATGTAATTGATATGATGCACAATTCTTGCAAAAAAAATTTTTTTTGAAAGAACTAAAGATGCTTGAAACAATTTACAGAATGCGCTATGATGTGTATCAAAAGCAGTGTTTTATCAAACATTTCAAAAATTCAATATGAAACAAAATCAACTGAAGTCGAATTCAAAAATCGAAAACCGTAATTATTTGCAGAGACATCCTTACTACCAACTTCTTTTAGTCAGAAAGAGTATATCACAAAAACCAGGACAAAAGTAAATTCAAATTTTATTAGTCGTTTCAGCATATTTTGGCCAAAAATCCAGAAATTACTTTTTAGTTATTTCTTCTAACACATTCACGACAAGGCCAATTTTTCGATGACTGCCATTTCGGAACAGAGCATATTTCGCGATAATGAGTTTGCGTAGTATTCTTTGGTCACTGGGTGTCCTGTGGTGTTGTTATATGCCTCCAGGAAACGCAAAATTTTCTCTTTCCATTATGCATCAAATCAGAAAGTTCCATTGGTTCTAGACGAAATACAGAATTTTCATTATGGTGCAAGAATTATGCACCAACCTAATAATAATCAAACCGTCTTCGTAAATTCACTCCATGCGAGCATTTCTTTGCCTCGAGAAATTTTTGAAAAATCTTCCATCTTCAGTCTTTAGAGGAAAAGTTGAAGATTAGTCCAGATAAAATTTTACTAGGTTCTGCTACTTGAATTTTTGAAAATTCAATATGAACGGAGCGAAAAACTCACCGTACTACATGCTGCATTTTTCTTTAGCGATGTTAGAGTTGAATGTGCTGAGAGATCTTCCAGTGAGTACGACCGCCTGAAAATACGTCAAAAGGTATAGTGAAAATCTCTGCGAATAAATAATATAAACTAGTGGTTTTACCACAATTTGTATACGCAAATTCAAAAGTTCAAAATATTTATTGTCACCTAACAATCCATTCACTAGCAATTCAATGAACAGATATGTATGATAAATCATTGAAATCCACTATACCGATGCACGTCTTGTGCAAGGCCACCAGCCGTGCAAAATTGTTCGGGTAGTTGACATTTACAGATGAAAGACTTGATACCGAAGAACGAGAGCAGGGTTCCTATATGATAATAATTCTCAAGATGTGTGCTATGTACCGTGTTTTCACAAAAAATATCCCACAGAAATTTGAAAAAAAATTACCTGTGCTCCTCAAATGACATGCACTCGATAGTCGATGAGGATATTCACGTTGACATCGTTGTTCACAGTCCTTGTCAAAGCCTTCTCGCTGAGGACAGATATCTTCTGGGATTTCTGGAAATCGAAAAAAAAACTAGTTTGTGTGGTCATTTGAAGTCAAACCAACTTTGGATTTTACAAAAATAATAGCATTTTCACATGTAAGCAGGGTTCGTTTTTCAAAATTTTTTCTGTGATAATGGTTATAATCTCTAGCAAAGTTTAGTTCACAAGCATCCACACTCTAGCGGATTCGAGCCAATTGATAAACAATACTCGACCAACAATTGTTCAGTGATCTAGATAAACAAAATTTTTACCACGTTTTTCCGTGTTTTTCAATGCGTTTTTGCTCACAAAGTGAATGAAACCCTATCTCGAACAAACGAACAATCCAAGTATTTTTTATATTTGATATTCTTTTGATTTCAATATTTATTTCAGTATTTGGCCATTTCAATGTCTACGATGCTTTTCGACCGATTGCACTTTCTTACAACTTTGTAATCTTTTACTCTGGCAAAGATAATTACTAGAGAGAATCAGATTGAATTCCCATTTTTCTATTTTTTTGCTACATCAAGCAAAGCGATATGAGACACTTTTTGAGTATTGGTTTGAACTACATGTCTACTTCAATATGAATGTAACAAACTTCTCGCACATTATCACATATAAAGCAATGATTTAGAAAATAAACATTACTTGAAATATTTCGTTTTAAAGTTTAAAAATTGCAAATAAAATAATTTTGAAAAGAACAACAAGCCTGTTGAAATGAGTGAAATACACATGAATCACAAAAGTATAGCCCAATAAATTATTTTGATTTTCACATAAGGATTGTCTATACGACCGAATTACGCAAGGATTAAGAGATCTCAAAGCTCCGAAGATCAAATCGCAAAACAGACTGAATAATCGTTGTAAAACAGAACCGCAGAATTTTATCTGGGGAAATTTCGAATTATAGATAGTCTTCTATTTTTGTCAAAAGTGAGTATTGAAATATGGTAAAATAAATATTTTATCAAAATAAAGATATTCACATTAGAAAAACTATTTTATCAAAGAATTGGTTGAGGCCTGCGAATGCTATGAATTGAATTCAAAATTGTAAATATTCTCTTTTTCCCTATTAAAAAGTTTTGTTTCATGTGCCGGCTCCAACATTTTATATGATAAGGGAGGGGGGGGGGAGATAAAAATTTACCAGTGCGAAATGATTATGAGCGGAGGTTCCAGATTATGTTCCGTACACGTAAAAATCAAAATCAATTTACTTTTTCAGACTTTCAGGTTCTGCCCTCTCCTCTTTTCTTCTACAAACTCCATTTCGCCCAACCGTAAATATGATGTCCGGTCTATACATAACCCGCGAAAACCGATGAAAGTGTGAAAAAGTCCATTCCAGCTGACGTTATAATGGCGTTCAGATCTTCTTGTAAGATCAGATCGGACAAAACTGAACATTATGCGTAAATCGGGAAGAATCTGACAATGAGATGTCAAGAGCGGCAGAAGATTATAATTCGACTAATATTAGGTCGTTCCGAAAGTAATGTCGCTTTTTTTAAACGAACGCCACATCTCGTGGAACAAAGATGAGTAAGAGGTTTTGGTAGCGTTTGATGCAGCATTTCACTCTCTTTCTAAAGGTTATATAATCACTGCACAGAATGCAATAACCTCTCGAAAAATTATGAAAATCTGCGACCTATGCTTTTTGAGAAGGCCAAGTTTCACAATTTTTCTAAATTTTCATAACAATTCTCGGAAGGAGTCCAGGTAATGGATGGATAAACCAAAGCCTACAGGAAACAGCACAACTATTTTCTACTTTCCAGATCTCGTCATAATTTTTGTATAGATTTTTTGATGGAACCACCGAATTTTGGCAGGCTCGTCTCAGACACAAATGCATCAAACACCAATAAATCTTCGGATTTTGAAACTTATAAAGATGGATTATGGTTTGACACTAATTTTACAAACCAAGTGAGCATTCACAGCTTCAGATTAGCAACTTTCGAAAATTTGGGGTACGGCCTGGGGCGCCTTGGAAAACCTGAATTATGATAATTTTATCCCGAAAAACTTGATGAATCGGAAATAAGAAATAACTGTTAGAAAGAGGAGAAGAAGCTGCGTCGAATGATGCCCGAGTTGCTTGGCTGTTATTGTTCTGTGAGGCTTGAATTGACCAAGTATGGAATTTGATATCATTGAAAAATTGATTCCACAAACCCTAAGAAGCAAGCTAAGGAAAAGAAAAAATTATTTTGCGTCCTATATAATTTGCTCTATCTACCAGTTGCTTAAACTTCTTCTGAGAATAGGTACAAAAATTTAGAAAAGTAGCCGAACTTGACCATAGCAAAAAGCATGAGTCGCAGATTTTGGTAATTTTTCGAGAGCGCATTAGATATTATGCAATGTTTTTGTAAGCGTTAGAAAGAGGATAAAATGCTGCATCGAATGCTCCTAAGGTCTCTTGAAAATCTTGATTCCATGAAATGTGGCGTTCATTTGAAAAAAGCGACATTACTTTGGGAACGACCTAATATTACAAATCCAACACAGTCATCCTAATCGATTACTCGGCGAATTACGGAACAATAAAGGAAGTTTATGGATGAGGCACGATACTTCGTAGAAAATTACGTGGTCTCCACGGATAATGCGCTGTAAAAGGTTTTATGGAAATTTAGGTAATTTGGAGTTAAATAGAAAATTATAGATTGCAATTAG